CTTGCACGTGCAAAGTAAGCCCTCCGTCATTAAACTACAGCCTCGGTGTCTGTGTTCTGTTTTTAATAAATGGATAAACATTCCCAAACTATAACACACACATTCAATGAATTCTTAATCAAGTGTTTATAACAGACATAAGGAACCACCCGAAGACTGAGACTGGGGGAGATCAGATTTTCTTCCTCTCCCTTTAGGCAGACAGACACTGGAGTGAATATCAGCAAATATCTAAAGGGGGGACTAAGTATATATAGATTTTAAGGTTGGGGGTATAATTTTAAGGGCATTCAAAAAGTTTGGATGAAATGTTTTAGGCTGTGGGGGCAGTGAGCACAGGTTGGTACACAGAGCTGGCATCAGGGGACTGCAGGGTGACCTTAGCCCTATTAAATTAAATTAAAATTAAACTTTTTATTGCTTTTGCTTCTTGTTTACCAGGTCCAAGCTATTGTCAGTAACAGGGAGTTTGTTTGCAGCGGAGAGCCCAGGTCTCTCTCCAGTCATTCTTGGGCCAGTCCTGATGAAGTGAAAGGGCCATAAATGAACGGTGGTGACACCATGTAACATTACATAGAATAGGTACAAAATATGGATGGGGACCCAGTGAAGCATCCTAGCCAGAACAAGGGCTCTCCTGCAGGCTTTGCTCTTACCCACGGTATCTTTCCACCTCACACACTCTGTGGTCCCTGATTATCAGAAGAGCAGGTACCCCTCTCAGGATCTGGGAGAAGTCCAGCTGGACTGACCTCTAAGAAAAGATCAAGTTGTCAGCTCCTGGGGCGAATCACCTCTGAGGGCTGAAGTACCGTGCAGTTTCTCTGCCTCTCTGACAGTTAACATTTAGCAGTGACTTCACGGCACCTTAAGAGACCCTTCCGTTATTCAGCTGAACTTGTACTTACAACACACTGCTAATATCTTTAGATCTACTTAGAGACCAGATGTTTCTGGAAGGAAAAACCACTTAGTAGATGTTAGAAACGGAAGGACTTTAATGGCCATCTGCTACCACGTCATCTTTTTATGGGTGACAAAACCCAGAATCAGGGGCATCATCACTCACCCATGAGAACACACACTCTGAGAACAGGCCCGGGAGGCCCATGTTTCCCAAGGGCCAGCCTCTCTGGGGGCCTCCACTTCCTTCTCCGATGTCCTCTGTCTTCGTCCCTGTGAAATGGCTCGAGGGCTACTATACCACTAAGCACAAGGTTAGGACTGTGTTAACACTACCAGTGCAGTCTGATGATTGGAACTCAAAACACAAATCTTACACTTTTTCCCTTGGGCACCACCAAATTGGTTTCATTGTCTATAAAATAAGACTAAATAGAGGGTACAGCTCAGTGAGAGAGCACATGCTTAGCGTGTGCAAGACCGTGGTTCAATCTCCAGCACCAAAATAATTAAAAATAAATGAAATGTACTTTTTGATCTCTTACAAGATCAGACCCAGTGTTAGAGCAAAACTGACACAAGCGAATGCACAATCCACTGCTGACTATTAAGCAATTAAAGGCACATCTTGTAATACGATATTGATTTGGCCAACAAGTAAAGGTCAGGCAAGAACGGAAGAAAGCTCACAGTGTGGTCACAGCAGCATGTGTGTACTGCTATGTGTGCAACTCACACCTCACCATATGGGCTGTACCATTGTTTTCAGAAAAAAAAGCAATGGAAATCTTTCCTTATTGATTAGAATTAAGACCACCAGAGCCACCCTGCGCTTAGGCAAACCATCTCCCAGGAAATCCTGGGGACTCTTATCTCCACTTGCAAACTCCAGGCCAAATCCCGGGTAGGAGCAGCTATCTGTCATTTCTAATCCTCCTTCTACCCTCAACAAAAACAGGAATCAATTCATTTCCGTCAGATGCCTGCAGGATCAAGCCTCCCATCAGTGCCACATGGCCATGTGAGTTCCTTCCTTCCTGTCTGTGCCCCTCAACAAACACTCACTTCACCCCTTTTTCTTTCCTGGTGCATCATTAAAATTTACAGTAAAAGAACGGAAAATCACCCCCATTGGAGTTTTCCTTCAGCTCTGCCAAAACAAAACAAACCAGATGGAATAATAAACCATTCCTACAAAATGGGGGTGGGGCAGTTTCTGAATCTCGGCAGCCCTACTGTGCCCTCGCTGGAAGGCTGTGCCCACTGAGGATGACCGTGGGGAAGCTGCTGAAGACCTGTCAATCTGCATACAGTGACTTCAGTGAGTCCACAGCTGGGCCAAGGGAAGGATGTGTGTGGATTTCTGTGGATGCTGTGGTAAAGGCAGAGCCAGCAATGTGTGTGGAGGAACCAACAAAGTTCACCCTGGCCACCTCGGCCAGTCAGCGGAGACAGTGCAGACTGGCAGCCTCAGGAGGTCTCTGCTAACAGGCCGCACCAGCACCATGTCCAGCCTGGAGGCAACTGCGCAAGTGACTGTGTCCTCTGTGTGTATGCAGTACACCCCTTCAACCCTGCACCACGGGCCCCCAGAATGACTGTACTCAGGTTGTCACCAGAGCCTGGGTCTCAGGGGAATGCTTTCTGGAGTCTTTGTGTCCTGGACAATCTATACAGAGAAGGCAGAAGAATGACATTCATCGAAGACATAAAGCATGCTGTACAGGCCAAGGGAAGGCTTGAGGACCCCCAGAGGCTGTGAGGATAAGGGAAGGGACTTTTATCTCTGCAGTTCCTAGACTGGCTTCTTCCCGCAAACAAGGTGTCGGGACGAAAACTCACCTGGGCTTGTGTGAGATTTAAACTGTCCAATTAAAGACTTTTTGGTGTTCTACCAGATGCAACTGAAGAACTGAAAACAGTGCTTTTCCGCTTGGTTGCAAACAAGGCTCAAGAGCTGCAGGGTCACCCAGGTTCCTGTGCTCTGCGCTTGTGTCCCGGGTCTCCAGGGCGTTTAATGGTCAGATGCTTGACTGGGTTTTGCCTAGCCCTAGCCTCCAACCCCAAGATCCCCTGAGGAGCTTAACAGACATGCACGTCCAGATCTCACAGCCCGGAGAGACTGGTGTGGCAGATGAGGCGTGCTGCCCAGAAACCTGAGTTTTTACTATGTGAGCTGGTGGAACTGTGATGTAGGTGCTCACATCATACGCTTTGGTTTCGCTTCTAGAGGGCTGGGGATCAAATCCAGGGCTCCCTATGTGCTAGGCATGTGCACACGCACCAAGCCACACCCCACTAGCTGACACACGTAGAGAGATTTCCTGGGACATCAGGCCAATCACCAGGCACTCACTGGCAGAGCTCACTAGCCTTCTTCCTGGCAGCCACACCCAGCAGAAAGGGTGGCCGGTTGGTTTTCACATGAAGGAGTAGGGAGGCTGGGAGTGATTCTGAGCCAGCAAAGGGCAGCTGCCAGGGAACCAGACCCTGTGACATCTCTGCACATCTGTCCGATATCTTCAACTTACCCTTCTCAGTTCTCCATGGAAGTTCCTCAGGAGCTGGATGTGGTAGTGCACACATAAAATCCCAGTCCTCGGGAGGCCAGGGCAGGATGCTCAAGGCCAGCCTAAGCTATACAGTGAGACTGTATCCCAAAACAAATACATGAATAAAACCAGTCAGTAGCTCCTTGGTGAGGGGGCAGGGTAAGCCCACCCTAAAGCTGTGTTCCCATCTTCCCTCTGAGTTATGAATCAAGCTTGGTTTGAGTTACCAGTTATTAATTTCCCTTGTAATGCTTTTTTGGTACGACTGCCTGCTTGCAAGGCAGGCGCTTATGCCACTGAGCTAAATCCCCAGCCCCTGGTTTTTACTTTTTCAATACAGAATATTGTGGGTCACTGGAAAGCCCTAGATGTTTTTTTTTAAAAATGCCATCTTCTATTCTCAGTTGGATTTGTGGCGGAACTTTAAAAGTACTCTAAGAACTAGGGCTCTGGCCCTTAAGAAAAAGTTACATTATTACGGGAAAACTAATGAAGAAGGCCACTTCTGTGCTGAAGAAACCCACGCACACACTGCAGATGCAGTCTGTACAGATGTGATCCCTGTGTCTGTCCCTCAGGGTTTCCACGAACAGAGAACAGTGACATGATGTTCAGAATGCCTCCCCTCTCCCAGAAAGTGAGGGCCTGGAGCCCGTGGGGAGCTCAACTCTCCCCACGGCCTACCCAGGACGTCATCGGGACTATCGGACAGAGGGAGGGATGGAAGTCATGAGGTCACACACCAGAAAACAGAGCTGGAACTCACTCTTCTGACTTTGATGTTCGGCTTCTTTCGCAAATGGGAAAGGGACCAAGAGATGTAGTGTGGAGTCGAGGGGACACAAAAAAATGAAGCTGTATTATGTGCACCCACCAGCTTCCTGGGATGAATATGATCCATTTGTACTGCAAACGCAGACTAACAAAAATTAAATATCACGTCCCTATTTTATACCACACCACCTTTCATTTAGTGTATCAAAATTATTTTGTTCTAAGTGAAGAATTGCAATGCCCTAGACTGATGGCTTGAGTGCTCAGTAAACCCAAGTCCTTAGATGTGGACAGCCCACAATCAATGAATGCATCCGCGACATTTTCCCAGAATGCCAACTACAATCCTATCAAAACCATAGTGTGGCCAAACAGCCAACAGACACTCCAAAAGCATGTCGCCTTCTGGAGAAGGGCACGATGAGACATCAAAAATACCCTGCAGAGCACTGGATGCTGGGACTGCAGGGACAGAAGGGCTTTTAATTCCAGGGCACTCGTTCAAATCTGTTCTAGATTTGAATTGACGGAAAATTGCTCCCTCCTGACAGTCATTCAGCAGGCCATGCTCATTCTCAGTAAATTAGTGCTCCCAGGGGGCAGGCTGACTGTGCAAAGCTCTGGATGCCACTGGCCTCCACCGAGCCACATGGCAGAGCTGAGGAAACCTGAGGAAAACATCAGCTTCCTTTAAAAACATTCCCTGAAGGGACCCCACGCTTAAGGCAAAACAGATGCGCCTACGAAAGAACATTAGGCCAAAGGGAGCCTTGTTCTTTGCCCCGCACCAGTCCCAAATGCAAAATCACAGCCTTGCCCATGGCTCTTTCTCCAATCCTCTTTTATATCTTAGAAGCTGATCAGGCACAGGCATGCTACAGCGACGGAAGTCCCGTGGTAAACTTCTTCGAGGTGAATTATCAGAATGAGGGGACATCTTGCAGCTTTACCACAACTTGTGTATGACCTTATTCTCTGTGCAGCAGTAGCAGAAACAACTACACTGGCTGAGCACAGCATGTGCTTCCTCTGCATATACACACGAAGAAATGGAGGATTATGGGAGCTGTTCTTTCCAAGATCACACATCCTGCCGATGGTGGGCCTCTGAAATCCAACTCTAAGCCCCCAAACCGCACAACCTGCAGATGATGGCACCTCTATGAGGTTCATCTGTAAAATGGGTATGCTGAACAGGCTGGAGATTTTGGAAGATCAGAAAAGCGCTCACAAGCATTGGGAAGGTTTTCTGTCTTAGAATTACTGTAACCATCTGCCGGAAGTTGTTGGAAGTCTGAACCTGACTGTCTTTCATAGAATCTTCAGACGTCTGTCTACCCTGGGCCCATCTGCCCTGCTACCTGGGGATCTGCGCTGCTGAGCCTTGGAAGGTATTTGAGTCTGTAGTCCTTGCACACCATTTCCTCAGCCTGACCACCGCTCCTCTCTCACGGATGGCAGTTTCCTAGTCGTGAAGGCAGCGTGGGTAGAAGCAGACATTGGGGACGTCCGGATGAGGGATGCTGACGCCCACGTGCCACCGCAGGCACATGAGGTCCGCTCGGACCCGTGTCTAGCGTGATGTGGAGTCGCTGAGATGAGGGGCCCGAAGCTCCCCGTCGGCCTCTTGGAAGCCTGGTACCGGCACGCGGCCTCGCCACTGCTCCTGCGGCTCCCGCTCCGGCGCTGTCGCCTGCCCCCATGACCGCACCAAGGCCGCGTCCATGCCGCCTTCCTCTTCCCGGCCTGGGTCAAACTCAGCGGGCGGCCCTTGCCACCGTGTCCTGGGTTGTGCTCCCCGCCGCCGGCTTCCTCAACAGGACACTCACTAGGCCCCGATGGGCGCTACCGCCCGCACGCTCTCCATTCCTCACAGACACAGAGGATCCTGACGCCGCTCAGACCAGACCAGGGGCTCAGGCTAAATCAACCAGCCACGCCACTGCCACAAAGGTCGACGGGTCCTCTCGCGAGACCCTGCGCGTCCTCCCGCGAGACCTCACATTGGCTCTCTAGGATTCGCTGCGAATTCTCGCGGGATCCCGCGTGTTCTCCGCCTGCACGGGCCAGCTGCCCGCTGACGAAGCTGTTTTCTGCTGTGTCCTCTCTCTGTCTCCTGAGCCGCAGACTGCCGCGGCTGGAGCTTTGCTGTCGCAGTAGAAGAGAACTTCTGCCAGTGACGTCGCTGGTAGAGCATTGCTCCGGCCGCAGCTTCCTCCGAGACCTGGGTGCGGGCCAGGTCCCACGGGCGCTGAGGGAAACCGATGACTCCTGAAGACGCAGCCACGGTGCAGGAGCGCGAGGCCACGGGCGTCCCGGGGCTGCAGCAGGTGTGAAGCCCGACGCCTCGGCTGTGACGAGGCAGGAAATCCCCGTTGGCGTCTGAGAGCGGTTTTGATGGACGCGTCTTCCTTGTATTTGATGTTCTTGACAGCAGTGTGTATGACTGGTGTGTTTTCCTTTAAAATTGTTCTTAGTGTTTTCTACTACTGAAGGTTTTTGGATTTTTGTTCCAGGTCACCCTTTAAACGCTCCCCCCAGGCCGTCGCTCCTTCCCACAGTTCCTGCCCACTTTGGGCCGCTGGTGCCCTCCTGTCTGCCGTGCAGTACCTGGGCCGCCCAGGGTCACAGCACTTAGCTTGTTCGGTCAGATGCTCCCTTGCTGGGTTACCCGTACCGGAGATCGAACTCACGACTGCCTGATTGCAAGGCAGGGGCTTGGCCACTGAGCTAAATCCCCAGCCCCACTCGTCCCTTTCAATGACAGTCCCCTGGAGGATGAGGGCTTTGCACCTTGTATGGTGGTAAGTACTTCCCCACTGGATGTGAAATGTTGATTAAACGAAGCTGGTGCTGCTAATATGTCCTCCGGCTTTGTATTACCACCCGAAGGACAGGGCTGAACCACTCTCAGCATCATTTGCAATGTACCACTGAAATACCAAGTTTTTGTGGAAGTGGGAATACAGAATTAAAGTAACAATTATAGCATAATCACTGTTCAGCTGACAAAATTAGGGTAAAATTCTCAAAAACAGAATTGCTGAAAGGTTTCTAAGTGAAAACCACCCTAAAATAAACTGATGTGGGAACATATTTTGGCAGGTCAAGCTTGATTTATAGTTGTGAAATTTCATCAGATTGCGTCAAATGAATTTTAAAAATTGAATTCATTTTTGCATAAAAATGGTTTGCGGCCAATAAATCGCCAGTTGTCTCTCTCCCTGAGGTCAAAATCAAGGTCTGGTGCAATCCTAAAGCCCCAGCCACCAGTGATTCCAACTGGCGACATTCCAGGGTCCAAGAAGAAGTTTGTCTTCTGGGATGTGAGCAGACAGTAAATCAAATACGAAATTTTCCACTTTGCAAAAAAGGCAAACATGCAAATAAAATCATTATAAATAGGTGAGCATTTGGACTGTGGTCCTTTGCATTTCCTCAAATCCTTAACCATCACAGCTTGGTGCTTCTTGAACCAAACTCTCACCTTCTGCTTCCCTGACCCTGCGTTTCCTGGTGGTGACCTCACTTCCAGAAAGGAGGAAAGGACCTCTTCTGCCTCTTCCCCAATACAGCCTGTGTGTGTGACCTGCACAGTGTAAGACAGCTGGAGATTTCTCCACATACCTTGCAGTATGTCCATTTAGAGGTAAAGCTCAAGGCTTCTAGTTCATTTATTAACTAAGTTATACACAACTCAGTTTGGACATTTTTATCACCCCAGAAAGAAACAGGATACCACCCCACAGCAGTGATTTCCCACTTCCTCTCATCCCACTTGAGCAACCACTGTTCTACTTCCTCTGGACACAGATCTGTGCCTTCTGAACATTCATTCTGAATGGAATCACACAATACTTGGTCTTTCAGAACTGTCCCCTCCCCCCACCTAGAACAGTGTTTTAAGATTGACCCAAGTTGTAGCATGCATCAGTACTTTGTTTTCATTACTGCATAATGTTCCACTGCACTGATGCATTTAGTATGCATTTGAGTTGTCTTCACTTGGGGCTGTTGGGAAAATTTATGTGTGAGATTTCAAGATCAGGCTTTAATCCCTCTTGGATTGCAATTGCTAGGTTATATAGTAGCTGTTTAATCCTTTGATGAAATAAACTTCGGAGCGGCTGCAGCATTTTGCTTCTCCACAAGCAACCTACGAGGTTTCTGGTTTCTTCATACCCTTCCATATGCCTGTCTGTTACTGTCTTTTTAACACTGGCTGCAATTTGTATTTCCTAATGGCTGATGAGAGGGAGAAGCTTCACCTGTGCTGGAGTATCTTCTTAGAGGAAATTTCTGTTCAGATCCTTGGCCCACTTTACAATTGGACTGTCTTATGGAGTTGTAAGGGTTCTTTATTCTGGACACAATCCATTTTGTAAAGATTTGCTCCAGGTTTTGTAAGCTGCCTTTTCATTTTCTTGGCATCATATAATTGCCAAATCAAGATCCCAAAGATTTAAACTTCTCTTTCAAGAGTCTGATAGTTGTAGTGCTTACATTTAAGTCTTTCATCTAGTTTGAGTTAATTTTTGTATGTGCTTGGGGCTAGGGGTACAAATTCATTACTTAGCACGAGGCTACCTGTTGTGGAAGCACCATCGGAGAAAAGACTGCCTTTTCCCACTGGGTGTCTCTCTTCCTTTGTTGAAAATCAGTTGCCTGTAAATGAAAGGGTTTAATTCTAAACTCTTGATTTTATCTCCAGAACGATCTGCTGTCCTTCCGCCACATCGCCTTATTACAGCTTTGTTTTGCAACTGAGAAGTGAGAGGCCCCCAACTTTGTTCTTCTTTTTAAGAACTTTCTTGTGCATTCTGGGTCTCAGGCATTTCCTGTGAGTCTTTGGATCAGCTTGTCATTTCCTGCAAGGAAACCAGCTGGGATTTTGATAGGGATCATGTCGAATCTGTTGGTCAATTTGAAGGGTAATGGCATCTTAACAATATTAATCTTTCAACTTAATATCTTTTAGTGATATTTTATAGTTTTCATCATAGATTTCACACTTATTTTCTTAAAAATACTCCTGAGTGTTTACTATCATGCCTTTTGTTGTCTTCAGAATATCTGCAGGTACCTTTGAACATAGTAAAAATTGAACAGAACAGAACAGAATAGAAATAGTAAAAACAAAACAATGAATGCAATAGAGGGCTTTAAACCGTGCCAATGGTAAATCCAAAATGGCCACCATAAAATGTCTTGCTATCCTTTAAACAGCTGCTCCTGCCATCAGATTTAACATAATGAAACTAAACAAAGAGAATAAAACTCAGCCCAAGAAAACAATGAAAATGATAGGTTTCCAGGCAGGGACCCCTTCCTGGGGAGGCCTGGTCCTGCCCCCGACAGTCTGCAGAGGCTGCTGACTCACGGGAGGGGCTTGGGTCTGGCTGTTTCCACCAGACTAGACTTTCCCTCTTTACACTTGATTGGGGATTAGTTTTTCTCTCATAAACTGGTAAATTAGGTTATTGATTTGAAATCTTTTATTTTTATGTAGCTGTGCATAAATACGAATTTTACTCTAAGTTACGTTTAACTGAAAAACAAGTTTTTGGATATCTGTCTTCATTTTCATTCATTTCCTAGTGATTTCGTCTTTCATCTGTTGATTATTCAGATGTCTGTTATTTAACTCTGACCTGTTTGTGAACTTTTCATCGTATCTTAATCTTACTGAATTCATTTTATTCTTGTTTTCAAAGGGCACAAACTGTATTATTTCAGTCCTTGTGAACTTACTGAGGCTGTGTTATAACCTAACGTGCTCCATTCTGTCAAATGTTCCTAGTGACATGAAAAAAATGTGTTCTTTTTGCTGAGAGTAGTGTTGTAAAGATGTCTTTTAATGCTAGTTGCTGTTATTGTTGGTTTTTTGTTTGTTTTGTTCTGCAGTAGAGTGAATTGAACCTAAGGGGTTTTCTACCACCAAGTTACACTGCCATCTTTTTATTTCTTTATTTCTCTGTTTATTTGTTTTTGAGACAGGGCCTCCCTAAATTGCCCAGACTGATCTTGGACTTGTGATCATCCCGCCTTAGCCTCCAAAGCAGTTTTAATGATGGGTGTGTATTACCACACCTGGATCTAGATGGTTTATAGTGTTGTTTCTTTTTAAATTTGCTGATCTCTGCCTTGTGGATCTACATACAGCAAGTCCCTGACTTATGAACATTTGTGTTACCAACTTTCACAGGTGCACCGTGTAAGATTCACTTTGTCGTAGTTTATGAAAGAATCTGCCTTGAGTAACTCTCCAAGAATGAAACTAGCTGGTAAGGCGAGGCTTGTTTACTGACAGTGGAAGTCTTGTATCTCCAGCCTTCCAGGTGTGTTGTACCTTTAATTCTAACCTCGCACACAGTAGAGCCTCAGTTCGTGAACACTTTCATCAAAGTTTAGCTCGGAGACAGAAATGTTCATCAGATTATGTTTCTCTTTGCAAATTCTGCATTGGGTGATAAACCACAATTGCCATCTTTTCCACACAAACACAACCCTGGCCACCTAATTAAGTTCAGGAACAGGATGCCACTAGATTTGGAGGTTTTAATGTTAGGTACATATATGTTTATAATTGTTACATTCTCATAATAAATTGAAAAATATTAGTCAAGATAAAGAGGAAGATTTATTATGAAAATTCTCTTTGTATTTCTAGCTTTTCTTCTTTGGTTTTTAAAGTCTCTTTTGCCAATATTAGGATAGCCACTCCAGGCTGGCCCGGAACTCACAGTGACCCATCTGCCACAGCCTCCCAAGTATAAAGCGCCCTTCCCAGACCTCACCACAGTGTGGGAAGTTTGTATTTGTAATCCCATGGAAAAGTTACTGGAATCCGAGTGAGTTAATTCCAATCTGCCACTACGAGTGTAACAATGGCAAGAATAAACTAAGACAGATCTGTAGTTGTGGGGATCCATGGGGGTGTTAAATCCACCTAGGGTGATGGCTAACGGACCAAGACCTTGACCCAGGGCGGAACCCAGGTTTTTTTAATTCACAAAGAGGGGAGTAGCTTGGGGATGAAAGACAGCAGTTGTGAAAAGCTCACCAGTGCCATGAGCTGGGCTGGGTAGGAGGCCTGAGATCACCTCTGCAGCGTGCGCAGAAGGGCAGCAGAAAGAGCAATCTGCATAGCACAGTCCAGAGTAGCCTCTGGTGTTTCGGGGCCGGCGCTTCAGCCCTGCTGTGTAATCTTTTCTGCCCTAGGAAGTCACAGCCTTGTATCTTGAGGCTCATCCCAGCCAACAGCATTGAGTGTGGTTGTCCCTCCTGCCCAGCTCCCACATGCTTCCTGACAGCCATGGACAGGACAATGCTGACCTGTCACATCAGCACCTTCCGCTAGAGTGACTTGCATTGCCAAAGTCAATTACTGGGATACGGGAAAGCCTTTGCCAGCTCTGCACGTGTCAGTACATAGAGAGAGGGCTGGGTTTAGCCAACATGGAGATAACTGCTCTTCTGTCCAGGAGAGTCTTCCACCACGTGGACCTCCACGCCCACGTGCTGGGGTCACACACACACACCACCACACCCTGGCCTGCATCTTTTGTCTGTTTGTTTTATGTGAGACAGGGTCTTGTCATACAGGTTGGGCTGGCCTTGAACTCACAGGTAGCCCAGGCTTGTCTCATACTTGTGGTAATCCTCCTGCTTCAGCCTCGCACATGATGAGGTTACACCCATGTACCACCATAGCTGGCTCAGCTCTTAAAATCGTGCCTATCTGTCCTTTATATGTTCCCCATCTTTTCACTTTCAAACTATTTGTATCTTTGAATTTAAGCTGTGACCTCTGTAGATTATAGACAGCCATGTCATAGTTTTATATCCAGTCTGTCTTTTGGATTAATCTATTCAACAGCTAATTTTATTATTGATGTACTTGCATTCCCATCTGCCATGTCACTTTTGTTTTCTTTAGTCCTCATATCTTTTTGGTTATTCTTCCCTTTTTATTTTATATTAAATGTATATATGGTGGTGTAACATTTTATTTCCTTCATAATTTTTACTACATTTTTATAGATTTCCTTAGGGGTTTCTCTAGGTTTTGCTATTTACATTGTTACTTGCCACAACTTGGGGTAGATTTATATTAACTTTGGTGATATATAAAAATATTGTTCCTGTGCACACCTGTTTCCTCTTCCCTTCAGTGCTACAGTCAGTATGCACGTGATATCCATGTACAGTATAAACCAAACAAAACATTGCTTTACTGTTACATAACACGATTGCATGCGCATTAGAGAAGCCGAGAAGGCAGGCGAGTCCCCCGCATTCTCATCACCGTCCTTGTTCCCTTCATTGGTCTGTGGACTCATCACCACCCGGCGTCCCTTCTTTAGGGACAGTCTTGTCCCTGTTGATCTCCATTGCACTTATACGTCATGTGTATCAGTTTCCTGTGTTTTAGGCCTGAAAGTCTAGTTATAAACACATGGTTTTATACAGTTGCTTTTTAAATTAGTTAAGAGAAACACACACTCATGTTGTCTTTGATGATTGCATAGTTATCTTGAGCAGCTTTTGTGGCTTTTGTTCATTTTTTGTGAGGGTTTTTAACCCCTTCACTTGCCCTTGGCCTTGAAATTTTGTTTCACTATTTCTAGCAAGGTGGGCCTGAGTGGACAATCCTCTCAGTGTTCCTGTGTCCAGAAATATATTTATTTTGCTTTCATTGTGAGAAACACCGCTGCTGGATGAGCGTCCTGGCTGACGGTTTTCTTTCCTCCCAGGGATTTCTGCGGCGACATCAGCGTCTGTCTAAGTGGCCCCCTTACACCCGGTGAGTTCTTCTCCCACCATACAGAGCTTCCTTCTGGTCCGTGTATTTCAGCACTCACAACAGGACGCGTCCTCTGCTGACCTCTCTGCGTTTCTCCTGCTCATACCTTGCTGGGCTTCTGAGATGTGTCCACTGATTCCCGCAGAGCTCACAGGGTTTGATTCGCTGTGATTTCCCCTGCATTTTTGCTCCTGCTGCTCCACTCCCCTCCTCTCCTGGTCCTCCTTTTAGGTGTATGTGGCCCACGGCACAGGGTCGCACATTGCTCGAGGCGCTCTGTGCCTCCTCCTCCCCTGCTCCTCAGACTGCAGAGCCCTCGTCCGTGTCACTGTGCCAGCTCCCTGGCTTTCTGCCTGCTGTCAGTTTCTGCTGGTGAATTTTCATTTCAGGGTGCTTTGCAGCTGCAGGCTCCATCTGGTCATTACAGGCAGACAGACTGCTTCTGCCTCGGGACTGTGTTCCGTGATGAGACGACCCCACTTCCTGAGGCATCACTTCCTGGCCTTGTGAAGACGTTCTAAGGCTGCTTTGAGGCCTGTTACATTTGGCATCAGGACGCCCTGCCCTGCGCACCGTTACCCACGGGCTCCCCTCCTAGGTGTGAGTTCCGCCTCGTTTCTCCCCTTTGTGCTCCTGCTCCTCCTCCTGACAGCCCCTTTCCTGCTAACTCTCCTTCCAGCAGCTCTCCTTTCTGATTGGCTTACTGACCTGGTTCCAGTGCTCCATGGGCTCTGACACCCGCACGCCACTCCTGCAGGGTAAGGCCTCTGGCCTGTGCAGTCCCCCGGGTGACAGTGGCTTCGGCAGCGCCTTGTCTGCTTCCCGCCTCTGTTTAGCTGGTTCATCACACACACTGTCAGTCCGCCTGCTGCTGGCTGATTGTCCTCCTTTCCAGCAGAGTGCCCCTGTTTGATTTCTCCACATTCACACGGGGTAATTTTGAGGCCTGTCTGTCAGCTCTTCATTTTTCCCTCTCACGTCAGGAGTGTCTTACAGCTCTCTCTTCGAGGTGCTTCCTAGTAAAACAGCTGGCCTCTGGACTCGTCACTTTCCCCAGTTACCGGCCACTCGGCAGCCACTGTTGTAGAGAGACCCTGGGGCTGAATGTCCCCTCACTCTTGACAGAGTCAAGTTTCTTTGGGGCAGCACATCAGGGTTCTCTGTTCTTCTGGGCTACTTTTCTGCCCTGGACACCCAAGGGTGCCGGATGTAGCTGGCCTGTGTCTGCTGAAGTCACGCATCTGCTGTACAAGCAGAGACGTGAGTGAGAGAGAAGCTCCGTCTTGAGCCTGGGCACTGACCGACTTTTGCCCGTGGTCCTCAGGAGCAGTGACTCTGGGAAATGAGGCTGGTGGGGATGAGCAGTCGGCTGGGGGCTCCTCCTGGGAGAAGCAGGTCCCTGACCAGGCACTGGAGGGCTGGGCTCACATCTGGCCACATCTGCCCGGGATCGAGTGTCCACCGAAGGCAGAGTTCAAGAGTCATGGGCTCTTGTTACTCTTGTGTATTTAGTCAGCACTGTTGAATTTCTCAATTTGACGTGTGCTCTTAGAGCAAATACCAGAGTTTAAATGGCTCTCTCTCGCCAGTTGTGGCTGTCTGACTGCAGTGTGAGAGTGCGGTTCTGTCCCCACTTCCCCAGGGGACGTGCCCCTCTCAGAAGCTGAATTCCAGAGGTACACACTCAAGTTGCTGATTGTCAACTTGCCATTTCACCTCTAAGTCGTGATAATCACTGACAGGAAGCCAGTATGCAAGGCTTTTTCTGATGAAGCTAAACTGACTGCCCACAGATGTGAAAACAGAAATGGAGCCTGGCGTGAGTTGTTTTATGATTTGTAAAGATAATACATAACCATTTTCGTTTTGTTTTTAAAATGCAGTCATTAAACCTCAGGGTAAATTGATACTTCTTGATGGGAGACAGCGTGTCAGTGCCCACTGCGAAGCAAGGACACACATTTTTATTTGGCTTCTGCCAGGCTGGGCTGTGGGCTCCCCATGGATCGCACTGGCCTTTCCGAATCAAGCGCACAAAGACCTTATTTCCAACTCTGCTGCACTCATCGGAGCCGCCTTGGGTAAGGTGCACGTAAGTTAGTAAAAATGTTACATAATTACTGCTGTCCAAGCTGAGGGTTACTGAATGTGCCACTGTCCCTTTTAAAACTTCTGGACATGATGTTTCAGTGAATTCTAACAACATCACGATGCTGTGTAGACGATTGCTCCATCTTACAGTTACAGTGGGACACTGAGCCTCGGTCCCCGCCTGATGGCACAGCTCTTCAGCCAGTGCTGGCGGCGACAGCTGAACCAGAACAGGTGGTTCCTCTGTGCTATGCTAATGTAATAACATTTCAGCTTCCTCACCAAAAGTGTAGACAGCAGCCTCCTAAGACTGGTGCTTAGGGAATTCCTGAAATATATGATTTTTATATTATTATATATTGTTTTTTGTTTGTTTGTCTTGAGACAGGGTCCTGCTATGCAGTTCAGGCTGGCCTTAAACTCACTCTGTAGCCCAGGCTGGTCTCAAACTCATGTTGATCCCATGTCTCAGCCTCTTGAATGCTGGGATTACAGGTGTGCACCACCATGCCCAGATCCTTAGGAAATTTTCTTTAAGAGAATTAATCATTTGTTCATTCAGTACCAACTATATGCATTAAGCTGAATTATTTAGTTAAGGATGGAAACTGAATGTCAGCCTGTTCAAATAACAGGAAAATAACTGAATGTAAATCAAAACCCAGGAGCGCACTGCAAGCACAAACATGGATCAGTGGCTGTGGGAAAGTTGACAGTGTTTTAAGAAATGCATTTCACAGGCCACCAGGCTAAGGCTGATGAGCTCTATTCACTTCCTCCCACAACGCTGCAAGGTAAATGACTGAGAGCCAGGCTCTGAGGTCAGCTTTGGAGATCTGAAACCCAGCTTCACCGCTGACCCGATGAGTAAATCCAAATATTTACCATCTCAGAGGCTTCAGTTTCTGTATCTGGAGATAATCACAGTATGTGCTGTCACTGTGGAGACTGAGCTCGCTGCAAGCCTAGGGATGCTGAGCCAGGTCTTCACAGGTAAGGGCTTACTCTCCGAGCACACCCCACGGCCAGGGGGTGTGACCCTCACAGCCTCTGCTTCAGGAACACAAGACAGGAGTCGCATCTCCAGGTGTCGCCAGTGCAGGCAGCAAGATGGGTGCTCAAGGGAGGCTCCTCTCTGGGTCAGCAAATGAAGGCCAGCCCTCTTGGGTTTCTGCTTCTGTCTCCAGGGCCTCAACTGTGGCAGGTTCTGCCACTTGAGCTGCAGGCAGGGGACACATTCCCACCTGCTCAGAACTGGGCAGGATGATCCATCAAAACTGTGCCTGCCACACTGCTCCCTAAGCGTGGGAGAAGTGAGAAAACTCAGTTCTCCAGGAGGGCAGGTGCTCGCCCAGTGCCAGTACAGGTTAGCTTCCGGTGGTGGCGGTGGTGGAGTGTATGGGGGATGTTTTTGTTTTTGATGAAGAGTAAACAAACCCCAAATCACAGTTTCTACACAAAACAGAAACAACTCAATAGTGGCCCTGTGGCCTCAAAAACCTAAGTATTAACTGGCCCTGGTGGTGCGTGCCTGTAATCCCGGCACTGAGGAGGCTGAGGCAGGAGGACTGTTGTTATTCAAGGCCAGCCTGGGCTACAAAGTGAGACCCTGTCTCAAAAAAGATGAAGACGAAGATAAAGATGAAGAAGAGGAGGAGGAGGAAGAAGAAAAGAAAACCTAAGCGTTCAGAATGAAAGTCATTAGAACAGCGAGATAGTGGCTTTTCGAAGATTCCGCTGCTCCTGAATTCCCTTTTATTCTCCACTTGAGAGTCACATGTGTTTTTCTTTCACAGATGTGACAAGGTGTGCCTCAGCGGGGGGCTTGCAGGAGCCCAGGGAATCAGCAGTGAGGAAACTGCCGGCTCCAACTTCAGCCTTCTGAATCACCTCTAATGCAGCGAAAACCATCTGCATTTCACAGAAAAACAACCGTGAAACGCACTGGTTCCATTAAGCACGGAAACCAAACACTGACCTTTTAGGATAATAGTTGGCTCCTCTCAGAATGGAAAAAGAACTGCCTGAGAATCAAAACCTGCTGTGTGAACGATCCCCTGAAAGCAGGCTACTCACCAGACGTTAGAAGCTTTTGCCAGGAAAAGGCATCTCTGCCTTTACTTAAAGCTCACCATCGCTAATTAAAACCACAGCACTTAGAGAATGGCGCCCCTGCCCCACCTTGGCGAGGTGTAAGGGACAGGGCCTCTGCTGTCTTCACCAGGAGGGAGGGCTCTGTGCGCGGGTTACTGTGTACAGAGGCATCTCTGCGAGTGGGGTTTCCATCAGTGCCAGGGCAGGCCTGGATTTCATTAATAGAAATGCAGAACACATGGTTCCAAGTCTGTTTGCTCAACCATAAAATAAGCAAAATATTACTGACTTTATTTTCTCCCAGAGGGTGAAAGAGCAGAAGGTCCACAAAGACATAAGCTGTGTCCATGAAGCACTGAGGCAGGGTTACTCGACCTGGGAAAGTCAAAGATTAGCAACTTTTGCCTCACCAAGCAGCTACGTTAAAGTCATGATATACCGCCAACCAGCCAGCCAAGCTACCCACCCACCCAGCGCCTGGCACCATGGTCACCACGAACCACCACCACCACCATCTCAGAAAAGGACGTAACACCAGCTAAGTAGAGGGATGTGCTCATTCTCAAAGTAGAAGACAAGAAGTGCAGTGAGTTTTGTCAGATCTCACTCTCTGGTCCTGTTTTGCACATTGGATGCGGGCAGATTAGCATCTGAGAGTCACAGGGGAGTCTTGGCATCGGTCTTACTTCTCTAGGTCCATCTTCTGGGCACTTTCAAGGTCAAGAGAGGTCTCTGGTACAGGATTATAGGGAAGACCCCAAAATTTAAAGACCCACACAATTAAAAATCTCCACAGGAAATTTGTGGCGCGTGTGTGTAATCGAAGCAGAGAATGTGCCAGGCCTCACCTATTCCCCGAAGTCCGCCCTGAAGTATCTCATTAGGTAAGGCTGAGGCCTTCCTGCTGCTGCTTATGTATCCATTTTAACTGATGGCTGGAGCTGGCCCTACATTTACCCATAAGCTCTGGTTATTGGGGAGTGTGATACCCTTAAGCTCTGGGTATTGGGGAGAGTGATACCCATAAGCTGTGGGTGCTGGGGAGTGTGATACCCTTCAGCTCTGGGAACTGGGGAGTGTGATAAAGCTCTGGGTATTGGGGAGAGTGATACCCATAAGCTCTGGGTACTGGGGAGTGTGACACCCTTAAGCTCTGGGTATTGGGGAGTGTGATACCCTTAAGCTCTGGGTATTGGGGAGAGTGATACCCATAAGCTGTGGGTGCTGGGGAGTATGTTATCCATAAGCACTGGTTATTGGGGAGTGTGATACCCATAAGTTCTGGGTATTGGAGAGAGTGATACCCATAAGCTCTGGGTTCTGGGGAGTGTGATACCCTTAAGCTCTGGGTATTGGGGAGTGTGATACCCTTAAGCTCTGGGTACTAGGGAGTGTGATACCCATAAGTTCTGGGTACTGGGGAGTGTGATACCCTTAAGCTCTGGGTACTGGGGAGTGTGACACTACCTGCCAGCCAGCTGGAGCTGGTAGAGCCTGTTCTGAGCCAGTCTTGGAAACGGATCTGTTCGAAGAGGTAAGAAAAACCAGTTTACAGTAAGTTGAAAACTCTTGTTCACTTATCCAACAACATACAACCCTGTACATATATGTGCAAGTCCACACAGATGCTCTGAGGCCGAAGTACAAGTCTTTTTAGAAAATTCAAATAAAATCATTCCAGGCTATTCATATTTAAACAAAAGTAACCCACAGTCTAGATTTCTCTGTGTATGTGCCAGGCAGTGGTGACAGAATTGTCACAGGAGTGTGACTGCTGCTGTGACACCTTGAGACGATCTCACCGATGTTCACTTTTTCAGATGCTGGCTCCAGTGCGGCTGGCTGAGGTTTTAAGTCAGAAGCTTGGGACACAGTACTAAGCCCCTGGTTCCATTTTCCAGAACCGTGGTCACTCTGCAGTATTTTTACCTTTCAGCTGATAAAGTCACCTTTCCTCATATTCAAGTTGTACAAACTGGGTCCCTATTAAGTACGAAGCATGATTTACTTAGAGCTAGAGGGTTAAGAGCCAGTGAGAATCAAACAGGATTGTGGGGAGCAGCTGAAGCTGGAGACCATCACACCTGCGGGGCAAACAGCAAGGTCAGCCCCAAGGACACAGAGCACCCCAGGCCAGCAGGGCAAACGAGATGCTCTGCTCAGCAGAGGGCTTGCAGTTCACAGTAGCCTCCCGGTGCATAAGCAAACGTGCTGTGGTTGCTGGGCAAGCGTTTCTCCCACCAGGAGAGGAAGCTCCGCCAGACCATGGCTTTCTGTGTCTTGACTTGTTTTCCTTCACCCACCAGGGTGCCCCCTCCACTGTGCTCCTGGACGCAGCACAGGACACAATGACATGACCTGTGTGCTCCTTGGCAACTCAGAACCAAATGGGAAAGGCTGTTCACACCCAAGGAACATGTTTTGGGGTAAAAGTTTCTCTTGAGAAATAACAGGGATTTTTAACCTTTGGAGTCATTTAATTTGCTGAGCCATTTCCTCTTTCTCTCCTACATCTGTGACACGGCATAGCTGGGTCAGGCAAGTAGGTGTCCCTGTTGGGGTGGGGGCCAAGCTCCCTGGAGGCTGCTTCTCACGCGGAGCCTGACAGCAGGAAAGTGGAATGAGATGCCTCACGCAGTGCTGATCCGTGCAAAGCCATGCACACCAGCCACACACTGGCCTGGGCACCGACACGCTGGCCCAGGTAAGACTTGCGCCACTTCAGTGGCTGTGCATCAGTGTCCTGGCCCACATTCCAAATAAGTGCTGCCAGAGTGCTGCAAGCACCCGCTAATGCCTGGAGTCCTGCGGGCGCACAGACGAGGAGGAAGGGCGTCGAGGGCTTCTGGCTGGTGCGACCCTTGAGGTCAGAGACTCTGGGTTTTGGTGACCATTGTCTTACACCACAGAGAAAGAGGTGTCCGAAAATACTGCGTGAGCAGGAGGAAAGGGAGGGAGGAAGACAGAAGCAGAGTGGGGGCAGATAGGAGAGTGAGGAAGCGGTGACCAGTTACTCAGCCCAGGCCCAGCCATGCGGGACGGACCCCAGGCCTCTGTCCGGGTGAGGCCACACTGCGCACCATGCTCCTCTAGGGCCCGCCATCCCCGCAGACTCTGGCCTGCAGTGGTGGGGCAGGCTGGCACTCTCCCCTGCAGACAGCTGCAGCTCTCTCATTTCCAGTAACATGGCTCGGCAGACTCTTCTTTCTGAAGACAATTCGGGTGGCTTCAGTGGACAAAAGAGGCAGTGACGTGCTCTTCCTGAACCGACAGCTCTGGGTTAAAATGCGGACCCTCCTGCTCACTGAGCTGCACAATCCCAAGCTCTGCACGTGCAAAAACTGTTTTCCATGCTCATGAATTTATCTCAGTACCTACACAGAGCAATAGTCAGTAAATACTAGACAGCAGTTCTCCTCACGTACTGGAACCCTTACTGGTTCCGTCATCTATCAAATAAAGGGTGCAGTGCATGCACAAGCAGAGATGCACGTGGGGGAAGCAGGCTGCAGGCGGGTGGCCAGCGCCTTAAGAATGGCAGACTGTGCTTTGCAATGGACCGAGAGACCTTGTGTCCTATAAGCTACGGCTCTGGAGAAAGTGCTGTTGGTCCGGCAGTGGCTCTTCCCCTGCAAGCAGTAGAGTCATGATTGTTCCGGGGCACTGGCAGTCAGTAAGCGGTGGTCAGAGACCAGCGTTCCAGGACCGTGGGACAGTCCTGCACCAGTCGCCTGATGTGCGCTGAGGTGCGCTGAGGGGACTCCGGTGGCCTCTAGACGCCCTGCCACACCCACCACGGGGAGGCTGTTTGGGAAGCCCCGGCCTGCATGTGGCCACGTCACACACACACACACACACACACAGAACACATAAATACCCAGCCTCATTACATTAGAAAATCAGATGTCAGTTTTTGATGAATTCATAGAGCTCCATGAAATGCTGAATCAAACAGAAAATGTGGCACTACAGGCAGAAGATCCGTGAAGCGTGAAGAATTTATCAGGTCAGAGAAGGAGTGTGTTTTACACTTTCGTTTGTCTCCTCCTGGCTGTGTCTCCCCACTGTAAACAGCTCTGCCTTTAAGATTTCAGTCTCCCTGCTGAGCGACCAGCCTGCATCTCTCTTGCTTGAAAATCTGTTGATCCCTTTGCAAAGGTACAGACAGAGAAGCAACCTGGTGTGGGCATTGGAGCAGGGGTGAGCAGCAGGTCACAGATGCACGGTCAGAGATCTGGGGAGCCCTCTTCTCCAGGAGTCATACAAGAGATGGAGCGAGACTGGACCTCGTTTGCATTCCTGTGTCCTCATTGGTGCCCATGTTCTCGGCTGAATGGCGTCATCTCCCTCCAGATGTTCAGCAAGATGCACTCGCAGATGAGGTCACCTGACTTTCCCTGAGCCGGACATCACAAAACAGGTGACTGTCTTTCAAAGATTCCTACAAGAAACACCAGGCAGAAGATAATTCCAGTTATGCAAAAACAAGCAAACAACTGAAAAAGAGTTAAACTCATCTCACTGTGCAGCACAGCTCTTCCAAACTCACAGCAAAAGATACACCTGTGGTGGGAGTGGGCACTGCTAAACAGAACTGGCTGGCATGAGAGAAATGCTGTCCACTGGCGCTGTCGAGTACGGTCACCCCGAGGTGCCTGGTGAGCACCAAAACTATAGCCGAGCAGCGCAGGTGTAACTGGTGACAGCCACATACGGATAGTGGCTACCAGCCTGGACGTGCAGGTCTGAGACGGTCAGCGCCCTGGCTGTGACTAGATGCTGTCACACAAGTGCACCTGTCAGCTTTACTCTCCTGAGCCTCGATCTTCGCTCCTCGAGGAATCTTAACACCAACCTCCTGTGGTGGTGGTTCCAGCTAAATTAGTAACAAGCTAAAAGTACTTGGGAAAAGCCTACTCAAACCTGGCAAAAAGGAATACATTACTAATATAATCTGAAAAATGGCCTGACAAACTCTTGTCATCAGTAAACCTTAAAGTTTGTGTGGGCGCTCAGCTATAGGACACTATCGGTATACATCACCAGGCCTGGCAATTTTGTTCATCCTTATTTTATTCTTTCTTACATATATTTTATAACAAACATATAAGTATTTCAGGCACATGCTTCATTTGTAAAAAAAATAACCGACACAATGAACAATCAAGCCCGGAGGTCACTGGGATAAACGGATGGAGTTTGTTTCAGCGTTGGGCAGACGTGTGTGATCATGGTGTCTGTGTCACAATGGTAACTACTGAGTTTGGGGAGCACTGCCCAGGGCACATGTTTACACAGACAGTGTAAAATCATAGTGTAATACCGTAGTGTGACCAACAGAAGAGGTATCAGAAATCATTTTAAGAAATGCTATGTATGTTTTTCAGTAAGACCTGATAAGTAACAAAATTTCTAGAGTAAGATACCACATAAGTGTTGAGAAAACCGTATACTGGTGATAAAAACAACCCAAATAGGGTAAATATTGGAATAGCAATAAAAGTATTATAACAGATAAAATTCACATCGAGTCAAGACCATAAGCTGAGACATAGAAGGGACATTCTACAGTCACCGCGTAGTCGGTTCGTTGGGCAGTTACATCAGTCAGGGATCCAGACACACCTCACACTGCAGCATCTAAGTATATGACACAACGCGAAAGGCTCGGACAGCTACTGCAATACAGTGACAGTGGGAATTTGTGCTTTATTTTCAGCCATGGAAGGATCGTCCATTGGAAAATGAGTAAGAAAACACAGTAGTATGAAATTAAAGTCAGTAACATGAATTTTCAAAAATTCACAAACACATGGGAACTAAAAGATGCTCCTGAACAACCAATTGGCGAATGAAGAAATTAGAAACAAAACTTAAAAATACTTTGAAGCAAACAGAAATAGAAACATAACATACTGATATGTATGGGATACAGTAAAAGCAGTTCTAAGAAGAAAGATTACAGCAATAAATCTTACATTAAAAAAGAACAAGCCACCAGGTGTGCTGGTGCATGCCTATCATCTCAGCACTCAGGAGGCTGAAGCAGGAGAACCTTTGTGAGTTCGAAACCAACCTGGGCTACAAACTGAGCTGAAGGCCAGCCCGAATTATATAGCGAGTCTCTGTCTCAAAAAGACAAAAAATAGTAAGTTTAAAAAAAAAGAAAAGGAAGGAAAGAAGAAAAAGAGAAGCCAGGCATGGTGACTCACAGCTGTAATCCCAGCTCTCAGGAGACTGAAGCAGGAGGATCAGGGTGGGTCTGAGGCCAGCCTGGACTCCATAATGAATTCAAAGGTAACCTGAACTACATAACAAGATCCTGTCACAAAAACAGACACACATGCAAACAAAAAGGAACACAGACCTCAAAGTTACTCCTCAAAGAACTAGAGAAAGAACTAAATAATACCAAAATTAAGATGGAAGAATAGAGTAAAAGATTAGAGCAGAAATAAATACAATAGAGAAGAGAAGCAAAACGAGTGGCTTTTTTTTTTTTTTTGAAACGATATTCAACAAACCTCAGAGCTAAGGAGGAAGAGAGGACTCACACAAAATCAAACAAAAAAGGAGACAAAACTACCAGCACAGCACAAAGGCAAAGGGTACAGAACTACTCTGCACAACTGTGTGTCAGCAGATTGGGTGACTCAGGATGGGTTCGTTCTTGGCACCTGCATCATCACACCATCACTGACTCCTAAAAAATATCTGAACAGACCAGTAACAAGGAGACTGAACCCATAAGACTCTCCCACCAAAGAGAAGCCAGGACCTGAAGGCTTCACTGCTCAATATGCATTCAAAGAAAAACTAATACCAATGCCTCTCAAACTTTTCTGAAGACATGAAGAGGAAAGAAGACTACCAGAACCTTTTTACAGGCCGTCATTGCCCCAGCGGAAGTCAGGCAAGGCCCATACGAGAAAAGGACTGGACAGCGTCCGTGATGAATGTACTACAAACATCCTCAGCAAAACACAAGCAGACCAAACCTAACAACAGTGAAAGCATCGCCTGGTAGGATACAGTCCTTCAGAGTACACAGATCTGTATTTGTGATATACTACATCAGCAGAATGAAGGGGAGAAATCAGGATCGTCTTCACATGCAGAAAAGCTGACAAGATTCAACATTCTTCGGTGGCAAACCTCTTCGCGGGCAATCCTCGGAAGCACAGAGGGTGCAGGTGAGGTTAGGTTATGCTTGGATGCCTTCCACCAAGATCTGGAACTAGGCAAGGCTGCCACTCTTGCTATTTTGTCATCACAGTATTTAAAGCCTTGTGGAACAATTAAAAAGGAGGAAGAAACAGAATGTACCCAAATTAAGAAGAAGTAAGCCTTGCCTCTGTTGTCAACATCCATAAAGTAAACTCTGAGGGGCGGGGACACTGCTCAGCAGCACAGCGCCTGCCTGGCAAGTGTGAGGTCCTGAGTTCCAGTCTTGAATTACAAAAAAGCATCAAGAAAAAGTCAATACTCAGATGTTAACTAACTAAGGAAGTGAACGATTTCTACAAAGGAGATCAAAGAGGAAGGACAGCAGAAAACGGAAAGGTAACCCCTGGCCTGGGATAGGCAGAACCATAGTTAAAATGTCCAAACTTCCAAAACTGGCACACAGACCGACTACACTTAAACCAAAGTACCAACCACGCTGCATTCTTCGGAGAGCGGGAGAAGTGGCCCTAAACTCACACCCCGCTAGCACTACACGCCCCCAGCCTGAAGCCGCTCTGCCGGCCTTCTCCGTCTTTAGTCACTGCCACGGTTGCCTCGATGTCCTGAGAGGACTCCCACTGCTCACGGTCATCCTGACTTGGCGGAGAGCCGGGAGTCATGGAGTGTCCACAATGGCGCATAAGGCGGCCGAGGACACAGCGTTTCATCCGAGCCTGCCGGGCCCCTGGACAGCATTCCCGGATTTCTCCTCTGTACCTGGGTTTCACTGCAGGAAGTATCAGGATGCCATAGTCCCCAGTTAGATCACGCGTCTCTCTGGGCTCTCCTTTTCTCCTGACTATACAGGAAGTCCCCACTTGCAAACGTTCTAGCTGGGACTGTCCCGGGTGCTCTGCAGAAGAGTATGAATGAGTCTCGAACATTCTCCCCGAAGGGACCATGATCACAAGCCGGGGACTGACGGACTGCAGTAGTTCTGGGGGTTAAGGGTCAGCTGCTCTGTGGACCCCTCGGCCTCTGCTTGCTGCTGTCCTCCTAGACTGGCAGGGCTGAGGCTATGGGTCTCCATGTCCTTCTCCTCACTTCAGGGAGCGACATCAACACAACTTGTCACTGTAGCATTTCCCGTGGTCACTCGGGGAAGGGCGTGTCCATCAGCTCCTGACCCGCCAAGCTGCTGCGTTTCTCTGTCCTTTGGAAACAAGTCACCACGTGTGGCTCACAGTCCAAGGGAGGCTGCCAGAAGCTGAGGACTGCAGAGCAGTCCGGCTCAGGCTGGTGGGTAGTGGAGCTGAAGTCAGTTTTTATTTGGAGAAAAAATTGAAATTAGAAGAAATGAAGAGACCAGGGAAATTAAGTAGCTTTCCAGTGATTTCCCCAGACAAGGATTTCAAAGGTATTATGACGAAAATCAGCTTTTGAAGGAGTCTAGAGTCTGCAACAGTATATAAGTTGCCTCTGTTCTCTTGGAATCACCCAAAAGAAATAAAAGAGAATATTTCCACTTGGAAGAAACTAGACAAAATGGGTAATCTCAACCCGAAGCGCATGAGAAGGGAAAAGAGAGGTGCAGAGAAAACTGATGTGGGGAGACAAGGGGAGGTGCCCACCTTCCCGGCTCTCAGGCAAACTGAACAGCACAAGGGCATGCGGGGGAAACCGGAAAACATGTAAAAATCGGGAAAGAGGTAACAGTGTCATTATTAATACACGACTGTTCTTCTCAAGGAAGACTTCAGAGGTGCCTCTGGGAAGGAGACGGGGGAGTCATGCTGGAGGTCGGCTGCTCGCGCCCATCACCTAGTTTTAAAAACAGGAAGACATTTTGTATTGTTTGTGCTGAACTCTCAGCTTAAATCATCTACAGCTCGCCAGAAACATCTGATATGAACATCAAATTCAGAAAGCAGTCCAGGTCCTGGGAAAAAGGTGCTCTTAAGTTTTAGCAGGTGGCATTATGCTTCCTGTCCCCAGGACCTAATATTGGGCAGCCACGACCTAGGGAGGGCTCAAGAAGCTCCTGGTTTTGGGGACTCAGTGCTGGGCACAGGTGCCAAGGCAGGAAGCTCATGGTAAAGGGGCAGCAGAACACAGCTGAGTGGCTCGTGGGGGCTGGGCAGTGAGCGAAAATGGCACCCCTAAGGGGTGAGGGACCAGATGGAGCACCCACGGCCCTGATTCCTGACCCACCCAGCCGCCAATCGGGCTGACACCCTATTCTCTGTCACTTTCCGTCCACTGAACTGTATCTTTAGCACTTTCAAAGCCTGGCACTCTATGTCTGGCCACGCAGCACACTGTAATACAAACCATGCCATCTCCCAAGTCTCTTCAGTTGGCCGTCACTGAACTGGAGCCCTGCAGTGTCTGTCAGGCTCCGGCATCTGATCATGTTCCCTTGGCACTGACTCCAGGCCTACCGTGCTGCTCTCTAACTCCGGGCCCGCCCGATGCCCTGGCTTTGCTCCACACCTCTGAAGACAGAGCTGCCTCGCTGAGTGACCTCACCCCGCGCTGCCTGTGCAATCACCCGTACTACCGGGGCCAGCTCAATCCCAGCTTTTCATAAAGCTCTGTGCAAACCACGTGGCAGGGGTACCACAGACATGTGCATGCACACACACACACACACACACACACACACACACAAGAAACGTCATAAGACAGAAGCAAAATGGTCAATTTTAAAAAGTTATTTATTAAACAAGTTAAATACAACTAAAAGTACGTATAAAAGTCCAAATTATTGGATCCCTTTTGAAATATGTATTCTGAGAACAAACTTTTGTCAATCTTTTTAATGGTAAGAGAAATGATAAAAATTAAACAGATATGAAAAAATTCTTAACCAAATAACAGAGCGTGTGATAATTGCAGAAATAAAAGACATGACCACAGAAACTGCCAGATCACGAAAGGGAAACACCCCACCTGCTCTGAGCGCCTCTGGCCACGCCACGGGTGCTGACCGGCCCAAGGCACCCAGCGGCTCGCCTTGGTACAGGGTCTTACCCTGTGGTACCCAGGATCATTCTGCATTGGCATGCATTTGGCATGTAAACAGTCCATTTTCGGGGGACTCATTTAATATGAACATCATTTATACTAATGGAAGGTGAACAGAAACTTGTAATTTACCTGTCTTGATTTGAGATAATTTGTGGGTTTGACCGTTCTGCTAAATTCCAAAATCATAATCACCAAATGTACTATCAAAAGAAGATGATTCGGCTTTTTAAAAAACAACTTCTAAAAATTTCCTTACTTCAGGGTGAAAGGAAATACAATTCTTTGCTCTGACATTAGGGCTCTTAGTTTCTATGGTTAACACAAAAAACCGTGTAGGAGGGAGGAGCCCACAGAAAGCCCGGCCTTGCCTGCAGGTGCACGCGGGAAGAGTGGCGCTGGACCCCAGCTCTGCCCCTCGAAGGTGGGCTCCCCACCCCCAAGCGAGGCCTGCTGCAAGGCAGCCAGGGCTCTGCAGGAAGACGTGGGAGGAACAGGGGACCGGCCGGCTCAGTCGGACAGCGAGGGGGAGCGCACAGACCTGCCGCTGGCCGGGCTGGAGAAGGTGAAGGGCTCCTTGTCCTTGTCCCTGCTGTCATGCTTGTGCTTGTGCTTATGCTTGTGCTTGTGCTTCTTCTTCTTCTTCTTGTGCTCATGGTGGTGGTGGTGGTGGTGCTCGCCATGCTTGGAGGCGGTGGCCTCTTTTGGGAACACTGGCAGCGGGGCCGCAGCCACCGCGGGGTGCGCACTCATCTCCAGGGGTGACTGCTCCTTACCTTGGAGACAAAGACACTGCATCAGTCCCTCCCGGAGTGAGAAGGTGGGACTGTGACAGTACTGGGCCAGAGGGGCCCAAGCGCCCACTTGCAGCCTGAAAGCCCGGTCACAGCACCCTCAGCACCGCGGCGGGCAAGCGGGCTATCTCCATCCTTTCTGTTCAGCCCAGACCCCTGGGGCCACCGACCCGACTCAAGGTTCAGACACCAACGTGGATAAGGACACCAGGGATGGAACAGGGACGCCCTTGCGGCTCCAGGTGAAGGACAGCTCCTCCTCATGGCAGCCACCGGCAGTGAGAGAGGCTCCCAGAGACACAACACCTCTGCAGGCCTGTGACGTGAGCCTGGGAGGAGGCAGGCACGGCTCCTGGCCCACTCCAGCCCTCTCGTCTCTCACAGCACCCTGAGCAGCCTGGCTCCCAGCAGGTGAGTGGTAGGATCAGGCCCCTTTCAGGTGGTCCCAACTGGGGCCAGAGCAGACCCTACTGGCACCTCTTGGGGTCAGCGGCCAGGACACTCTTAGAGTGTCCCATGCCCTATGCCAGGCAGGTCAGCACCCTGGGGCTCATCTGACTGCTGGCAGAACAACAGCCTTGCCAGCCAGGGCAGCAGCTTCTGCAATCACCATTTTAAAATCCAAACTACAACAAAAACAGAAATGAAACCCAGACTTCACTGAAACAGCCACCAATGCAAGTTTTTCTTTTTTAAAAAGTAATTTCTCAGTACTAATTTTGCTCCAAACCAGACCCCAAACCTCCCCACCAAAACAGCCATCGCCACAGACTTGCAAAACCCGCAACTACGCATGAATTGTGGTGACGGCCACGTGTCCCCAAGTCACCTCGGGGCCCATTGCCGCTCTGAGCACGAGGGCCCAGCCTTTCACAACAGCATGTGTGTAAATGCCATCCCTGTGCCTGGAAAGCCCTTCCTGCTTTCCTTCTGAGGCTAACATTCTTCTAACAAACGCCGACAGCAATCCAGGACCCAGGGAAAACAGCGGTGAACTGGAATGACCTCAGCACTGTCCCCTGGGGCCGAGCTCCTGTCCTCTCCACCCTCTCAGCCCCGGTACTGACAAGCTGTCACTCTTCCAACAGGATGTCAGGCGAACTTGGTCCAAACAGACAGCAGCGTGAAGGTCCCTGGCTTGGGGAGAGAGGAACAAAGCAGGCAAACTGAACAGACCACGCTTCCAACTGGTACTCGACTCTTTCACCCGTGCGTGCCACAGTGCTCCACTACAGAGGGATGGTGATTAACCACATTTCACTATCACAAAGGGGTTTTTTACATTTGTGATCGTTCTCTGCAAAGCTGGCACTGGTACTACTGCAAAACCTGAACATGTACACAGAGCAGCAAGTTTGAGTCTTTTTTTTTTTTTTTTTGTCTTTTTCGTTTTTATTGGTACCAGGAATCGAACTCACGACTGCCTGCTTGCAAGGCAGGCGCTGATGCCGATGAGCTAAATCCCCATCCCCAGAGCAGCAAGTTTGAGAGCATGCACTTTTTGCAGTAGCTGGTCCCCGGGGCTGGGCGCAGCTCAATGGCAGGGGTTGCTTAGCATCGCTAAAGCACTGGGTTTTTGATGGGGTGGGGTGACAAAGATTTGGAGAGGGAAAGAGGGGGTCAGAGAGAGGGGGCATGAGCGGGGACCTGGGCAGCTTCAAGGGAGTCAAATCTCTATTCTGACCTGAAGTGAAGTGCAAAAGTGAAACGGTTTACAGTGCTATAAACACGGGAGCCAAGGGGACAGAGGACAGAGCCAGGTCAAAAGGAGAAGGCACGAGACCGCAGAGCCTCAGGACCACTCGGCTGCTGGTGCGCACTTCATGCTGCATACGGACAGATGGGGCCAGAGTGTGACGCTGCACCCCTGCACCCCAGCTGAGCTCCAGGGCCTGGGAAGAGTCGTGCCCGAGGGAACTGGGCTTCCCCTCAGAGGGAGGGCCACACAGGCCACAGGGTGCTCAGGGTGCACTTCCCAGGGATCCCTCCTGGGCACCTCTGTCTGAGGCCCAGCAGCTTCCCAAGAGGACACTGACTACAAAGCAAAGTGAGTCACGTGCAAAGCTCGGCCCAAGGCTGACCTGATGAAATCGGATGCGCTCTCATCCGATTCGGTTCCTGACCAATGCGGAGGATCTAGTAGCCAGCTGCCATGTGGATTGTGCAGGGACTAAAGCCACGCACTGCTAAAGACAGGAGCCACAGGCATGTGCTGTGAGGAGGCATGCGACAAGATGAGAGACCTGCTAAGCCTGTTCATGTAAAAACAACCATGAACGCGGTTTAAAAGAGACACATTTAGAGACACTCTCACTTTTAGAGACACAGACTGCATTAGACACAGTCAGATCTGCTTGAAAACAATTCGGAAGAGTAGGATCGGACCGAGCACAGGTTAAGGACTGAGTGGACCGCCACTGAAATGAAGTGAGGGACGCCTAGAGCTCAGGACGTTGGTCTCATCCTCCACGCTTGCCGTGACAGCGCGCTGTCCAGTAAGCACGTGCCACGGGGGCCTGGCCAAGCCCTGAAACACAAACTCTCTGCATTCTCCAACTCAGAGTCCACTGCTGGAGCCCCCCAGGCCCTCTGCTGGTGCGTGTGCAGGCAGACCCATCACCCCAGTCTCCCGGCCTCCACTCTGGACTCCTGATCTATGAGGACGGCACGCATTCCACTCAGCCCTTCTCCCACCTTTCCTAAGGAACTTTCACCCAGAGTCACGTGCAGGACAAGCTGCCCCCAGCGGGCCATGTGCATAGTTGGCTTGGGGGGCCCAAGGGGCCTCACACAGTGGTGAGAGGAGGTTGCCCGAGGACTCTCACCAATCAAACGGCCACACCGAGAACCCTGGACACAGTGACTTGCGGAATTCCAAATTCTGCCTCAGGCATTTATGCAGTGCCCACCTAGACAGGGATCAGGCATCTCTAGGCTACGAAAGCCCTTCCAGTGCCAGGAAACACGTATTTCCACTTTAGATGGCACTACACGTTATCCATATTATTATTATTGTTTTGTTACTGGCGATAGAACTGAGGACCCCAAACTTACCAGACAGGGGCTGTGCTGCTGAGCTATATCCTCAGCCCCCACGATGGGAAAATACGGTAATTTTCCTATTTCATGTTATTTACAAAGAACAAAAACAACAAAAAATACTCGGTTTTGCTCTAGCGCACATAGGTTCCGCCCTGAGACCTGAGAAAGGGGCTGCTAGGCCACGACGGGAATGGAGACTCTGCTGAGTGTCACGCTGGTGCAGGCCGGGTGAGCACAGAACCTGGCCTGACCCGAGGGCAGGCGCAGCCCTGTCCTTGGGGGCTCATTAGACTGCAGTACACAATGTAGTGGACCTTGTCATCATAATTTATGGGTAAAAGAATCCAAGTCTGTTTCAAAAGAGTTTCAAAAGAAAGACCTGTAGGGAGGCCTTCCAAGCTTTAAGACAATGGTTTCACTTCAGGGAGTTTCTAGCATCAGAATTGTCCCTGGAGGTGGCTGTCAGGCTCCTTCCTCTCCTCCTGCACACAGCTCTAGGGGCCCGGGGAGGGAGCCCAGATCCCATGCCCCACCTGCATCTCAGGAGCCATGGCCTTTTCTGCGGCCTGAAATCCTCACCCAGCCAAAGGGAAAGGGATGGAGAGAGAGAGAGAGAGCTCATCTCACCCTGCAGCCTAACCTGCACCATGCAGTCCCCACATGGCCCCCGGATCACCTCCCTGATCATCAGTCATCTCTGTAACAGGGTTGGGGGGAGCAGATGGCTGTCTCTCCTCTAACCCTGTCCCTCCTACCTCCCAGCCCCGCAGTGCCAAGAGCCGCATCCTCCTGGGTTGCAGGAGACCATCTGCAGAGCCCCAGCCCTGCTGAAAGCCCCTCGGCCACAGCTTCCTCAGGAAAAGCCAGCCCTGAGTTCTGTGCATGACCCCTTGTCTTCAGCCATACAGATCCCTGGACAAGCAGCAGCTCAGGATCTCTATGCGTAACTACGTCAAGCGGTGGCCTCTGTGGGGCTATCCCGTTTGTCACAGGAGGCTATCTGAGCTGCACTCCTCTGTTTGTATCGGGTGAAACACACAGCTTATACAAACCAACCCAGAAGTTCACAAGGGGGCAAGTCCAACTGTCCTTTAAGGATGACAGCTTGCATGCCATCCTGTTCCTCGAGGCTCTGTATCTGATCACAGGAAGCCACCGGGGAGCACAGGAAGCAGAGGCTCAGGTGAAACAGCTGATCTCCCTCGAGTGACTTCCCATCAAAAGCCTAGGTGGTGTGGACTAATTCCCAATCGGTACAGCAACAGGGTGACAAGGGGCAGGTGTCTACATTCCACAAAGGTATAATGTTAAGGTTTCAGGATTTTCAGTGAAGTTAGCATTTGTTAGCCTATTTAGAAGAGATGCTGAGGAAAAAATAAAACGTTAATAAAATATACTGGTTATATATAATGGCACACTGAGGAGGGTTATCTCGGTGTATTCTTGGTATTTCCAGGCCTTCTGTAACAGCAGTGCGCGGGTTTTGAAATGGAAAGCTGTGGTCTTTAACTGTAGATAATACAAGGTTAATGCCCTGCAAGCAAGTGCCAACCAGGGCTAATGCTTTCAAACATTTTTAAATAAAGTTTACATTTATGAAGTTCATCAGTGTGTTGTTCTGTAAAAACCACCAACACCAAGACGCCCGCCACCACCCAGGACAGAGCCCCGAGCCCATGTGTGCGGTACCTGCTGCCTTGCGAGCGAGGTCCAGGGCCCAGGGCGGCTTTGGCGCAGGGGCGCCCTCACAGCCTGGTGCACGCTGGGGCAGCAGGGCGGAGCGGGCGCTGGCCGGGCGGCACTTAGAGAGCCCTGCAACCCAAACAGAGAAGACGGCCATGCAGCTTTCCTTCCTGAAAGCAGGAAACGTTCTGACAGGTGTTTCTAACTTCGCCACAGCAGAAACAGCTGCATGGCAGCATGCTGGGCTCACGAGGGTCCCAGCTCAGTGGGGTCTGCTCACACCTGAGGGCGCCCGCTGGATCTCGCAGCATGCAGACCCCTCTGCTGCATTTCAGTTTTTACACTGAAGTAAAGCTTGCCTGCCCCCCCAAGCCCTGATGATGAATTCCATTATAAAATTACTGTGAAACAGATCAGAATCATTTCGGGTGCACAGAGGTGTTACCCGAGTAGCTGAATAGCCAGCGTGAAGGGGTCATCACACCCCTTGGCAGCCTGGCTAAGCCTGCTGGAGTTGGCCACGTCACCGCTCGGGTCACTTACAAAAGGCAACGGTTCACCACCTCCAGTCTCCAAATACTTCCAGGCCCACATTCAGCTGGAAGCCAGTCCCCCAGTCCTGCCAGCTCTTCTTAAGCTCACCAGATGGTAAAAACCAGTAAAGGCCCCACCAATTAAATGCAAGCAGCATGGCAACAAGCGAAACGCAAGGCCAGGTGGGTACTGGGAGCTGCAGCACAACGGCTGGGGTGAAACAGAGCAATGGAAGGGCACACTGGTCTGGGAAGGTCACAGGCCACCACCTGCTGGAACTCGGATTCGCAAGGAACACAGAGAAGACGAGGAAGAAAACTCACACTCACCAGAAAAAGCGCATTAAAAAGTAAACCTGAATTTATCGCTTTGCAGGTAATAAGAATTTTAAGTCATATTCCTGACAGCAGAAGTGTTATGATAGACAATAAAGATGATGACTGAGCATTAAGGAATGGATGTGAACTTTTAGATCTGAAAGAAGCTGTGTTATCACTTCCATAAAAATGCAAAAATCAAAAGCAAGGAAACCTATGGAACCATAAACCTACGCGGTGCACTAGAGGAGTCACAGAATGAAGGTAGGGAAAGGAGAAGCTGAGGCGGCCGTGAGGTGCGGGCGCAGGGAGGGGCAGGGACGGCCGAGCATGTGGGGTGTGGATGGGTGTGTGCATGCGTGTGCGCCTGGTCACACGGACGCAGGCTCACGGGGTCTCGCTACGCCGTTTCCTTCACAGGGCCACTCGAGTCTCAGGGAAAGCCTGACTGCTCTGAGCAGTCCCAGGACGCCGCCAGCTTGCAGGGCACGAGCTCCCCGGAAGCTCTAGGGTAACAGCGGCAGTCCCGGGCGTCCCATGCCATCAGCTTGGCTCCTCTCCTCTGAGGACACAGGGCAGCAGCGAGCGAGGGCCTGGTGTGAAGACGCTCAGTGCACAGCGCTGTTCCCAGCGTCTCTGGTGAGAAGCCTGGCGGGCCTGGGCCCAACCACGCTGACAGCTGCATGCAGAACCAGTGTGGCACGGGTGGTGCCCACTGCGGCGCCAGCCAGTTACTGTGAGCACAGTCTCCTCACCGAACAAGACCTCTAATACAATGTTTTATTCTGATGCTAAATCCACCACATGTGCACACACAAGGAACCTGGTAAAGTGGTTTTATAATGACAAATTCACAGCCAGAGATCTAGCTCCATGGCATAGCACTTGCCTGGCAAACGAAAGGTCCTAAGTTTGATTCCCAGTACCAAAAAAAAAAAAAAAAAAAGAAAGAAAAGAAAAGAAGACCTGGCACCTGTCTGTGGCCCCTCTGCAGGGCTGCAGCCTCTCCCCTCCCAACAACCCCCCAGCCCACCCTCCTACCTGGCGTGGACGGCCTCTCCAGCATGCTCAGGTGGTGGGAGATGAAGGCCTGGCTGTCATGTACGGTGTCCATGTCCACCTCCTCCTCATCCTGGGTGCTGGAGAACTGCAGCACATGAGACAAGAGAGGCACCGTCACCTCCCCGCCCTGCTCTGGGCCCAGGACACCTGCCCCAGGATCCTCCAAGGAGCAGCAGGGCCCATGGCGCAGCCTTGAGAGACCGACACACAGGCCCACTAAACCCTCCTGCATGGTAGGAAGGGCGAGCTGGGGGGCTGAGCAGAGAAGGACGGGTGAGCACGGGAGGCCAGCCACTGGCCGGAGCTGTCGGCAAGCACTGGGCCACCAACACCCACACCTGGCCGCCCGATGTCCTGCTAAGGAAGACGCACAGGGCTATTCCAGAGAGTTCCAAGGGATCCAGGCTGACTGGGTGACTGAATGGCTACCCTCATTCTCCAGCCCCCGCCCAGGCTCGGGGCTACCCCGACCTGCGCCAGCCTCCCCTGCCAGGGGCTGAACCGTAACAGGAAGCCTCCTCTGTAAGCTGCTCTCTCCCTAGATCAAGACAGACAGACTCCGGAAGACAGGCAGCTGGGATGCAGGCTGACATACAAACCAGAGCGAGCCCGCTGTGCGGATCAGAGCACGCCCGGGAGCTAACAGTTATCAGCTTCAGGCTTTCAAACTGCAGCCTCCTGCCTGCTGCCTTTAGCAGGAGGAGGAAAACACCTCTGTGGACTTCTGGAGCGGTGGCGGCGAGCCTTTCGAGCTTACACTGGTAACAAGCAGCCCTGTGGCCAAGCGTCGTAGGTTCGCCATCACTGTTCTAGAGCTTTTCCCAAAGAATGTGTCTTTTTATGTCATTTTCTCCTCTTAAATCTTGCAAGGTAAATGTGGATAAATTAACATATATGAGCTAGAATTACAAACACTGATTTTTACAGATTTAGAACTATTTATAAATTAGAAAGGACTCTGTAAATTAGACTGTTTCTATGTAAGCCTTTTTCTTTTTATCCAAACTTTAGGACATACTTTACATTTATGATAAATGGTTTCAGAAAACTTAGGTAAATAAGTAAATTTTAAAATGGCTATTAATTACTATAGAAAAACATGAGTTTTAAAAGCTTTAAAATACCAGAACTGCAAGGCAAATGACCTGGTCTACATATCGCTAGAAAGTAAAGCTGGATGTCTCGGAGACATTTTGTCATGATGAGAACAGTTTCTGGAAAACTTTCTTTAGAGTAAAATGGTGTCCTGCAATAGACATTCAGTACCCAGGGAAAGAGGGGGTTCTCTCCGCAGTGGGGAGCCTGGCCGACAACACCTTACCCACGGTCGGAACTCCCACCGGCGGTGAGCTACTGCAGGGACCAGAGTCTGCGGAGGCCCCACATCAGTGTCGTGGCAACCCTGCCCAACACACACACTCAGTCTGCTCAGAAGACAGCAGATGACCCGCGTGTGGGCCATCACGGGCAATCACTGGCACATTTACAGGACCAAGGTCACAAAAGGTGAAACTTGGGAAATCAGAGCGGAGGCGCCGTGGAAACAGGAGCCTGGCTGCCAGGTGGGTGCCTGACCTGCATCCCGGCATTTCGCAGAACAGCAGAAAAGCTGTGGAGCCCTAACAAGGAGCACAGATTCACTAACAGGGCTGGACTAGGGCTGCTGCCTGGTGTGCCTTAACCAGAGGCTCTGCGGTCATGAAAGTTACCCTGGGAAAAGCTGGAGGCGGGCTCAAGGAACACGGAATTCTCGGTGCAAGTTTTCTGTACCCAGTTATTTCAAAGTAAAAGTATGAAACAAAATAAGTGTCCTGCAAGTCTTTCTACAAAAGGCCTCCCCATTTCATGGTGCTTTCCAAGGAGGGCAAAGCTTTTCTGCAAGGAAGCTCAGAACGTAAACCTGGAAGCGTACTGCGCTCTCCCCGCTGTGGACGTGGTGCGCATTCGCTGCTGTCTGCTTTTATTCATTTCCCTCCAGCAGGCAGCAGCAGCCCCGGCTGTGTCTGGAGCCCAGATAGGGCTGCAGGGAGGGGTTAAAGAGGAGACAGGCCAGGATGCAGGGGTCACCAATTCTGTGCTCCAGTCAGACCAGGAAGCCATCTGGGAGTGAGCCGGCCGGCAACCAGGCCTCCACCAGGTCAGAGGGTGGGAGGGCACAGAAACTGCCTGCCCTGCAGAGCAGTCCCTGAGGTGGTTCCAGAAGCCTACTGCGCCCGTGGGGCCGGGGCTGGAGCCGGGGCAAGGGACCAGGACCAGGACCAGGACCCGGGGTCCACACAGCTCTTACCGGATGCGGAAACCCAGCCAGCGGGGCATGGCTGCCCGGGTTGCTGGTGGCTTCCTGGCTGCCCGCCACGGCCTCTGGAATTATGGTCGGGTTCAGCACGGCCTTCTTCTCCTTCAGGTTGAGCACCAGCCCAAGCTCCGGCAGGGGCAGGCAGGAGGGCCGGCTGAGGCCGAAGAGCGTGAAGTACAGGTCCACAGCACCGCAGCGCAGCCGCCAGTCGTGTGAGGTACCTGGGGGCAGGTGGAGAGATCCAGTCACCACCCGGCCGGCTCCTAGGAGAGCTGTCCGGCCCTGGACCTCCCTGAGCCTCTCCACACCTAGTCCCTGCCCTTGTCCTCTTTCTTCTCTGCACACGGCCACCTATCAGGAAGCAGTATGGCACAGGCCTTTGTGCTCTCCTGCCTCAGCCTCGGGTCTCAGATCCCGAGGACAGCATACACCTCCTCCTCCCGGCCCCAGTGTAGAGGCAGGACTGCCCAGCTGGGACAGGACAAGGCCCCATCTGTCCCTGCGCGCATGTGCATGCGACTCGGAACCTGGGCTTCCTGGAGAGGGAAGCGTGTCCTTGACTTCCACGGTGTGTGGCCGCACTGCACATACATCTTTATATCAGAAATGAGCCCGCCACAGCGAGACCACAGGAGAGGAGCGGGCAGCCCGGTCCCAGAACCATGCCGCCACCCCGCACTACGACAAGACGTTAGGAAAGGAAAGTCGCATGGCGAGTGACAGCTGGGCTAAGACAGTGGACGCCCCATCTGTCACCGAGGGGCTTCCCAGCCGAACGGTGAGAGGGGAGCAGCCCTGGCCAGCAGCGGCCCAGGCGCCGAGGGAAATGGTGATTTTCTGAAATAAAACTAGTATCAACACGCAGATCCACGTTTCCTTCTCTTCAGCCACCTGGAGACCTTTCCTATTCTTTGTGTCCGCACTGCCCAGGGGAGCAGGGCAGGGTGTGTAGTAAATGTCCTCGTGCCCTCTGCTGAGAGGCAGTGACAGCCACCTGCACAAGGCCTAAGGCACACTCAGCCCCTAAATGCTACCGAACTGCAAGTCTGCTGCGCTGTGTAACTGTAAACAGCTCACAGTCTCACAGTCTCACCAGAATTCATGAGTTTCCAGAGCTGGTCTACCAGGGCTTCGTTGCACAGCGGAGACTCCATGTTCTTTGTAAACGGCGGGTTCCTGGTCAGCATGTTGAGAATTTTATGCCTGGAGGAGCAAGACACGAAGGCACTTGCACTCCCTGCTGATGGACAGCAAGTGACCACAGAGAAGGGGTGAAGAACACACACACATGCACACGCACACGCACACACACAGAGTATCAGCCACACAAACAGTTACGTCATCTGTAAGAAACGGGTGGAACAGGACAGCAGGATTGGTGACATAAGTCAGGCTCAGAGGGACCAGTGTCCCATGCTTTACGGTGAGGACTCTTAGAAGGAGAGGGATGGGAGAGTCGACCCCGATGCTAGGGAAGGGACGGGGAGGGTGGGCACGTGCGCAAGGGGCGCAGCACAGCGGTGAGCTTTCCAAAACGTGCCACCCTCACATATGGAAACAACGTATGGAAACCTGCTGTCCGGTAAACTCAACGTGTACTAACAAAACACACACTGAAAGCAAAAGGACCACTACACAGGCTGTCTAAAGCCTGACTACGGAATCCTAACCAATCTTTACCATCCTACTTGCTACAGGATACTCTACTCTCCTTAGGTATGCACCCCTCACCAAAAACCTTAAATATCAGGGAAAAGTATCTCCTGTAGACCTATGTCCATCAACAGACAAGGATAAAGAAAATGTGGTATTTACATACCATGGAGCACTACTCTGCCGTAAAAAGCATCAACCTGAGTCCTCTGAAGGAAAATAGGTGCACCCTGATTCCGCCAGGTGACATCACTCAGACGTGGGCGGCTACACATCACGTCGTTTCTCTTGTATGTGTAACTGAAAGCATAACTAATTTAACTAATTTAAAGTTCAAAATGAAAGATACAGGAAACAAAATGAAAGATACAGATGGGAAGAGGATCCAGGGCTGGGGGAAGAGAGAGCAGGGAGAAGGAAACAAAAGGTTCCCACCGCCACACGTCTGTGAGTTTCCCACAACAACGCATGCACTGCGTGTCACACGCACACTAAGGAAACCTACAGCGGCAAAAGCAGCCAAGGGCCCTTCTTTCCGGCAAGAGTCAAGTTACTGAGCGAACACACACACACACACACACACACACACACACACACGGGATGCTCACACTCAGCCTCAGGAGAGCCGCAGACACACAGACCTGGGCCCGGGGCCAGGGCAAGCCCTGCGGAGCCACGCTCACCTCCCATGTGGGAAGAGTGATTCCTGGCACCCACAATTCGCTTTCTCTGCTCCTGACTCTGAAGTTTTACCCCAAAATCCTTCCAAGTTTTATCTAACTCTATCGAAGTTTACACACTAGTAATTCTGACACAAACAGAAAATCAACAGGAACAACTATCAACTTTTAAATTTTTATTTAAATTTAAGGGCTAGAAAAATAAATGCCTGGAAGCCAGGCTTGGTGTTCACACCTATTAACACCAGCATTCAGGAGGTTGAGGCAGAAGGATCACCAAGAGTTGGAGACCAGCCTGGACTACATAATGAGACATGGTCTCAAAACAACAAATCCAAAACAAACAAACAAACACAAACGCAAAACAACAAAGACCCAAAATAAACGCTTGTATTTGGGGCAGGAAAAGGAAATGGCTCTGATTTTAAGAAAGATAGAAACTTCCAGTTATGTCTTTAAGAAGTATATTCAATTAATACAACCAAATACAGCCTCCCTATAGGATGGTTATTTAATTATTTTTTTAAAAAGAGTAACACTGTGCATAAAAAGGAGACGGTTCCCATTCAAAATACAAAAACAAACAAAACAGTTCCAGGACCCTAAAAACATACCGACAGAGCCACCACCGCATGTTAACTCTCCTACCCTGCCACCATTTGATGTCAATGGAAACTTTTTTCAATGTGGAATTTTTATAACTGTGTCTATTAAGTACACGCCAAATGATGCTTAAGCTGAGAAGTTCCTTAACAGTGATCTGCACGAACTGCACCAGCCATGAGAAATATCCAAACCCTAACCATGGAATGCACCTCTGACAGATTTTCGGCTCAGGCTGTAGGTGACCGGCTCCTGACATCGGAATGAACCATGGCAAGGGCACCACAGCATTTCCAAGGCAGTCACGTAGGTTACACCGCTTATAATCACAGTACTAATCACTCACTACGAAATTATGACAATCTGCTAAAACTTAGAAACAGGCCTCACATACATGACTTTCAAAACACGAACTCTGGAACGTGCTGCTCATGTAAACCGAAAGCAAATAAATCCACACGGCCCCTTCCTGCCTGCAGACAGCACCAGGCACAGGCCGTGCCCTTCCATCAAGCAGCCTCGTGTCCTGCATGTGTCTATCTGCTTTGAAAACAACTCAGACCAGGAGTCAAGAAATCTTAACAACAAAACTTTGTACAACAAAGTATTTTTATGACACACAGCGCTTGACACTGTGAAACGCAAGGCCACCTCACGGAGAGCTCGCTGCGGGAATCCAGCTGAGCCGGAATCCAGCTGAGCATCTGTGGGCTCAGACCCTGCACCCTGAGCCTGGGGGAGGCTGGAGGCCGGCGGAGCTCACGTCCTTACAGCAGCATTTGCCGACTGACGTGTACACCTGAGCACGTGCTGGGGTCTCCGGGCCAACCCTTGTTCCTAACTGAAATAGCTACCAACTTCCCTTCATCTGTACATGGCTTCTCTAGGCCAGGTGTGGCGACCCACGTCTACAACAACTCTGGAGGCCGAGGCAGGAGGACTGTGAGCTGAGACCCAGCCTGGGCAATATAGGGAGACTGTCTCAAAAGAAAAAAATTTCTTTCACAAAGTCACAACATTACACCAAATGAAAATCTGCCCATTATGGACAAAGAAAGGAAGACACAGAAATGATAAATTTAATTCTACCAGAATACCTTATAAATATTCTACTTTGTGCCAGGCGGTGGCACTCACCTATAATCCCACCACTTGGGAGGCAGGAAGATCACTGCGAGTTCAACAGTAAGTTCAAGGCCTGACTACATATTGAGACACTGTCTCAAAAAACAAACGTAAGAAAAAGACTGGGATTTTTAAAAAATTTCCAAAATTTTAGTACTTTCAAAATAATCTGAAGTCTCAGGAGGCTGGGGATCTAATTCAGTGGTACAAGCACCTGCCTGGCAAGCACAAGGTCCCGAGTTCAATTCCCAGTACCAAACAAACAAACAGACAAGTGAAGTCAAGTACTAGAGGCTTCATAATTTGGAATAAATAAGGGACTACGTGCTTCATTACAAACTGTTACACAAGTTTCCCTTTAAATTATGAAAGAAAGCATATTTAAAATTACAGAAAAGAAACTGCTTATTAACAACATACTTTGAAAGTGTTTTTTCAAAGACAAATTACATTTTTAGAAGCATTGAAGAGAGCACATGAACAGGCGAGGCACAGCCGAGGCGAGCCTGGGCACCTGCCCAGACCTCGATGGACCCGCACGGAACTCAGAAAGCGCTGAGGGCGTAGCTCAGGGGCAAGCCCGCGCCCGGGCGCACTGTGCAGTTCAACAGGAAGGCGAAGGACAGGAATGAGCCACCAGCGTCCACGCACAGCTCTCACGGGGACACTCACCGCACATAGGGCACGGGGTCGCTCTGAATCATGCTCAGCAGCCACTGCAGCTCCTCGTAACTTCTGTCCACTGCAAAGACAACGGGGGACACGCACGTGTGGTCAGAGTGACCGCCAGCACCAAGCGCACTCGAGGGCTCAGGCTGGCTGGGCCTCCACCCAGCGTCACATGAGATCGCTCGGAGACGCTGGACCCCAGCAGTCGGCCACCAGACCCGGCCACCAGCCGGAGGTGGGCTGGCCCTGCCTACGTGGTTTCTTCATTTACACCAAACAGCAGTCTTAATTTTTCAGTGTAACATAAAGGGTGCTAGGACTATAGGGACATAAACGGACTCACTTTACCTATGCAGTGACACTGTTTCTATAATTTGAAGAGATTTATGAAATTTTATTACAGTTTTCACTTCTTTCTGTTCCTAAATCCAATATTTAAATTTTAAATTGAACACATAATGAAGTCCTGGTTTATGGTTCACACTTAGACTCCGTCCTATGAAATTATACCTCTTCGCATCCTTCTGGAATCATAATATTAGTACTTATTTCCTCCTAACAGTACCAACTCACAAATCTTCCCGAGACGCTGAATGTCATTCACCCCTCGTGGGAAAGTGGGCTGGGGATGCTGGCACACTCAGTGCCTCCCAGGACTTTTGGGACACCTGCAGTTCCAGCACCCTCAGGCCACAAGTCTGAGGCCAACAAGGCCTGCCTGGACTACAGAACAAGACCCTGTTGATTTCAAACTGGTTAAACAGCAAAACAGAAAGGTAGACTAATACACAGTTACAATGTTCTTCCTGCAAAGAATTCATTATTCAACAGATTGCTATTTCTACCATTATCTCTTACATGAAAGCATATTTTAACCAGCAAAAAAAAAGAACACACATCAGTTGTGACCTGAGCCCGAGCTATGTGTCACGAAACACACTGTAACACTTTCTCCACTATCAGACTACACAGATTTCTACTGAAATTTATCAAAGTCACAAATAAGTACTGACACCCGTGCTGAACACGTGGCGGTGAACCAGCGTCCACTGAAGAGTCCCTGCCCCTTCCTTTCTTTCCAGTCAGACAAGCAGCTTAGCGAACCTTTGCCTCCACAGGCTTCTGTGGTTGTGGTGCTGGAACTAGAGATGCAGGCTACATCCGTGTATTTCTTTTATTTGTGAAACATGGCTAAGGTCAACAGTGGGCCTAACGAGCGCGAAAGCCCAGCCTGCCCTGTCACAGGGCCACCAGCTCCATGCCCGGCCTGCGTGTGCGAGACCGCGGCGCTGGGGCACACTTCCCCCACCACGGCTGTCCCGTCACAGCCTGCCAGGACCTCCGGCCAGGGCTACAGGGCCAGCCACTGCGCGCGTCCTGGGCCTCCCTGTAAGTTCAAAGGCCCTGGGCCACTCTTCTCCCCTGCGCAGCCCAACACCCCTTGGCCACCCTGACAAACTACAGTTCCACCCACTCTGTTCCCTGTGCATCATTTCAAGGATTATTGTGTTTCTTCCCTATGGCTTTGCTCTTCATACACTTTCCCACATTATGAAAGTGCTTTTAAGGTGTTGCTATGGTTGACACATTGTGTCAACGTGAGACCTTTAGGAGTCTAACTGAGGACTCAGCAGGGAGCCAGGGTCCTTACTTGGTAAACACCCTCAGCCTGTGCAAGAGGAGGGCAGGGAGATTTTGTGAGTGCTACACCTGCCCTGGAGGGGGAAGGGGTGACCTGTGTGCAATATAAGGGGGAGAAGGCTTGTCTCCTTCCTCCCTCTGCCCACCCTTTTGCTCTGGCTGCTTCTGCTGGCTGCTGCCCTGAAGTGCTGCCCCAGTGCCTTGGAGCCAGCAGAGTATGGACTGAAACCTCCACAGTGAGCTGAATAAACCTTTCCTTCCTTCATTTTGGGGTGCCTGGTATTTTGTCCCAGAAAGGAGAGAAAAGTAACATGTATATTACTCTTTCAGTCATTTTTTGGCCTGCATTCATGTTTTTCACACTTTATAACACCTTGCCTAACTTCCCTATCAAAGTTCTTGCTCTATGTCCAGACACAAATTGTTGCATAGGTTTAAGATGTTTAGAAACTTTCCAGAAATCTCCATTTCTTCTTCTTTTTGTTTTTGGATTTTTATTGGCGGGGGTCTTGCTATACATAGTCAGGCTGGCCTTGAACGCACTATGTAGCCCTGGCTGGCCTCAAACTCCTGGCCATCCTCCAGCCTCAGCCTCCTGAGTGCTGGGATGACAGATGTGACCACCACACCTGGCAAAAAATCTTCCATTTTTCAAAATAGCATGAAATTAAACCTACTGAGTAACACAGTTGATCAAAAAACACAGTGAATATTTAGAGTTTAACTTTGTCACAGTAGACTTCTGGGAGAACATGGCGGACAGATAGCAGCAGCTACGGAGGCTCTCTGAAAGACTCGGCTTAGTAATCAGGAATGGTGCGGAGTAAGGAGTCATAAGCAGGTGGAGATAAGCTCTGCTGACCCAGGAACGAACTGGGCTGAGAGAAACCAACTTGGAATGCAGTCCTGGTGCTAGAACAGGAACAGAGGGGCCTCAGGGTGGAGACTGGAGCCCACGCCATTGGAAGCCGCGATTTGGGTTTCCCGCCGCGCGGCGGTTGCGTCTACATCGGCTCGGCAGGGAGAGAGACACGCGGAAGCTCTGAGAATGGGAATTGGCGAACCGAGTTGAAAACAGGACAGGCGGGGAGCTGTGCATTGACTTGCGGAGAGGTGAGTGAGAGAAACTGACACTCTTCCACAGTTTGACTCCAGCGGAGGACATTCTGGGACTGGGCAGACTTGCGGGAGCGGGGCGCTGCAGCGACTTCAGCCACGTATCCCCCTCTCAAGCGGGATTGGTGAGAAGTGCCTAGCCTACATGACGCTGCTAGCGGAGACCCAGTAGGCTGGCACAACCCAGATCCCAGAGCCTGAGGGTGGCCTGGAGAGGCGGGCCCCGCGTAGGCTGCCTGGTCTACAACTTCCTGGTGTGCTGCGGTGGGTGGGAACACCTAGCCGGCACAATTCGATCAGGCTGTGGCTGACAGGGAGGGAAGCTGAGCCTCCTGTAAGAGCTTGCATATATAAGGAACAAAGAATATGGGAAGAGGCAGCAACAAGAAAGGCTCCTCGGCCCCCAATCCTGAGAAACAGGCAATAGCGGACACAGCACCAATAGACTTAAAGCGCCATCTAGAGAGCCTCATAGATCAGTTCAGGAATGAAGTTATTAATGACCTGAAGCTAGAAGTAAGCAGAATAGTTAGAGAAATGCTAAGCACCACCCAAGAAAAAACAGATGGTGGAATGGAAGAACAGAAAAAGAGGGGAGAATTGTTAGATGGAGAAAATAGAGAAAGCATAGAATACGTGAAGCAGGTTCAAAGGGACTACCAGGAAACTAAAAACTCTTATCGAAAACTGGCATAACAGCTTGAAAGAAACTAAGGACAGACTATCTGAACTGGAGGGCAGATTTGTAATATGGGAGAACGAAATGAAAAACTTCTTAAAAGTAACAAAGAAACAAGTAGCAATAATACAAAGACTAGAAGATGATAAGAGGATCCATAACTTAACAATTAAGAACGTAAAAGAAGAAGTAGGGACACAAACAAATGAACTACAAAAGCTACTCACAGAAATAATCCAGGAAAATTTTCCTAATTTAGCAAAAGGTAAAGATACTCAGATGTATGAGGCATACAGGACCCCAGCCACCTACAACCAGAGCAACACCCAGGCAAATAATAATAAAAATTCCAGAAATTCAATACAAGAACAGAATATTAAAAGCTGTCAGAGACAAGAAACAGACCACTTACAAGGGAACACCCATCAGAATTACAGCAGATTTCTCTGCACAAACCATCAAATCACGAAGAGCATGGGGGGAAATAATTCAAGCTTTGAAAGATAATAATCTCCAGCCAAGATTGATATATCCTGCACAACTGTCCCTGGAAATTGATGGAAAAACAAGGTGCTTCCAGGATAAAGAGGAACTGGGGGAATTTGCAACCACCAATTCAACTCTACAGAGAATACTGCAGGATATTCTAAAAAAGAAAAATACAAAGAATCCAGAAATAGTGGCGGGGAGGCCACAATGAATGGAGCAGAGAACAAAATGAAGAAGACAAACTGACAACTAATGACAGAAAAAGAGCTCAACAGAAATGAGGCAGAGAAGATTGGATGATAGGAACAGCTATTTTGGAGAAAATGACGTCTTAATAGGTAATACTGATTTAGTATCATCTTGTTTTGAAGTCTCATTAAGCTTTTGTTCTTCTGTCTCCATTGGTCTAAACAGGTTGTATCTTATTGGATTTTATTATGTACGATAGTATAAGCAAAAACTTTTAAAGACAAGGAGATTATACAGAAACCATTGATCATTTTCTGTTAGTTGGTTCTAAATACCCTGTAATGCTGTCATTCTCTTAAATGGTTTTACATTGTTTTGATATATTTGATGCTATAGTATACGAAGTTGTACTCAAGGATTTCAAGGAAAGAGACAATATGGTCACTACTTTTATGTCAGGATTATCTTGTGGTGAAACACTATTCTGCTTAAATGGTTATGTTTTGATCTGCGCTGTTTTGCTGTTATGCCCTCTTTTATCTCAATCTCCACTCCATTATTTACTTTTTTATTTTCATCCTTTTAATTAAGGGAAAAATAAATAAAAATAGCAGGATATATTATAGTAACCCACTTTGACTTCCCATTATCTTGATTTAAAGCCCTGTATTACTCTCACCATCTTGTTTTTGACTGATGTCGCCCTATTCTGTTTTGCTTGATAGTACCAGGTTCGAACGTTTAGGCAACAGCTGTGAAGATAGTGAGATTCATTATGACGCCCATTCTGGTTGACTATTATCTACTTTTGAAGACCTATAATGTCTCCAATGTTTTGGTTTTGTCGGTTTTGTTCTTTACTGTTTTGTTCAATTTTATTATAACTGATGATATAGGCAATTCTATTAGAGATAGCGGGAGGCATTAGGGTAACCATTGTTGATCACCTTGTATTATGCTTTTACATTATCTATTATGTCCACCCTTTTGATTTGATTGACTCTGTTCTGTTATGTCACATTTGGTTCTACTCCCTTCCAAAAAAGTAATAAGAACTGTGGGACCAACAAAACCCAAAATGTGTAATTGTCGTACAAAAGAGAGGAAAAGAAAGTGCTCTAAACGATATAACTGCATGTATATTTAAGTGTATAAGATAGAAAATGATATTACTGAGTTTTGTTGGATCATTGAACAGAACTGTTTGCAGTCTCACTGTTGGAATGTCCACTTTACATGCTATAATTCTGTGACTTGAACAATTATTTTTAAGATGACAATATGTACTCCATTAACTAGTGATTTCCTACTGTTTATTTTTTTTCTGTAAATCTGTATAACTTGTACACTTTCTCTTTTTTTTCTTAAATAAAATTAAAAAAAAAAAACAAAAAACTTTGTCACAGTAAAAGGCCGTTACTATGCAGCGCCTCAGAACGCCCTCACCTCTGTACCCTTCCCGCACCGTCCCCCCCACTCCCTGACGCAGCACGCAGCGCCTCAGAACACCCTCACCTCTGTACCCTCCCCGCACTGTCCCCCCACTCCCTGACGCAGCACGCAGCGCCTCAGAACGCCCTCACCTCTGTACCCTCCCCGCACCGTCCCCACACTCTCACGCAGCTCCGGAGTCCTCCCCTGCCTTTGGCTGTGCTGCGGCGGCTGCCTGCTGCCATCAACTCCTACCCTTTACGGCTGTCCTGGTGTAGACCTCAAATGTCCCCCCAGATTCTTGCGTGTGGAGGGAACTGAAGAGTGGGGGAGCCACAGCTGACGTCCTGTTAGCAGGAGCCCCGAGGTGTCGCGCTTGTCCCTGGCTCCTGTCCCACCCCGTTCCCTGTCCGCACGGGCTGGCCTCTGGATTCCTGTAGTGGGCAGCAGCTGGCCAGGGACGGAAACTGAGCAGAACCGAGCCTCTGCTCGGAGTCGTGGGTGCTGGGTATTTTGAAGCCACAGGACCAGGACTCAGCAGTGGTCCTGCTGGCTGGGGACAAGCCAGCAGCATCAGGTGCCGGGCCCGTGAGGAAGGGCTGAGGGCCTCGCACATCGCCTAGCGACGGCAGTCACGGAACAGGACTCCAGGGCTGCCCTGCCCAGGGACACAACTCTGGGACATGTGCATGTGGGCCGGGGCACTGCAGTCACCAACTGTAACCAATTTTCTCTTACACTCCCAGCGTGCTTCTGATCCGCCCTTGATGTCTCCCCTAAAGGCCAGTGAGATGCACGATCTCATTCTTTTCCCCACTTATCACCTCCTACACTAATTCAACATTTACCGTAAATCTTCTCTAAACCAGTGAATTGAGAATTAAAAATTAAAATTCCTGGGTTGCATGTAGTATAAAACCCCAAAACTCAGGCTGGCTTTAAGAATGACTGCTTTCTACATGACACGCGTGTCCCCCTTTGAAGCACTACCTCTGGTATAATCAACCACCGCCTCCAGAGCTGCTATCCTGATGTCCACGAAGTGGCCGTACTCGGCGTATGATTTAAAAAGGGTGGGGTCGCTCGGCACGTGCCCGTTCTTCTGAAGGACGCGGATGGCTCTCAAGCAACTAGTGAGAAAGAAATATAAGTTGACTATTTTTGCTGATGTGTCATGAAGCAAATTTGTTTCCCAGGTACGATAGATACATTTCTCACAGTAAATTAAAAAGTAAACCTATACTCAATTCTGTGACAATAAATTTCACAATGGTGGTAGCAGCTCATAAGTAAATTTTAAAAGCTGTTAAAAGAAAACTAACTTTAAGAGTTGGGCATATAGCTCAGCGGCACAGAGCATGCCTCGCAAGCACATGGTCGTGAATTTGATTTCCAATACCACAAGAAAAAAGAAGAAGAAAAAAAGAACTGCTGAAAAGAAAACAAATTTTAAAATGCCTGAAAACTCAAACTTCCATGGACCATAACAGACGTAAATAAATATATATATTTTCTGCAAAAATTTTAGAAGTTTATTCAGTACATATATGGAAAGTTAAAACTGTTTATAATGTTTCAATCAGTAATCAATGTCTAGCAAACTCAAGGTAAGCAGAATTATTTTATACCCATATGCAAAGAAGCTGGTTTGCTAGCCCTGAGAATAAGAGTGATTTACCACACCCAGTGGGAAAATGAGGCAGACATAAAGCAGAACACAAAGAGTTTCTGAGAAAGCACTTATGATAGAAACTCAATATAAAACTATGAGGTATAGGAGCTGGGGATTTAGCTCAGCGGCATAAGCGCCTGCCTTGCAAGCAGGCAGTCGTGAGTTCGATCCCTGGTACCGATAAAAACAAAAAAGACAAAAAAAAAAAAAAAAAAAAAAAAACTATGTAGTACAAGCTCAAGTAATTAGAAAGTTCTAAGCCTACAAAGTATGAAATTTAGAAGGATATTTCCTCCATAGTAGCAATTTACCTATGGATGACAGAATCAGAGAATTTTAATTTCCCCTTTAGTTTACTGTATTTCCCCTTTCAGTTTATCAAATTAGTGTACTTGATAGATACAAAAATATATACACTTGAAGGAAAAAGTTTACTGATACCTGACAGTGATGGTATGTCTATAGCTTGGAAGAAGCTTTTCCATATTCAAAAACCTTGTGATTTCTTCCAGAATTAGTCGCACATCCGGATTTAAGTTATCCAGAGTCCTAACTTCATTATTCACGCTGACAGCAGGCGTGACGGAGTTGGCCAGGGCATCAATCATTTCTGCGCGATAATAGTTGTCTGAAAACTAAAGCAAGAATACTTACAGGGAGATAAAGGAAGGCTGCTGGTGAACAGTGAGTAGAGTGTGTGTAACGAGCACCAGCTGACCCCTCACCAGAGGCAACACTAGCAGAGCTTTGCGTCAGTGCCATGTATACCTTAGCTCTAGGGGTTCCGTTTACAGAAAGACCGGGAACAGGTGGGCAGTACTTTCCAGTCTTGTATTTACTGACATGTGCAATACACGCATGTGAAACACTTTGTGGCAAACAAGCAGTACACTGACCGAAGTGGTCAGACTGGCCCCGAACTCCCACCCTGCGTGTCTCTGAGGTTCAGGGTGGATCTCCCCCACACCACCAGGCACATCGTCTGTCAGGGAGCTGAGGGCTGCACCAACGGCTGGCCTGGCTTTCCAGTTCGCAGGATCCATGGAAGTCACCAGCCAGGATGGCACTAGAAGACTCCAGGAGCACACAAACAAAAGCTCACAGAGTATCTGAATCTTAGGGAGGCCGATTCTCACAGCTCCTTTAATATAACACACACACAACTGTAAGAAAGCCTAACAAAGGACAGATGCTTCACTAAATAAAAAAATCAAATATCCAAAGAAATCATGGGAAAGTCAAATATCCAAAGCACCAGACAATCGGCTCTGAAGTGTTAGTAGCTCTGTATGATACAACGGAGGACTTCTTGAAGTAGGCTACACTGTTTAAAGACTGGTAACAGGAAAACTTCAAGGCACACGCCTGTAATGCCAGCACTATCGGAGGCTGAGGCAGGGAGACCCCGAGTTAAAGTCTGTCTCCAACTAAAGCAGTACCCTGATTGACGTGCTTTGAAGTTTTGTTGTAGTTTTTTTCTTCTTTTTATCTTTGAATAAAATGGATTGGGGGGGGGAGAAGTAATAAACGTAAAAGGCTGGGGCTGTAAAGGCCCCAGGTTCAAGCCCTAGAACTGCACACGCGCACACACACACACACACACACACACACACACACACACATTCTGAAGCAAACTAATGAGAAATACAACCAGCCGTACAGCCCTTGATAAAAATTTCCAGGAATTGCCTGGCAAGCATAAGTTTCATCCCTGGAACAAAAAGGAAAAAAAGTTTAAAAAGTGCCTGGGAACTATTCAGTGAGCCAACTAAGTACTGACACACATAGAATGTTAGATGAAATTCTGTTACAAGTTTCATATTGTGCTTTACTCTAACCTAGTGTTAAATTTATGAAAATATGAGTCACTTAAGCAAAACAAGAAAAAAGGAAACCAGCACGGGCTGAAATCCACCCTGTGAGTGTGCCTGCACATCTCAGCTGCTCACCGAGAAAAGCCGGCCAGTGAGAGGGGAGCAAAATCATCCCAGGGTCCTGTGTCCCCACGCACGAGGCACTGGGAGAGACCGCGGCCTGCAGAGCCCCTCACACGGGAGGCCAGGGCCTGCAGAACATGCAGGCCAGAGTCAGCTCACTGTGCAGGGCGCTTCAAGCAGAGCCACTGGAATTACCTCAGGTGAAGAGGGAAGAGCTGTCTTCTTGATTTGCGTATCAGTCACCACCTTCTGAGAAGGCCTGAGAGCCGCTTGTTCGCTATTGGAACGTTTTTACTAAACTTGCCATGACTTTGCGTTCTCCTGCTTGTGTCTATGCATGCTGTCCTGTCTGTCTGTCTGTCCGTCTGGAAAGGCCTCTCAGACTGGTCCTCTGTGCAAAGGGGACACCCGGTCCTCCTGACTGCTCACCCTCGGATGACCCAGGAGGCCTCGGTCCCCATGCGCAGCAGTGGCTTCTCACTTTTCAGACTGCCCTGTCAGACGAAGTCCTTGAAGACCCAGATCAGACTGACCGAAGGGTTACTCAGTGAATGTTTCATTAATAAACGAAGTTCCTGGAGACATCGCCTGTCTCTTTCTCCTGTTTAACCCCACGCACTGTCTAGTGTGGCAGAGTCTCAAACCACTTGCTCTCAGACTAGCAACAACTAGAATGCAGTAACTTTTGAAGCACAGCATCTGACTACTACTTGCTAAATAAATGAATAAAAAGTACAATGGTTCAAAAAAGTTCAACAACAAACACGTTACTTTTTTGTCTTTTGAGACAGGGTCTCTCTATGCAGTTCAGGCTGGCCTTGAGCTCACTTTGTAGTCCAGGCTGGTCTCAAACTCACAATGATCCTCCTGCCTCAGCCTCCCAAGTGCTAGGATTATAGACATGAGCCACCACGCCCGGCTAAACACGTTACTCTTAAGCGAGAAATGCTTACAAAAAATAATCGTTTCACGAAAGAAAACAAGATGGTAAACCACAGCCAGACCTCCCCATTTAATCTGATGCCTCCCCCACTTCACGAGGCTGAGAAACCCCTGAAAATGAATTCGACTTGCTTCACCCCTGGCTACTGCAGTAACCAAATTTGCCTGCCTCTGACTGTAGAAATTTCTAGTACCAAAGCTCGACAATAGCTACACAGACTAGGGAACCATTTGCTGCTGGTGGGCGGCGCCTGTGTGTGCCGGACCCCGCCTGGCCGTCACTGCTGTCTGCACAGAGAGCACCTCACCTTGTTCTTCCTGTTGTCATTGTACTTGATCAGGTCCAGAATAAACGTGAGCACCTCCTTGGGACAAAGGTTATGCACATCTCTTAATAAAGCCATCGCAACGGGCATAGTCTACAAAAAAGAGAAGAATTGGGCTTTTTAAAGCGCGTAGTCAACTTCTTCACTGCAGTTCTTGAGCCATACACAGTGGAGAGCCTGCTGGCAAGCGCGGAGGTCTGGAGAAGCCTCCCCAGCTTGACCTGCTCCCCGGGGTGTCCAGCTCCGAGCAGAACCCTGGGTGCACTGGAGCCCTGGGCCTGAGTCCTCACTTCTCAGGGCTGCACCAGGGAGGGACAAGGTCAGCAGCAGCCGACCCTGACTCTTCCCTCCACTACCTCGGCCGCAGGCACTGTGCCTCCTCACAGCTCTGCACTGGGGCTCGATGACATGGTGGCTGGGCCACGCAGGACCCGGGAGAGCCCTGGCCATCCTCGGAGCACTGATTCTCCCGCCACTCAGGCTGGGCCTGGGAGAAGCAGGACAGCCAGTGATCGGTGCTGCAGTGGCCTTCGCCCTTCCAAAGGCTCCCAGGCAACTTTCCCATGGAAGCAGCAGACACAGCAGCTGGGAGCGTGCTGGGCAGGGCCACGGGTGCAGACAGCTCAGTGCTCAGAACAAGGAGGGACCACAGCCCAGGCAGGGAGGGCACAGCGGGGTGGGTGGGGGGCTCTGTGGGAGCACACAGACAAGCCCTGCTCGCCCGAGGGGCAAGGCATCTACACGTCTATACCTCAGCGCCCTGGGAGCAATGGGCAGCGGGAGCGCTGGGTGCTGCAGCCCGAGTCTCACCGTGCTCAGCAGGACTACGGGTGCAGCACAAGAGCAAAACCAGCTTCACCCGCGCAACTGCCCTGGTCACACTTCATGCAGTCTGCTCTATTCCACCAGCAGGAAGTCTTCGGTTAGCTTCCTGACCGCTCAATGCCGAAGGGAACCCAGGAATGCAGAGGGACAGAACCACAAGCGCACACAAGAGGTGACAGACTCAAGCCCTCTGCCTGAGCATGTGTGGTGCAATCAAGCGCCAAGCGGGGAACCTGGCTTCTGGGGGCCTCGCCAAGCGCCTCCCTACACACCTAGGCCTTCGGCCATCACTTCTCGTGCCAGACCCCAGCTGGCGACCTCAGTGGCACATGATGCCAACCTTGGAGCCCATCGGCCCTGGCTGCTAACCTGCCTCTGGCCCGAGCCATGGAAAGAAAACACTGGGGTCGCTCTGCGCCCCCATCTGCACTGCAGGCATCGCCCTCCACTCTCCAGTGACTCCCTCCCACCCTACACATACTGCAAGCTTCTGAAACAAGGCAAACCCAAGCGTCCTGCTCTCAGTTCCCTTTATCGTCCAGTCTCCTTTTACATTCTTCCACTGCACACGAGAGCGCACAGGCCCTCCTGTGCCCAACAGGGCCTTCCTGTGCCCAACTGCAGCCTGCCGGTGGGGTGTGGGGCGTGGGGCTCACCGCCAGCCCCACACCCACCCCCTCCGCACACGGAGGCCAACCCCTCCACACCACAGCTTCCTAACTGCACCTAACTGCACCGTGGAAAGCTCTGCTGCTGCCACCAACGCAGGACTGCATGCACAACACCATGCACCGGCTCCCCGCACACCCAGCTCCCCACTGCAGTGCCCAGGACCGTGCTCGGCAGAGCCTGCACAGCAAAGTGCTGGGGAGGACGCCACACCCTCGGGACGATCGCAGTGATTATACCAGAGTAGAGCACCTACCGACCAAACAGCTGCCGAGTTTAAAGGACAGCGGCACCCTAACAAAAAACTCTACCAGGCAAGCAGAATAAAATGGGTTACACGGAAACTGAGAACACCAGAGAGCAACCGCACCTTTTGCAGAAAGTAGCTCTGGAAACTCATGAAGTTGTTGGTCTTCACGATGTTTGGGCAGGTCTTGCAGCAGAACATCCTGGTGAAGAGGGACTTCATGGCCGGGGGTCCCGTCCACGTGCTCACCATGGAATTGGCGATCTGCAAGTCAGCAGGACAGGAAGGGCTTTGCACTGCGGCCAAGGGTCAGGGGAGTAAAAGGGTCCCCAACAGCCCCCGCCACAGCCAGAGGGGTGAGCAAGACTCAGCCATTTCCCAGAATACACACACACACACACACACACACACACACACACACACACACACACACAAGCCCTCCCTAGCAGTTCCCATGGTTTCTGTTCTTCTGTGTTTAAAAAAAAAAAAAAAAATGTTTGTAAGAAAATGCTACTCTGAACAAGTCTGTCTTATCCATGAAGAGAGCTATAACCTTAAAATTTTAAATTTTTTCATGGAAATATCATTATTAATTTTAAGCAAGTTGTTTTAGTCTATCCAAGTAAAAACCAAGCCAACACATTATACTATTTGCATCTGTAAGAATATGTTATATTAAAAAAAATCAGATCTTGCAATTGGTAATTTTAGGATATACAAAAAGTATGAAAAAAGTTATTCAAATAACATTATATAAAGTTACACCTCTGCTAAGATTTTAGCACAAAAGAATCACAAAAATCTTTACAAGAAACAATGAAGTTGTATCCTGTAAAAAATCAGCGTATTTGCTCTCTAACATGTGAACACAGGTCAACTACTCATTATCATCAAAACCTAGCCAGTTGTGGTGCCCCTGTAACCAGGAGACAGAGGAGGGTCACCGTGACTTTGAGGCCATCTAGAGCCATGTGGCAAAACCCTGTCTCAAAAACTCCAGGCCAGGCAGACTGAACAACCTAAACCATTACAATCTGCCAAAAGGTAAGACTAAAGGATACAGCAGCTAGAAACAGGAGAGAGCCGCTAGGTGGGAATGAGCCTACGACCAGATGCGCTGCAAACACCTGGTAACTAGTATTTCTGGCCAATTTCCTGTCTGTGTTATTCTGGTTTCATTCGTTCCACCCTCAGACTTTTTTGCATCTAAGAAAAGATACTGAGTTTCTTCAATGAAGTAACTTTTCTAGAACTAGATTTATAGAGCCAATTATTCTAAAGTACTCATCACAAACTCTGGTAAGTAAACCCAATCAGTGTGAAGTCATCACTACCTGGCATAATTAAGAATGAAGCGATTTCATGTATGATGTTCAAAAAAACTTATTCACCAGGGACTGTCTTAGCAAATGTGATCTTTTCAAAAAATGCAGCATGTTGGTAATTTAATGGAACGGTGAAGACTTTATGCGGCTTTGCAAATCTGCTATCTTACAGCTGGACGAGGGTAAAACATTCACAAACGTCTGTCTACCAGGAGCCAGGCGCGCTCCGTCCTCCGCCCCGCACCTTGGCCAGGCAGAAGCAGGCGGCCATGCGCACGCGGTAGAAGCACTGCTCCTGCTCCAAGATGTCGGTGAGCGCCAGGCGCGACGCGGGCGTGGGGAACTTCTCCAGCGCCAGGATGGACTCCTGCTGCGCCACCACGTCGCGCTCATAGCGCAGCTGGTACTGCCACATGAAGTCGGCCTGCTCGAACTCCACCCGCCTCAGCACCGCCATGTCGGGGTCGATGCGGATCCACAGCAGGGGCGAGTCGGCGCTGGGGGCACAGAGAGGTGTCACTGCGACGGTGCAGGGCACAGCGCGCCCACAGCCCCCAGGGTGGGACACACCACTGCCGCACTCCATGGTGGTCACCGCTAAGACACACGAAGTGTCCTGCCTCGGTCAACGTGCGCCAGTCTCCTCAATGTCCAGCCTGGGTCAGGCTGCCAAGGGGTCTGCAAGGCACGCGGCACTGGTCACCTGAAACACTGAGGCCGCTCCCCAGCTGGACGTACTCCTTTTGCCGTATTTAGTTAGGAGGGGTGAAAATGGGGTGCAATGAAACCTCCCCATTTAACCTTCCAGCCTAGTAACCATGGCTGTGAATACCACCCTGCACTGGAAATCAATTTTTGACTAAGAAATAAAAAGCCTCTCTCTCACTATGTGAATTTGCTCAGTTCACTTTTTTAAGATGTTTGACTCATGACTGCATTTCTCAACCAGCGTGCTCTGAAATCGTAATTTAGAGGGAGTCCCGAGTTCACCCTCATGTTCTTCTTGCGGGAAAAGCCAAGTCTAGGTTAACTGGGTGCCGAGGTACAGGTGGGGAGGCTGAGGCAGGAGACAGTCAGGAAGTCAAGGTCAGCCTGAGCCACACAGTGATTCCAAGGCCTGTCTGAATTACAGAACAAGACCCTGTCACAAAACTCAAGTGTAGACTAAAATTGTCATCAAAGGAAAATCACCTGTAACACTAATTCTATTTGGCAAACAGTATTTATATAGGCAAAGCACCTGCTCTGAAACAAGGTAGATTAACCTGAACTTGAAGTGCCTGTACAGAAGTAAGAAGTGAGAATCTAGCACCCAAATCAGCGAGCAACTGTGATGCTTTGTGAAAAACTCACAGGCCCAAACGGAGGGCAAGGGAACCACGGATGAGCCGCGCTACAGTTAGAAATGAACCTCGGTCACATCACGTGGCCAGCAGCAGGCAGGGCAGTGCTGTCTACACTGCACTCTGCAAACACGACATCGCCAGGTGCCCTGGGCCCTGTTCCGAAGGCAGCCAGGGTTACCGGGCAGACGCCCCTGGAGTCATCAGCACCCCAAGCCTTCGGGCCCCGAGGGAGAGAAGGGACTAAGGAACTGCTGTCAGATGCCCAGGTGGTCTCTGTGAGGGCAGCGGCAGGGCCCAACCCGTCCCGCACTCCGGTGCCTTTGCCCCCTGCCAGCTGGACAGGCCCCACCTCTCCTGGGAGCCACGATCCCGGCGAAGTCTGTCGATCCTGGCGAAGTCTGTCGCTAGCACAGGGGAACTCTCGGCTTCATAAAGTGCAGAAAGCACTCATGTTCAAAACTACATACTTGTAGGTACTTACTCCATTGCAGAGAGATCCATATCCACTTCTTCTCCGTTCATCAGCGGGATCTTCTTTTTTTTATTCCTGTTTTTAGGAAAAATTGAAAGAAAATTTGACTTGGGAATGTGTCTTCTGTCTGAAATGAAATAACTGAACACTGTGTGGAACTAGGAAGCACAAGACTTAGGGTACACCAAGACAAACACAGCCGCTAGCATGCCTGTGCTACCAGCTGCGTGAAGATTTACTCATACAGCAGAGAAACTCCTGGATGACGCCCTGAAAACCACAGAAACGGGAGTGGAAATGCAGCACAGAAGAGTCTTCCTTGTCCTTAGGCAGAGAATACTCGAGAAGCCCATGATCCCAGCACTCTGGGAGGCTGAGGCAGAAAACTCGAAAGTTCAAACCCAGCCTGGGCAACCTAGCAAGGTCTTGTCCCAAAATGGAGAAGAGCTGAGGCTGAAACTCAGTGGAAGGCTTGGGCTTCAACCTCCAGCACCTCACAATTAAGTGAAAGACACACAGCTCCTACGGGGAGTACCGTCCACTCACATAAGGAAGGGTGACACACTGTCCCTCCCCGGAAACACTAGGGAAGTGGCGGTCCCCATCCCTCATCACACAGCGGGCAGAGCCAGGGGAGCCAGGATTTCCTCCTGAGCTCCGAATCTTTCTAGGACTGGGCTCTGTGGGACAGCACCTGCCTATCACACAAGAGGTCCTGGGTTTGATGCTCAGAGCCAAAGAAGCAAAAACAAAAACAAAAACAAAGAAAGCACTTCCTCTCCCAGGTTAAAACGAAGGTAAGGAGAGCCAGAATCAGCGTGCCTAAGGCTCTCTGCCAGCGGTTTCACTGCCACAGGAGGGCCGGAGAGCCAGGTGCAGGGTGGCCGGGGAAAGCTGGCATCATGTAGCTCTCCCGGCGGGGCCGAGACCCAGAGCCCAGGCCCGACCCGCAGAGGAGACCCTCGCCCGGGACAGGAGGAGAGGAGCGCTGGGACGCCCCGAGGCAAGGCAGGAGGAACACAGCCTCTAGACAAGGCGTTCTTTGCCTAAAAGCCCCCATGGGCAGGATCTCTGCGGGGGCCCTCGGCTCCATCCTCACGCAGTTAGGACTCGGTGCCCACCTTCTGCTTTTGGAGTGGCAGGGAATGTCGTGCTTCAGGCTGTTTTCTTCGATCTGCAGGGTGTGGTTGAAGGACCCATCCAGCTCCTGCACCGTCACTTTAAGGGGTCCCTTAAACAGAAGACACAGCGTTCACAAAGACAGCGCTAGAAGACAGCAACGTGCCTAAGGCCATGTGCAGACAGACACACGGCCACACTGCCAACAGGCGGCCCCAGACACAGGGAGCGCCAGGGCCAGAAGCTGGATCCCCTTGGCAGCCCTCCGCCCCTGCCCAGGCTCCTACACGGCCAGCTCCCCGCAGCCCTCCCACTCGAGTTGGGGGGATGGCGCAGCCTCCTCGGGAGACACCTACCACGTACTTCTGGGTCCCAGGAGAGGTGTAGTCCTGTTTGATCTCTAACTCCAACACGTTGCGTTTTCTATTAAATGCAAAACTTCCGTAAAATTTCACCACTCCACTCTGGTCTCTGCAGGACTGTCAAGGAGCGCCTGCATGCTGAGATGACACAGCTGCACAGAACTCGCCACGGACGCGCATGGCTTCCGTGTGGCCCCGGCCCTGGGCTACAGGCACACTCGTCTTAACTAGGCGCAGCCACGTACCATGCTTCAGAAACTGCTTCCCCAGCCTGAGACAAAACTTGTGAAACACTGAGAGAGTCCGTATTTGAAAGAGGAAAAGTCACTTCACCGCTCAGCAACCGCAGGCTGTAGGGTGCCACTAGCGAGGTCATGGATGTGCCGTCCCAGGAGGGCTCGCCCCGACACCCGCTCCTGCACACACCACAGGGGCACTCTGGGGTGCTGACATCCTGCTCAGGGACTCGTGCCTCAGGGACGCGGCAAGGACGGGGCGGTACGGTCATCCCCACTGCGTCTGAGGGGCCATCACTGTACCCCCAGCTCCCTCATGCACGCTGCACCCTCCGCCACAGCGGCGGGCTCTGCTGCGAAGGATACACCCACTGCTTTATTAAGGGCTGGATGTCTTTGCCAGAGACATTTGAAATAGATTTCAGAAAGCCCGATGTGGACACCAACATCTGGCTCCACATATGCGACTGGAACTTCTGGGACGACGCAGTGCTCGCCAGGCTCAGCAGCTTATTGAAAACCTGGAGGAGGAAAGCGTGGTTCAGCCTCCAAGGAACCCAGCTCCCGGCCGTGCACATTGCCCATTTTGTGGGCACAGACTACAAAAGCACTCTTCACACGAACATGTCTGAAGGTTAGCAATGGACTGGACAAGAACATTCTGTCTATGAAGAGCTACAGCAATAGATAATACTACAGTCTACTCTGTTATAAACCAGAAGGACTCATCAGGAGCCTAACACTCTGTCTTAAGCATGCAATAAATCTGTGTGTCCGTTTTCTTATTAAAACCAAGTAGGCAGCACTCAAGATGCTGAGGCAGGAGGATCACTGCTAGTCTGAGGCCAGCCTGAACTATACCGTGAGACCCTCCCTCAAAACAAAACAAAACAAAACAAACAAACAAAAAAACAGCCAGGCAAAAGAATTCCAGAACTTGGAAGGGTGGTCAGTAGTCTGAGGCTACCCTGGGCTACACAGCAAGTTCAAAGCAGCCTGGACTACACAGTGAGATCCTGTCTCAAAAATGAATAAACCAATAAATGAATACACAAATAAAAACCAAGTGGGAATGGGAAACTTGGGGGTGCGGCCCAATGACAGCACCTGCCGAGCATGTGAGGGACCTCAGGCTTGACCCCAGCACTATAGTCAATGCATTAGCACCCGATTGGGGATTCCTAGGCTCTAGAGAGGGAGCAGCTCCTTACAGACCACCTGCCCATCACTAACTGTGTCCCCAGTCCAAAGCGAGCCCAGGGACTAAGTACGCTCTGTCCTGGGGCAAACTCTCCCCGCTTTCTCTGCTTGCTTTTTCCGAGCTCAGTGCACCGTGGCGAGGCTGGCTTCCCCCACTGGGTCACCCCCAAAGGCTGAAGTTTTCACTGACTCTGGTCGGTGTTACCCGTGCAAAAAGTAGCCACAAGGTACTGTCTTACTTCAACTCCTTCTCCTACTGAACTGCAAAGTATCAGGCTGAAACCATTTTACAATATGGCAAAATCTAGTGAGGGGCAAAAATAAATGCCTGTAAGATGGGTTTGCTCTTTCTCTACTGAAAACATTCCCACGGGATTCGATCCGGAAGCTCGAAGCACTGTGAACACAATACCGTCTGGACACACGGGTGTGCTGGCACACTCACCCCGTCTCACCGCCCAGCAGCACAGCACAGCACACGCTCGGCGGTCGGGACTGACATCCCTGTGACACCCCTGAGGACGCGCAGGCCCGCAGCACAGGCCGCACCGCCACCCGCCTGGCTCACCTGCAGCATGAACTCCATGCTGATCCTGTTCTCGATCAGCCGCATCACCAGGTGCGCCTTGCACTGGAACATGGTGTAGTACTCCCAGGACAGCGTGTGCGGGTGCTTGATGGAGAAGTGCAGGTGCGACGCCGGACTGCAGGAGGCAGAGGCGGGTTTACTTAGCGAGGCCCGCGCGGCCACGAGCAAGAATTTCACAGGTGCAGCAAGACCGCACACTGCAACCTCACCTGCATAGCTGACCTCGGTAATGTCCTCACTGCGTGAAAGAAGCCCTAAAACCCGAGGACAGCTGCCAAGATCTACTGAAGGGCACAAGGGCACCCGGAGTGCACGGAAACACGGGCGCTCCCGGACGGGAGCACACGACACTGTGTCTGGGTGAGCTCTCCGCCTAGCTATGAAGTCACGCAGCTCTAACCAACAGAAACCCAACGCTAAAGCACACACAAAAAACAGTAACCCTAAAGGAAACAAACGGAAGCACTGAAAGGAAATCCAACCATCTTACTTCATAACCCTCAAGTGAGAAAACTTTTTTAATGCAAAATACAAAATCCAGGACACAAAGACCAGAGTAACTAGGTAAAAACTAAGATTCTGAAATGAGGAAAAAGATCGCAGAGAGAGAGACAGCCCAGAGGCCCTCCGACTCTCATGAACATTTGAACTAGTCACTGTTCAGTTTTAGGTAATGCTACCGTGAACATTGTACAGAGGCTCGAGTATATTGTGCACACTCAGTCACAGGGAGCATGTGGGACCTAAAAGTGACCATTCTAAACCCTGACCGGTACCAACAAGAGACCCTGCCCGCGGGCCGAGACCCAGCCTCGCAGCCCACGTGTGAGTGCAGCTCTTCCAAACCTCGCAGCGCCCAGGGACCGGGCTCTGGTGTGACGTCAGCGGGCGGGCAGCTCACGGGCACGCCACCCTCCCCACCCCTGCTCACCCCAGCACCCGCCCCAGACACCAACCCCGCCTGGCTTCCAACTTGGGCCCGGCTTCTGCAGAGCTCCAAGCCATGAGGAACGCAGCCGTTCCCGAGCATCTGCTCACAGCAGCACCAAGGAAGACAAGCTGTGCTGGATACCTTTAAAAAGGCCCACTACAGTTTAACATATGCGTTAATCCAGTGTCATATACGACTGTTCTGTTTCAGTTACTTCTCATAAGGGTTAGGAACTTACGGAGCTTCAGCAATGAGCACAGCTATGAAAAAGGTTAAATGAATGCCAAAGACACTGCGGAATGTTATACAGCACTGAAGAATGGAGGGAATTTACAGTCACATGGAATGGTTGCCCCTGATTTAAAAAAGTACAAAGTGGCATTTATATGACTGAATTACACTCCTTGAATGCCAAACACACATAAAGGCAAATCATGTATTTATTTGGCTTTTTGAGACAGGGTCTTGCTAGGTGGCCCAGACTGGCTGTTAACTCCGGACAATCTTGCTGGCTCTGCCTCCACGCCTGGCCAGGCCAGCACTGTGACATCGTGGAGGGCAGTCTGCCCAAGTTACAATCACAGGCCTCTCTAGGGGGTGGAACCCGCAGGGCCAGGGATGGCCAGAGGGCAGCTACAGGGTCTTTTGTACATGCTGCTGGCTCCCACACCAGGTTCTAAAGTTGAAACCCTAACAAACTCCAAGGCAGCCAGCCCCGGAACCCCACACTCCACTCCATATTCACGCGCATGCACAGCTCTCCGCGACGGCAGGGCTGCAGCCTGGGTGCAGGGCATGGTCCCGAGGGCCAAGGGCCCAGCAAGGTGACGCCACAACCTCCTAAGGAGAAAACCCGAGCCTGCCTCACCCTGCCCAGTCGGCCGCCACCTCTGCTTCCACCCTGTGCCTCCGCAGCACCGCTGGGCACCGCAGCTGGTCCCGCTGAGCCTCCAGGCCGCTGGACAGAACTGTTTTTCCTGACTGAATGGCACCGGGCTCCCAGGGTGGCTAACACTAATGAGGGACCTTTAAGGTGACATGAACTGTCCTGGTGCCCGCACTGTGGAGTGTGGCGGCCACGCTGCGCCAACTGCAGTCATCTGGAGGTTGGCACAGTGCAGAAGGCTAAGGTCATGAAAGATCTCCACCCAATTCAACCAGAGTCCTTTAGGGGGTCATGATGCTGAAATTACCTACTCAGACTTCAGTGACACAGCCCGCCTACCCACCCACCCCCGCCTACCCATTTATTACCTACCCACCCACCCATCCATCCACCCACCCACCCATCCACCTCGGTGCTATGGGAGCTGGGCCTGTGTGCTGAGCTACATTGTTGGTGCTTTTCTGAAATGTTTTTGAGACAGTGCAGCTTTCACAGCTCCCTAGGCTGGACTCAATCAAGCTTGATCCTCCTGCCTCAGCCTTCCAGCATGCTGAGTGTGCACCAGCAGGTGTGCATCCCCAGTTCCATCTTATTAGACTTCAATGAGAACAGCATGATACATGGGCACAGGGAATGAACACAGCGAACAGAAATGCCTCCTGTTCAAGCCTGCTGCTTCAGGGTAGCCGCTCCCGGCACCTCGCGCACTGACCCCGTAACCAGGAGGAGCAGTGAGAGCAGAGCCTCTGCAGCGCACTCTGTCTGTCTGTGGCCTTGTGTGCGCCTCACCCAGCGGGGCAGTGGTCCCACAGAACAAGCCCACAGCATCGTCTCCGAGCAAACATACTTATCCTTCTCTTTCCCTCCGCCGAAGATGGGATGCAGTAGAACTCCCCCAGTTTTCAGCTCATAGGCCACTATTTTATCCAGCTCCTAAAAGAGAGTCAAAAATAGAAGTTGGTAAAAACTCCTGTACACACCAAATTTGAGAAGCAAACTGAACAACTCTCCTTCCTGGAATCCATCTGTAAATGTCCTAGGATAAGCATCAGGAGGAGAGTTTACGGCCCCGTAAACACAGCCAAGCGCCCAGCTGGCTGAGGCTGCGCGTCTGGCGGCTTCTGTGCAGTCACCCTCAGCCCCTTGTCCCAGCGCTGCTGCTCCCTCGTGGGGCCTCACGCCTGGGCGCAGGTGAGTGGCAACAGCAAGGGGCATCGACTATATCAGGACTCCAGGATTTTTAAATTTCTGCAGGTTTTTCTAAAAAAAAAAAAAAAAAAAAAACAAAAAAATAAAGACAAAGCACACTCGTGCCAGAACCACAGGATTACTTTAATCCCTGGAGCTGCACTGGGAAAGCGGTGACCAGCACGGTGACGGGGAGGAAGCCACGGACACAGCTCCCGACGGGGGCCGGATCAGTCATCTGCCATGGCCGATGGCGATGGGCAGCTACGAGCCACTAGAGGAGGGGGACGGCGCCCGTGCGTTAGGAACGGGTGGTCAGTTTCCTTTCGGAAACGCAGAACGGTTCCACACAGCGCGGGATGTCTGCATCCTCTATGGGCTCCAGTGCTTCACTTTCACGTCTGGACAATCAAAGTATAAAGCGAGAGCACAGAGCTGCAGACGAGGGGCCGCAGCGTGGCCCCGAAGGGGGAGATGAGCGCATGCACCGTGGGATGAGGCCACTGTGGGAACGAGGCACGTGGCACGTGGGGATTCCACCTTCCTGGCCACATCTTTAAGTGATGGGAAAAGCTGTACAGTGAACGCAATTGCGTCACACGGCTCCCAGTGCATGATCCACGGCCTCTGCATGCAGAGGGACACGCGGGGCACGCACGGTCACCAGCCCTGCACGTGAAGAAGCCACCGTCGTCCCTCACACAGGTGCAGTGCGGGCAGAGCGAGTCACCGCAGAGCTGGGCACAATGACAAAACCCGGGTGCACGTGACCACCGCCAGGGCCGCCCACAGCCAGCAAGCTCGGCGGGCGCTCAGCAGCTCTTCCCTAGGGAAGGGAGCCGGCGGGAGCCACATGGATGAGCGGAAGTGCACACAGTGGAGCACTGTGCTCCCAGGAACCTGTGCTTCACAAGGAAAAACTGGGGGTTTTTCAAATGACTCAGACATTACTTTAGTCATTAGAAAGAGTGAGCGAGCAGGAACCCAGTACAGCACGGCCAGGTCTCGGTGGCCCGGGAGGGGATGTAGTGGGCGGCGGTACCTCTTTGATCCAGTGGCGGTACTCATTCACGCCGAAGGTCTTCTTCATCCAGAGCCCATAAATATAACCTGAGATGCCCTTCAGCACCCACTCATCAGACCTAGGGGGAATTCAAAACACAAACTTCAGTAAGCATTCCCGCAGGGCCAGGGCTCTCCCGGTGCACGGTTCCGCAGGGCAAGCACTGTGATCACGGTCCCCGACTCCTCAGGAGTCGGAGCCCCTGCGTCCCCCTCCTGCCGGCCATCGGTCTGCTCCCCCGACTCCCTGGGTGGTGCTGGCCGGGCCTGCCCTCCTGCCGCCCCCCAGGCCCTTCCCAGGTCCAGGCTGCCCAGGAGGCCTGCAGCGCTCCGCCTGCTGACGCCGAGTGACGGCCTGCGCTACTGAGCATTGCATGGCACTGCACGCGGACGCAGACACCAGGTTCCTGTCTGCCCCCCTCCCTGTCACCCCCATCCACACCCCGGGCCTGTGTTCCAGGCATCACTCTTAGATACAGTTGTGTAAGTTAAAGAAAATCACAAATCCAAGAGGCTGCCCCTTCCAGCATGAAGAAGCGGCTGCTGAGATGTACAAAGCACACACACTGCAGAGCAGAGGTGGGGAACGTTCCAGAGGCTGGGGCTCAAACTGCAGCCCACAGCGCACTGATTTATCATGAGGTGTCAGCACTGCACTCAGCCTGCGCCCTGAGATTCAGTGTAGCAACAGCAGCTATACCGGATGCTGGGCTGCAGGGCCCCGGGCTGGGGTGACGACACAGAGGGTGCCACGTGCTGCTGCAGCACGCGCACCAGGCCTGCCACCACTGGGGTAGTGTCCACAACAGACATCACAATGTTGTGTGTTTCTCTAGACTCACCCCAAGGTAAACAAGCAGGCAAACCCCTGCACCCCCAAGGCTGCCGCAGAGGACCCGTGTGCCCTAAGCATTACTGACACCAACGCTGGGACTGTCGCCGCAGTCACACTGCGGGCTGACAGTGTTCATTCAGTGCTTGGTGACTATTTTATCAGAATTTTTACCTGATTTTTATGATAAATTACAGAAGCAACTATTCTTTTTTATGGCCAAAAAGCTACTCCTCTTCTTCAGATCTCTACAGAATACTGTCCTTCAAATCAGCCATGTGCACCTAGGCAGAGGTCAGCCCCCACCGAAGGAAAAGCAGGCGAACGCAGGGCTCCCGGGAGCTCTCCTCGGCAGTCGTGAGCTGGGCGCGTACTCACCAGGACATTCTGGATATGAAACAGCCGAAGAACTGCTGCGCCAGGGCCTGGGCGAGGCATCGCCTGGTCAGAGGGGTCTCGTCGATGATCATGGCGCTGTGCAGGAGGTTGGTGCTGGAATCACAGGGCAAGGGGACGTTACGGCTGACAGCGACAGGCACTCGGCCGAGACAACGGGATGTGCGGTAACACGCGGAAGGCAGCAGGCAGAGTCCTCGGAGAGCTTTCGGGGTCTCGCCCTCAGCTGGAATCTTAGTAACTGAGCACGGGCTTCGAGCCCCAGCACCACCGAAGGCAGACCTCTCACAATCTATTGTCACCGCAAATTTCGGATCATGCCAGTAAATTTTAAAAATAACAGCCTTACAAACAGCCTTACAAATTACCTATATAATATGCATTTTAAAAAATTTATAAATAGGAAAGTAAAGCAAACATGGAAAATGCTATTGTCAGTTCTGGATTAAGAGATCTGCTTTTGGTTTTTAGATTTTTAAACTTTAAAACACTAGGTATTTATTTTTACAAAGTCAACACCTAATTTACCCCTGAATTAAAAGAAAAAGTTCATCTTAGCACCGAGCAGCTTTCCCTCCCATCACGTTCCAAGCTTCGCTTTCAACCTGGAAGAGGCGCCGACCTGAAAATGCTCATGGAGGCGTAGGCGGCCACTTCCACGTACGCCTCGTCGATGAACACGGTCTTAAAGCAGGAGTACGGGTACCGACACGTGAGGATCTCCTCGTAGAACTCGAAGACTTCGTGGAGGTAGGACGTGGTGTGTTTCAGCAGCGGGAGAAGTTGGGGCAAACAGAAGTGAGTGACCTGCAGAGGGACAGCAGGGACGGCTGTCTAGAGCGCTCCTGCCAGGATGTCCAACTTCCTGGTGTCTCAACGGTAAACGTTTACATGACCACAAGAGCAGGCTGTCCTAAAATCAGGGTTACTGCTACTCCTGTTTACAAAACAAATATTCACTGTACTGAAAAGTTAAATGCAGGACGGATTCCAGACTGTGAAATAGTAAGGCTCAAGGCAAACACAACTTGGCTTCCACGTTCCGATCTCTGCCGCTAGGTGAGGAAGATGAATTCCCAGGGCTGACGGCAGTTCTACCGCCCGCGTAGCTAACCAGCGGGCACTGCCCGTTTCAGTCACGTTCCGCTGCCTTTTTTGTTTGCTTTTTGGTGCTAAGCATGGAACCAAGGGCCCTGCTGTACACTCCAGCACCCTTGCCAGTACTCAACACAGTACTCACTGCCAGGCCCAAGCCACACCGACTGCTCCTCCGCTGCCCTGCCACACCTTGAGAGCCACAGGGACTTACTGGGAGCAGGAGACACAAAATGCTCGCAAGAGACACTGAAATTCTGGTTTTCTGTCTGAGTTACATCCCGCCCTCCACCCTGGACACGGTCTCACAGGATGACTGTGCTGAGTGACTGCCACGGGCACACAGCCACTCTGCGGACAGTAACCTTTCACGCAGGAGACAAAAGCCTGGGAGTCAGCAGGAGAAAGCGGACCACCCAACAGTCAAGGGGCTGCCGGTAACAGAACGGACCACAGGTGAAACCTGCTACCACTGCACAAACCACTCGAGGATCTCTAAGTTCCAGTTTCTCAACATGGCGTTTAGCATTCCAAAAGATATCTGATGCACCCTCTTAGAGTATATGTTGCTTTCTGCAAGTAATTCTATTTGTTGTTTAAGTCTTTCTGTTTAACGCAGTTTATAGGCATGGTTGACCCCTATCTCTGATATTTGAAAAACTACAAAATCAAAGTTACAGAACAAGTTTTAATCTCACTTCGACATATTGAGAAACGCCCAAGGCAGGGTTAGAAGTCTGAGGAGCACACCTGTGATGACCTCTCTTCCTCGGAAACAAACTTACTGAAGAATCCCACATTAAGTGTGGGGAACAACTCTCCTTGACCCCCCTTGCAAAGAAGAGCAACTCCCTCCATTTTGGATAAACCTGGCCCTATCTGTGTGCACTGATACGTAGAGCTAGCTGGGCTATTTCTTTGTCCCTTCAGTTGGCTGTAAGCAATGTGAGTTGGGCTGGCTGAAGAGCTGATGTGTCATCTCTGAAGCAAAGGACAGGTCCGTGTTACCCTGCCCAGTGACTCCTTAAATACTTGGCTGAGCTGGGCAGGATGGAGAGCAGTGCTCCACACTGTCAGCTGGGACAGAGCTTCGAAAAACAGGCTGTGACTGCCCAGGGCAAACAGGATTTGCAGCACCCACCCCAGATTATCAGATGCCACCTCAGTTGTATATGCAAATCGCTCTGTGTTTCCTGCCCTCTGCATGTCGCAGAGGTGATCTCAGAGCTCCTACCCAGCCCAGCTCACGGCAGTCAGGTATTTCCCACCACTCTGTCACTCATCCCCCAGCCACTCCCTTATGGAGAATTATTAAAACCCATGTTGGGCTCTGGGTTGTGGCCTCTGTTCCCATGAGCCACCATCTTGGCTGGACTTAGGGCCCCTCGGCTCCCCGTAACTGTGTATACATCTTAAGTGTCTTTCTCCTCGCTATGAGTTCACTGGAGTGGCAGCTTAGAATTAATTCGCTAGAATTGCAGTATCTTCTCCTTGGTTTACAGACACAACCCTCCCTGGAACTCACCAAGGACAGGAAAGGGATCTCTGTAACTAAGGACAAGTGGACAGGGGAAGGCGCATCGTGAAGGCTTCCTCTCAGGAGGAGGAAGAGCAGGGGGGCAGCGGGAGGCACCGCACTCACCTCGTGCATGTAAGGGTCCACCAGGATCTCGAAGGGCCCGATGGCCAGGGAGATGTTGGAGGCGGCGGTGGGGATGGTGAGCATGTAGTGGAAGGTCTTCTTCCTCATGTCGTGGGTATAGACCGTCTCCACCAGGTCTCCATTGGAGATGGCCACCATGGCGGCGTCCACCGTGAACTCCAGCTTCCAGGTGCACAGCTCAGAGTAGGAATCCACACATGGGAACCAGAACCTGAACACGAGACGCAGCAGCGTGGAGACACACCGCCACCCCCGTCCCCCACGCCTCTGGAACATTTGCATCTGGCCAGTGAAACTGAGCTCTGCATCTTGGAAGAATCTTATTAAAGAGCTGCTTCCCAGTATCGCTCTGTAGTATTAACAAAAAGACATCCTGCGGCACTTCCAGCCAAAACCGAAAAAGTCAATTACTTCTTAGTTTCCTATTTTTAAACTGACAGTTTTAAGCTGTACGTTCACTCAGGTCAGTTTTCTCCCAGCAATCATTTTAGACAACTAAGCGGAGTTTTAAAATATATTTAGTATAGGGAATCTATCCCAGAACCCAGGACACACTGCATGAATTCAAAGTGGACACAGACGAAGCCAGACACAGGTCTCCTTTTGGCTCCTAACTTAGGTCCGTTCTGCGGTGGGCCAGGGTCACTACTGTGCGTGTCAGGGAAACACACAGCAGTGTGGCCAGGACAGCAGCTCTGAGGAGGGCACAGCCACTGTGAATATTTCAGCAGTGGCCGCAGAGCTGTGACGGGGAGCAGACTGCGCTGTCGCAGAGGAAGATGTGAGTGAACCTCATTTCCAAGGTGAACCAGAACAAGCCAGCTGTCAGAGCACAGCGCAGAGGGCCCCACTCCTGTGAAGGCCGAGAGCGAGGGGCACCAGCGGAGGGCGCTTCAGAGCCTGGTGGGGACAGTGTGGGGGGGACCGCGAACAGAGCGAGTGCCAGGAGCTTGGTAACTCCCGATCTGGGTTTGTTCATTCATGAAAACATATTGAGCTTAATACTCTTGCTATTGGGGCTGAGGGTTTAGCTCAGCGGCATAAACACCTGCCCTGCAAGCAGGCAGTCGTGAGTTCGATCCCCAGTACCAATAAAAAAAAAAGAAAAAGACAAAAAAAAAAATAATAATACTCGTGCTATTTCCTGTACATGTCCGACTCACCAGGAAATTAAAGCAAAGAAAGATGGTGATTTCAGAGTGCCATGCGTGGAAAGACAGAAGAGGACGACACAGGCTGAGGAGTCAAGCAGTGAGGATGAGAAGAGGTGCGCTGCAGGGAGGTCACGCCTGGGCCCGTGATTCACACTGGGTGACCATGCCGAGTGCAGGCAGCGGGAGACAAGAGCCCGTACCTGGTGGAGTTCTGGTATCCGCAGGAGAAGACATGGGCACCCCGCTCCGCCATGCTGCCCTCCACGCTGGGCACCACGAAGTGCAGGCCTCCTTTGGGCTGATCCAGGGAGAAGTTGATGTGGATCTTCAGGACCTTCAGCTCTGCAACAGAACAGCGCTCGTGCGCTACAGCCCACACAGGCAGGCGGACGCGGTGCACCAAGGTGGGGCCAGAGCCTGAACTCTGCGGGCTCTCGCACCTGGGCTGTCATTTCTCCCTCTGGGCCACCCAGCCTGCCCCTGCTGTGCTCCTGCCCGGGGCTGGTCAGCCTACTCACGACTGGCCACCTCCGGGGAGCTCGGGTACCGCTCTACCTCGGTGAAGCATCTACAACAGTGCGGTGTCGGGAGTGTCCCAGCTCCCACACCAGACCTGAGGCTGTCTCACCCAGCCCAGACCTTACTTCCCAAATCTGATCTCCTTTAACACTTCCCTGGAAACTGTTAATTTCAGATGACTCTGGAGTTAAAAGAAAGGGAGGTGGAGTTCGTTAGGACCCTCAAGCATCTGCATTATGATTTCTGTATATTATGTACATGCTACACCAAGCATAGTGATGTACACCTGTAATCCAGCAATTGGGAAGCTGAGGCAGGAAGACTGCTGGGAGATCTCTGCCAGCCTGGACTACATAGCAAGACTCTGTTTCAAAAAAACCAAAATGGAAAAACAAAAAAAACTCCGCATGCTGTTTTTATTAAAATCAAAAAATATTTAATTCCTCCAATATTATACTCCCCTGACCACGCACTGCCTGTGCCTTAACAAGGATAATCTCTCACTGCACATAGCATAATCTCCCCAGCCACATAGCAGAACAGGCCCTCTGGCCTTCCTGTCTTGGTTAATTTTCATAAACTGAGGGCTGCAGCAGCTCTCAGACAGCACTGTGTGGCTGCAGCTGGGGAGGATCTGTTCAGGAGGACACAGAATAGACATGGGGCCTGTGGTCACTTACCCTCACTGGGCTCGGGCTGCTGTTCTTTAAAATCAGGCTTTAGGCAAGAGGCCTCTGCAGGACCCTCGTACTGTGCCCCGCTACGATTTTAACCGACTCGGCCCTGCACAGGCTCTCGGACCCTGACGAACTGTCCCATCCCTGTGTTCTTAAAAACACTTTCACTTTGAAAACAGTATCGAAACTGGCCAGGGAAGCAGATCAGTGGGAGGTGGGTGCTTGCCTGATATCCAGGGAACCCTACGTCCCGTCCTCTGCAGTACACCAGGAGCGGCGGCCCAAGGGGGCTTCCCACAGGGGAGTGAGCCCCTTCTGCATGCCCCCCGCCCTGGTCCGCTGCCTACCGTCCACGTGCTTCCACAGCTCCGAGGGAACCTTAATGCACAGCTCTCCATTTCCCGCATCAGGGTCCACGGCGCTGACCGCGGCTGCATACGCGTTGGAAAAGTAATTGAGGTTTCTCCTGGGGGGAAAAGTCAGGGTTCAATACCAACAAGCCGCGCCCTGCCCCAAGCGCTCGGCCTCTCCCTGATGGTTCTCTCTGACACCAATCATTTGCAGGACTGTGACACAATGTGTGAGAATCCTTCCGAGGTTACACAGCAGTGCCTGCCACTCTACTATCACCTAACCTACGGGTGCAGAGGCACAGGCTCGTTCCACCCACCAAGGTTTGGCATCAGTCTTCACTCCTGCTGGAACCTCAAAGTCACTGCACGTTTCCCGTAAAATGTAAGCAACGCTTGTAACTGAAAAATAATTATGATTTATCTATCTGGTAGAAATGGGAAAGAGTTCGAAAGGCTTCATAATTTGACAAAAATAAATACGTCTAAAGCAAGTCAGTACCACCAGTCCCAGGCCACAGCAGGGGCAGGACCACTGGGCCCGGGAGGCGGGAGCTCCTGGCACTGAGCAACGCGGCCATCTCCATCAGAGGAAATGAGGAAAGCCTTGTGTTTAGTGCCATGAAACACTGCACTCGGATGCATCCCTCACGTCTCCTCACAAAATCAGGAAAGGAAAAAGCCAAGGGACAGCACCCAGCCATCCTGGGACCAGCCGTGGGGGGCTCAGGAGGTCTCCAGTGCTTCCTAACTCCCATCAGGGGCCCCTCCTCCCCTGCGCCCCAGCCCCCACCTGTCTCTCTACCGCTCGCTCGGAGGGGAGCACAACCGGGCTCACAGCTCTCAGAGCAGACCTTTTGGAAGTAAACAGACTTCTCCTTATTTGGGCAATTTCTTGCTATAAGTACGCAAACCCAAGGTGTGAGGTGACACAGCCGCCCAGAAGGCAGCACCCAGGGGTGGGCTGGCTGCTGTGCTCCCGCAGGCTCTGCTCCCAGCAGGCCACAGTGAGGCCGAAGTGCCACCGGCTCCTTTAATGAGTGCATGGTGGGAGTTGCACCACTGTGTTCTTGGCGTGTAGTTCTAGAAAACACACGCAGATCCAGGCAACCACCTGCAAAGCCACTTGTCCCTCGAACAGAGTCACCATATAGATGTGGCCATATAGACAGCGTGCCGTGCTCACAAGTCAGCGGCATCACCCTGCGCACAGTGCGCTTCCTCGCTGGCACTCAGGCTGGGAGCAGCTGCACAGTGCTTTGACCTCTAACAACCGAGCCTGGGGCCTCTGAGTCAACCTGCAAACAATCTGCAACCTGCAGACTCCAAAACAGCTGCTAGGGTCCTTCCGACCATGGACCAAAGGGCCAACGGCTCCAAATCCTTACCAGCAATTAACCTCAAAGCCTCCTTTACCTAGAATGCCCTTTCACTAAAATTTCAAACTCATGATATTAAATTGCTAAACGATTTTTAATCTTTGCCTGCCTTTTCAGTTATCTCTGAAATTAAGAAACTAGAAGAGAAGGGATTCAGGTATACAGCTTAGTGATAAAGTGTATACATAGCACACACGAGACACCAGGCTCATTCCCAAATGTGCGCGCATGCACACACACACGCACACACACACAAAGGTAGTAGCTTGTTCAAACACAAACCCCAGCTGGGCACCTACAATCCCAGCACTGAGGAGGCTGAGGCAGATGGAGCCAGTTCAAGGTCAGGCCAGACTACAAAGTGAGTTCAAGACCAACCTTAGCTGCACAGTGAAACCTTGTTTCAAAACGACAACAAACATATGATGATTTATATTTAGATGTTCTTGTCATGGTTTATGTTGGTGGCGCCCAGGCCTCAAGCATTTGCATTATGCATTTGTGACTGGTTTATTGTTTAGCACTTGGATCAATGGTGTGAGTGCTACACCAGCCTAGGGGTGGAGCCAGGATGTGATGTAATGGCAAGAAGAAGGTGTGTGTGTCTCTCTCTCTCTTGTCAGTTTCAACCTTGCTGTTTGCAGCCCCCATAAACTGTGGCCCTGCCATCCCATCCTGCCTTGGAGCCAACTCAGTAGAGACTAAAAAATCCAAAAACTGTAAGAAATAAACCTTTCCTTTCCCAACTTTGGACATCAGATATTTTGTCTCAGTGACAAATAATTTGGTACCAGGAGTGGGGTCATTTGCTATGACTATACCTGACCATGTGTTTTGAGAGGCTTTAAAAATGGCTTGTGGGGGGCTGGGGATTTAGCTCAGCAGCATAAGCACCTGCCTTGCAAGCAGGCGGTCATGACTTCAACCCCCGGTACCGATAAAAAGAAAAAAAAAAAAAAAAATGGCTTGTGCACAGAGTTTTAAAAGGTTTGCACATGTGGCCTGGATGCACAGAGATGGAACAGCTTAGGCTGTTCTGTAGAGGAGATTGTGGTCAGAGCTCAGGAGACCAAAAGGCTGATAAAAAGCCTCATGATAAAGACCAGGCTTGGAGGTTTCTACATTGGTTGTTGGACTCCCCACAATGTGTGTTATGGCTTGGCAGAAAGCTTGTCTACATTTTATTCATGCCCAGAGACTGCCTGAGCCTGAGACTATGGGTAATAGGCTGATTAATCTGGCAAAGGAAATTTCAAGGCAGTGGAATGTTAAGACTGTGGCATGACTATTGTTGGGGGCTTTTAGCCAGCTTTATGTTGCAAATCAAGAGCAAAGAGCCCAGCAGGATAATTTACAATGCTGTGAATTTGGCCAAAAATAACAAAAAAACAAACAAAAAAAAAACTCCAGTAAGGCTATGGATTATAAAGATAGAGCTGACACTTTGATTGCTGAAAAAAAAACAGAGAGACAAAAAAAGATGACCAGGGGGCATCCCAGAAAGCAGTGGGTCTCCACCCTTTGCAGGCTCAAAACTACAAAAGTAAAAAAATTTGCTCAGAGGGAAAAACTGCAGAGCGTCATGCTCTAAAATGGTGACAAGAGGCCACATGAGGTTCCAGAATGGCAGCAATCTAGAGAAGCTTTTCTTCACAATCAGGTTCACAGAGCCCAGCAATTCAAGCATTTGATCCCTACAGCCAAGAGAAAAAAAAAGCCTGGCTACTGCTCCAGCTGGCAGCAGACCTTGGCAGCATCCACATGGTGCTGATTTTAGGTGCAAGGAAAACGCACAAATTCTGAGTGTAAGACGGCTTCCACCACCTTTGCAAAGGGCCTGGGAGGCCAAGCAGTGTGCCCCTGAGAGAGCAATTTGTGAAGATGTAGGATGAAGCCAAAGGTGCAGTGGAGACCCCAAAAGTTTGAAAAAGCCAAAAACGTGGATGATCCAAGGGAAGCTACAAAAAGCAAGCTGAGAAGATTTAAGAGAGAAGCTGCCAGAGCTAAAGTCCCTAAAAGTGCCACAGAAGTAAAATCACCCAAGCCTTTTAGAACTTGCAACCAGATTGCTTCAAATGCTGAGCATGGAACTCTAGGACTTAATGTCCGCCCTGCTGAACTCTGGACTTGCTTTGTTTCCAATGCTTTATATTCCCTTGTTTGTAACTTTTGGAATGGTGATGTTTACCTTGTGCCTTTGCATTTCAGAAATGTTTAACCTTGTTTCATTGGTACAGAGGGTTACAGTTAAGAGTTTGTTATAGATCTTGGAGGAGACTTGGACTTCTCTGCAATGCTGAAACTGTCAGGACTTCGGCAACTCTTGGAGATGGATTACATGTTTTTTGTATAAAAGATGTACATAAGTCCTGGGTGCCAGGGGTAGAATGTTATGCTTTATGTCAGTGGCCCCCAGGCTGCTTGCATTTGCATTATGCATCTGTGATTGTATAGGGCTTGGATTGATGTCAGCGCTACACTCACCTAAGGGTGGAGCCAGCATACAATGTAATGGCAGAAAGAAGTCTCTCTCTCTCTTGCTGGTTTCCGCCTTGCTGTTTGCAACTGTTATAAACCGTGGCCCCACCATACTACTCTGCCTTGGAGCCAACTGAAAAATCCAAAAGCTATGAGAAATAAACCTTTCCTTTCCCAACTTTGGACATCAGACATTTTGTCTCAGCGACAAAAAGTAACTAAAACAGTCCCCAAGAGCCTCGGGTATCAACAGGCATGAGCCAGCACACCCAGCAAAAAACCAGTAGTTTCTTCCCTCCCACACAAAGACGGCTTTGTTTCCGTTGCCTCTTCTCCATGGAAATGAAGAGATGGGAATTACCGGATTCTAAAAATTTTAGAAAATCGAGACAGCAAGGGAAAAAAAGCATCCCCTCAAAGTAGCAAATCTCTCTAGGGAAAGGGAAAAAACGAAGTAGAAAGATGTCAGCCACTGCTGGCCACCATGTATGGAAAGTTTCCCTGACAAAGGCTACATTTATTTTACAACTAAGAAGAGAGATGCAGAGCACACAAACAAAACCAAACCCTGCTGATTCAAAAAACACCAAAGAGCCACAGCTGCTATGGAGGGACGGTCTAATCTGTCTACAACACAAAAATCCTATCATAAAATACAGCTGGAAAAACTTCAAGTACTAAAATTATCTTACTGGGAAACTATTAACTAAAAAAAAAAAAAAAAAAAAAAAAAAAAAATTTGTTTTGTTTGCTTCTTTGAGACAGAGACTCACTATTAGTGCAGGCTGGCCTGTAACTCCCTTGTGTGGCCCAGGCTGGCCTCTAACTCATGGTGATCCTCTTGCCTCAGCCTCCCAAGTGCTGGGATGATAGGCATACATTACCACACTCAGTGATCAAAAATGTTTTAAAATCTATAAATACTATATAACCATTAAGCTTTCCACTATTAAAAGTAATTTAGGGGCTGAGGATTTGGCTCAGCAGCACAAGCACCTGTCTGGCAAGTATGAGGTCATGAGTTCAATTTCCAGTATGGCAAAAAAAAAAAAAAAAGTAATTTAACAAGTCGGCTAACATCAGTTGGAGAAAAAGAATGTCTTTTGGCCTGGTGTGGTGGCACACATCTGTCATCCCAGCACTCAGCAGCCTGAGGCAAGAAGATTCCTACAAATTCAAGGCCAGCTTGGGCTATAAAGTGAGTTCAAGGCCAGTCTGAACTGCATAGCCAGATCCTGTCTCAAAAAGACAAAAAAAGACTGGGGATTTAGCTCAGCAGCATAAGCACCTGCCTGGTAAGCACAAGGTCATGAGTGGGGTAATGAGTTTAAAAAAAAAGACAAAGAAAAGAAATGCCCTTTGGTGTCTTTTCTAAATATCTCCTTTCTTTACATCCCGTACATTTCAGAGGTGCTGAACCTCAATAAATGTTAAAGCACATCCTATTCAAAATCAGAGGACCCAGATTTTTTTTTTTTTTTTTTTTTTTTTTTGTCTTTTTCCTTTTTATCGGTACCGGGGATCAAACTCACAACTGCCTGCTTTCAAGGTAGGCACTTTTGCCACTGAGCTAAACCCCCAGCCCCAGAGGACCCAGATTTTAACTTCAAAATGTGAGGGGTAAACAGTCTATCTGCGAGATACTCAAAATATATTAAAGGCCAAACATGACCAGCACACCTTGTTTTTGACTTGAAAACATCCATACAGGGAATTGTTCCAGCTTTACTGCAAACTTCGTGGGTTCACAAAAGGGGAATGCACCTCAGAAACAAGAACACCACAGACCGTGCTAAACCAGGAGGGCGAATGCCAAGCCCTTCACCAAGGGTCCCTCGGAGATACGCCTGCCGCCCACAGGAGACGCCGCGCACAGCCAGCTGCCAGGAAGGCAGCAGTGAGCCTTCTAAACGGAGCGCTTCTGTCTGTGTCTCTGCAGTCCCTCAAAGAACACACTGCTTCCCTCTCTGCTAATGACAACCCCAGTCTCAGAGACAAGCTGCTCAGAGCAGTGCAGCGAAACAGTGTGCACCCAGTGACTTTCATGGTTTCCTCTTCATGCTAACTTTATTAGCTACTTTTAAACTCCTTTTCTAATAAAATCCCAAAGAAATTACAAACCCCTTTTGAACACGTCAGAGAACAGATAAACACCAGTAAAAATAACAAATAGCATCTCTCTGAGAGTCTAGTATCAGGCAAGAAAACAAAAAAATAAATAAGTAAAATAAAATCAAGTATTTACTAAGCGGAGCACCCAGCAGGACTCTGCCTTGAGCTGGAAGGGATACATCCTGGGATCCCAACTCTGAACCTGGCCTTGGGAAAGGTCTCCCCTGCGACCTCATTCAGGGGTGGCAGTCCGAGCCATGAGGTGCTGCCCGTCTTGCTGGAGAAAGTTTGTGGGAGCTCATGAGGGTACAGCGCAAGGTTAACTCCACTTCCACAGAGGCTGAGCGATGCCCGTTGGCCTCGCTGGCCTGGCAGCCGCACAGTAACAGACCATCCCGAGTCCTGACACACAGACATTTCCCCTCCAGAGGGAGGTGACCCTCAACAGCCCCTTTCCTGTCAACTCTACAAGCCTGGCTGTAAAGGCAACGTAAGTGTAGTGCTTCCCTGCGCTGTGAAATAGGAAGCTGCAGGACTGAGCGTGCAGCACCGGCCTCCTGTCTGCGCTGCCTCTATGAGGCAGCGGTTTACCAGGTGTGACCAAGTACGGGACAAGGGCTGCCGCCAGGGACAACCACCAGAAAGGCAGCCTCGGAAAACCATCACAGGACCCACTACTGAACCACATCCTTAACCCAAAAACACATAGTATCTGGAAAATGGTTTAAAAAAATGTAATAATGTTCTGAGCTGGGCATGGTGGTGCACACCTGCAATCCCAGCACTTGGGAAGATGACACAGGAGGATCACCAGGCGTTCAAGGCCACCCTAGACCACACAGTGACACCCTGTCTCAAGAAACCAAAAAAATGGGCTGGGGATTTAGCTCAGTGGCATAAGCACCTGCCTTGCAAGCAGGCGGTCGTGAGTTCAATCCCCAGTACCGATAAAAAAAAAAAAAATTAAAGCTCCTAGATAATACTTTCTTAAAACTGTAGCACAAACAGAAGAAGGAATAATTAATTGTATTGTCGAAAACTAGCAAAATCACTAGACCCAAGTGTGCAGAGGTAAATCAACAGATTATAAAATATAAAACAGGGGGGCTGGGGCTTTAGCTCAGCAGCATAAGCGCCTGCCTTGAAAGCAGGCAGTCATGAGTTTGATCCCCAGTACCGATAAAAAGGAAAAAGACAAAAAAAAAAAATTTAAAAAAAATATATATAAAAACAGAACCCTGAGTCTAACAATGATTCGAGGAAAATCTGTTAAGAAACATTAGGTGAATCATGAAAAACACCAACCCGATTGTTAAAAATGTTGATTCTTAAAGCATCAACTTACTGTTTGGATTCACTGTGACAAACTGCTAAGGTCGGATCATTATAAATAAAAGCAGCCTCTAAGTCGTTGATCCTTACTCGGTATATGCGACACTGTTTGCTGTTCAACTTGATTCTATTCAAGTTTGTGACTGTAGGAAATATAGTCAGCTCCACAAACCCCTGTGAAAACAAAGAAGACCTTCTTTATATAGATGGCGGCTGCAGAGCGTCCTCCTTCCATTTCTACTTTAAGCTCACTTCAGGGCAAGCCCGAGCACTCGCACACAGAGGCATCCATCCCTGAGAAGCTGGCCACACCGCCTGACGCCAGATGTGAGGGTCTTCCCGGCTGCGGCCAATAGCAGCCATGCACACCTCATCATCCTGAGGCCACCCACGCCCGCGATAGGAATTAAGCCATGTGTTGCAAAAACAGCTACTTTTAAATACAACCATTTCTGGACAAACTGGAACCTGAACAGGGAAGAGGAAGAAGAAATTAACAGAATAGAAACAGGATCAGGTGAGGCTGGTGAATGAAATAACATGGGCTCTGCACACACACACACACACACACACACACACATACACATGCACTCACGCACACAGGAAAAACTCCAGGACAGCACTAGGACAGCACACTACTGGAGGAAGCAAGTGTGTGACTCACAGAGGTAAATCAGGACAGAAAAGCAACACACTGTACGAGAAACCCAGGCAAGGCGGAGCCACAGGACCTCAAGGGCTGACACTCCCAGCAAGCAGCCCAGAGCCAGGGCTCTGCCACACTGCAACCTGAGCACCGGCTGAAATCATGACAGATGGAGACACTCAGAGTGGCCACCTCCTGCTGTGCTGAGCCCGAGGAAAAGAGGGACCGACAGAGCCTGGAACATGCCCAGGAACTCTAAGATCTTCGTTTGGAAACCAATATGCTCCCATGGGGTGCTGCAGCCTAACCCTAAAACAGCCCCAAAGTCTGTGTGCCCGGGGGTGGGGCTCTGGGAAGACTGGTGTGTGGAACCCAAACTCATCAGTGGAGGGACCCATGACACCGCTGACCGTGCTGTCAGGAGCTGCTGTCTGCCTAGAGAAAAGGGTGACAGGCGCTCGGCCTGACACGGCGCAGTCTCCTCCCCAGCCCTTCCTTCTCTAGGTCTCCTCCTCCGTCCACTCTCTGCTTCCTGGCTGCCAGGACTCAGCAGCTGGCCCTAGCCCTGCACAGCCCTTTCACCATGTCACATCTGCCCAGGAGCCAGCCAACCACAGCCAGCCAACCACGGACTGAACCTCAGAAATAACTCTCACTTCTTTAAATTGCTGGAGACGCATATTTTATCCCAGTGACAGAAAGTGCACACACAAGAAATATGGGACAGCATAAAACAGTAACATTTTAGGGGCTACAGCAGGGACTACATCTTGAGATAAAATGCAATCAGGCCCCAGCTGCTAAATGCCAGGTATTGTACTAAACAGTAGACAACACTGACCCACTCTGAAGACCAAGGGTTATTTTGTACATTTTACATGGAGGACTTAAGAAACAGGAAGCATAGGAAAGTAAAAAGACCCGGGGCAGCACAGTGCTATAGCTAAATGCCTGTGTTCTGGGCAAACTCCCTCCCTTCCCAGCTCTCAGTAACCAACGATCTTGGGCAAGCTACTCTAGCTCTCTGTGCCTCAGTTTCCTCGTCTGTGAAACAAGAATGATGATGCTGACTGCCTTATAGCACTCTTGTGATAACTGAACAATTTTCCTACATGAACACATTTAAGACAGAAATGGGCGACAACGCAGGGGTGCTGCTCGGAGGCAGAGAACTACAAACACCTGGGTTCGATCCCCAGCACTGCCACAGGCTAGTGTCACACTTTTCCGGCTCACACCTGCCACACCTCCTCCTCCAGTCCCTCTAACACATCTCCCTTCCTCGGGGCCCAAGCAGAGGGGCCTCCAGTCCTCCGTGTCCCCTGACCCAGGTCCTGCACCCTTCCCTCCTTTCCTGGGACCACAGCTAACCCATGAAGACGCCCCGCTCTCCCCGAGGCTGCAGCCTGCCAAGCCTTCCCCCCAGCCCAGTCCTTCACTGGAGCCTGCCATTTCTCACTGGTCTGTCCAGGCTCCCTTCTCTGCCCACTCTGGGTCCTTACGCACCCACTTTTCTGCCAACTCCCAGACTACACCAAAGCTGCTTACTTTCTGCCGCAGCTCTGCTTCCTTGGGGCCAAGTGTCACTGTGTCACCTAGGCTGCTGAGGTCCAACTGACCCTCCCACCTCTGCCTCCAGGGTGCTTGGGCAGCTTGGACTCACAGGAATCTAAGGCAGAGCCTCACTGATTCCTGGACCCTGCAGAATGAGAATGCAGGCAGCTTATGACGGTGCTGCGCAACACACCAAGCATAAAGAAAAACCTTGAAGTCCAGCAGGGGGCACCTGACGCAAGGTGCAGCAGTGGACACGTGTGGCCTCAGGACCACTTTTGAATACAGTTCCAGAACTGTGCTCCTGAGTGAGTGGGAGGCCGGATCCCCAGCTGTTCTTGGAGGAAGGAAAACACTTTACCCTCCCTGCAGCTATGGTATTTTCATTCAGAACTCACATCCTGCCTCAGGTCCCAAAACATTCCCACAGTCCATCTGTCAAACTGAAAGGAGCCTGGTATCAGATGGGGACACAGATCAGTGCTACCACAGAGGAGGTCGGAGGCGACTCCTCTTGCCCCCTGACACACAGCAAACATTTCTGTAACTGGTAAACTGACACTGGTCCCTGCCCCATGGGATCAGAGCTATTACGAAGCAAGGGCTGAGCACATACACTTGGACTGCCTATCCTCTGCTCCAAGGCAGTAAACCAAAGCAACTGCAGACTTCCAGCATTCGGGCCAGAGGCGCCTCTCTGCCAGGCTGCAGGAGGGCGGTGGTCTCACTCCTCCCATAACACGCCCACTCTCCCTCTAGAAAGTCGCCTCCCTCTATTCTCTCAGACCTCTTCTTTAGAGTGGCAAAATATTATCTCGGTGAGCAGGTTACTGTGAAGACTCAGTGAGCCGACATCATACATCTTGGAAGGGTGTCTCACCACCCTCTAGACCTCCCTGACGTCACCCAGAATTCACGGAAGGCTCACACGCCCGACACATATGTCACACATACTGAAAACTCAATGGTCACTATAATTCAGCCGGTCACGTCGATTATTTCTATTCCAGTTTTACTGATGCTATGTTTATGGACTGTTTCATCATTTCTCCCCTCAGTTAATACTGTAACCACCCAAGATTCTCACACGTTCCCTACACAACTCATTCCTAGGCACCCCACAATGAGTTAGGAGGAAAATAGTAATCTGTGAGGTATACTATAAAAGAAATTCCATAATTGAGCAAATGGAATTTAATGAACAGTGTAGGAGCTTTATACAGCTAAAACTGCATAAGTCACCATGTATGTACGCCCAGCACCTGGCAAGCTAAGGCAGGAGGATTCCTGACAGATTGGGTACTACATAGTGAGTCAAGGTTTGTCTCAAAAACAAAACGATTATTGCTATTGTTTTCTATTTGTTGAATTTTTTTTTTTTTTTTTTTTTTTTCAGTACTGGGGATTGAACTCTCAACCATGTGCTTGCCAAGGAGGCATTTACACCTCTGAGCTAAATCCCGGCTCTGTTTTCTGTTCACAGCTAAGGAAACAAATGCAGACATGGGCCATGAGTATAAAGGGAAAATTAACAATGTTATTCAAGGAAAACTGGGGCTAAGATTTTAATCTATTCAACACAGGTACCTCTGAAAGAGCACACTAAATGTTTAAGTACTCAACAATTTTCCCAGAGTGGATTACGTCAGCAAACCGTATGGCTAAAAGTGGTAGGTGGGTTACTAGATCTCAAATGTTCTATCCAAAACCTCACTGCAAAGCAACACCACCAACACCAGTTCACACAGATCACAACACCCAAGAGACCTTTTAGAAGCCTAGTCATGCCATTAAGAGTACAAATTTTCAACTTTCTCAGAAGAAGAACTCACTACAGGTTTACACTTGCTAAAGCACAATTTTAACATGCTTGGTGATACAGATTTTCATACTGCACAAAATAAAATTAGAATACAACTTTATTCAGGAAAGACAGAGAGAATGAATGGGAATACTGAGGCAGCAACACACAGCACCAAAGGATCTGAGTCAGACCCGAATCCTAACTCGTGTGCATCCCTGAAACACCGTTATCAGGGAGAACAGAATGTGATGTGAAAGGTGCACTCATTATTCTTTATAATTCTAGAATATAAACTTACCACAACCGATTTTCTCTGGAAATTTATGTTGTTGATGCAGACAACCTGATGAGTTGTATATTAAAAAACATAAAAAGAAAGAATTACTATTATGAAACGAAAGCGTAAATGCATTATGGTATAAATAAGGCCTACCTACAAAGAAATTCAAAATCACACATCAATATATTGTCACTTAAAAATCGTATAAGCGGGGCATGGTGGCACGTGCCCTGTCCTCCCAGAACTTGGGAGGCTAAGGCAGGAGGTTCTATGCCCGTTCAAGGCCAACCAGGGTTATATACTGAGTTCCAGGGCAGCCTGGAGTACACAGGGAGACCCCGTCTCAAAAAAATACATGAACAGCTAATTAGTAAATTTCTACAAAGCTGAATAGCCTGCTCCTTTTACATTGAGCAAGAATCTGAAGCACAGATTTCTTCTGAAAGTACAGTGTCTTATTAACCTGCAGAGGGCACTTAATCCGCTACACAGCACCATCATTCACGCTTTTCACCCACAGCACACGGGCAGCACCATCGGGGTTCCCGCCAGGCTTCCCGGGTCTGTGCAAGCAATCGCACCAGAGCCTTAAACGAAACAAAGCCCGGAGAAAGACGAGGGGATACTTATAATTTATAGGGCCTCGGGCTCTCGAAGCCCTTGTCGCCCTTCTTCTTGTTCATCCTGGGGGGCTCGGAGCCCGTCGGCGGCATGGGGCGGGCCCGCGGCGCATTCCCGGTGCCTGCACCGCGCGCTGCAGGTCGTGCCCCACCGCCGGGGCTGCTGGGCGCCTGGCCCGGCTTCGCCGCGCTGCCGCTGCCTCAAATGCGGCCCCTGATGCGGCCCTGGCCGCCGCCGGCGCCGAGCTCCTGTCACACAGACGCGCGGCTCCGCAGCCACTCCAAGCTCCCGCAGGCCGCCATCTTGCGCGTGACCTCTAACCTATGCGTAAGCGGAAGTGAGGCGGGGCCGAGGGCCGCCCGGGAAGTCTGTGTCTGCGGGCGGGGCCTACACGGGGCGGGGCCTCTAGTGTTTGCGTGGCCCCTAGATCTGCGCTGCGGGACCGTGAGCGGGAAACAGTTTCTGAGCGAGGCGGGCAGCCCAGGAGGGAACGTCTGGACCTAGAGGGAAGCTGCGCATGCGCAGAAAGGCGTGCGGGACAGGGCTGCAGAGCCAGGCGCGGTCCCAAGCGGGCAAGTGGGTGTGTCAGAGCACGGGGTTGTGCACAGGCAGAGTGTGCAGGGAGTGTGCAGGGCGCGGGCTGCGTGTGCAGTCTTAGACCCGCAGCATGTGGTGTGAATGCACAGCTATGATCATCCCTGTACTGATCTACGTATGCATAGCACCTGTGTGTGTGTGTCCTGTATCCATTACATGTGGTATGTATGTATAGCTGTGTCCATACATATAGTAATATTCATATACCGTGTATATATATAGGTCTGTTCATACAAGTATAGTCATAGACCCATAGCATGTGGTATGTACAGCTGTATTCATACATGTAGAACCATATTCATGTACATAACGTGATATATGTGTATAACTACATTCTTTCACACATAGTAATACAGTCATGTGTAGTGTGTAGTATATATGTACAACTACATCATACATATATGTGTATACTAGTATATGTATGGTATATACATATAGCCATAATTTGTAATATAATATGTAAATATAGTAATATCTTCATACATATGTAATAAATAGCCATATCTGTACATGTGCAGTGATGCAGTGTTCATACATACATAGTATATGTGAATAGCTTTATTCACGTACGTATACAGTATATACAGTTATAGTCACGTAGGTACAGTACATATATAGTATATATGCATGAACCTAGTCATATGCATGTAGTACTGTATTCATACACATATATATGCATAACTGTATGCGATATGTCTAGTACATACATGTGCATAAATACGTGCCATGGTGTCACCCTCGTGGCAGTCGTAGCAGCAGGTGACCAAGCCGCGGGACACTGGCAGAAGCACAGTCATGGATGAAGGAACTAAGGTTTCAGGCTGGCGAGCATCGGTGAAGTGCGGCCCGGAGGCAGGAGCCCGGAACCAGCTCCACCCCCACCCCCCCACCCCCCTGCCAGGCGAGGAGCACAGAGGGCGGAGTCCGGCAGGCCCTGCAGTGCCCACGGGAGACCTGGCTGAGCAGCACCCGGTCCAGCGCAGCCTTCGTTCAGTGCAGCGACTTGCGCCCCACCCTGTTCCATACCCGCAGGGATCAGAGGAGCCAGTTTTGGGGTGGCTCCAACACAGGCAGGCCAGGGCAAGGACTTCACCCGAAGGATCGTGTGGTCCTGCAGGCGCCATTCAAGCTCGGTGGCCCTTGTGCGGACAGAAGTGAGTTTCCCAGGCACCCGCGGACCCAGCGGACCCAGCGGACCCAGCAGCATCTCCACTGCTGGTGTGGTGCTGTGTCGCCCCAGGGCCGCTTTTCTCTGGAGGAGCTGTCACAGCCCACGTGTACCTGGACATGCCCCGTGCAGGATCCTAGAGTTCTTACATGACAGCCCTGCCAAACTGCCAGGGTGACCTGCGGGTTACCTGGGCACGCACCTGCAGGAACGCAGGGGTGCTGTCAGGTTCCTGTGCTCCCTGCAGGACGTCCTGCACTGCCAGCCTCCGGGAAGAGGTTGAAAACGTGTGCACAGGGGTCTCTCAAGACATGCTGGACTGCGTCACCCAGGTGGCCCCTCGACACACTCCTGTGTCTGGAGGTGGGAGAGCCCCCACCTGAACACCTCTTGTAATTGTGGAGGTCAGAGGTAACGAGTTAATCGCATGACGCCCCTATGAAGTTACCGTTAAAATATTTACACGATTTTTTCCTGACACATATCTGCATGTTTTTGGCAGTAACATGTATTATATAGAGTCTGTGTGTAGACTATGATGGCAGGTATCAGTACATTTCCAATATGTGATATGCTGTATCTTACACAGTCCGTACAGAGCAGAGACATTTGTTGAAACACAGAGAAGTTGAACTCATCACGTTCACCTTCCAGGTGCATAAAAAGAGTGAATCTGACACATAGTTGAAGTTCTGTGCCTCATGAATTCTCCATTCACCATTTTAAACCTTGGACCGGATGTAGCGTGGCTTGCTCTCCAGCCAGCCTGGTGACAGGTTTATTGGCCAATTTAAAGGTCCCTGAACTTTGGTCTAAAACAAATTAGGAAAAGCAAGCTCTAAAGAACTCAACACCTGTGACCCCAGCACTCCAGATGCTGAGGCAGAAGGATCTCGGTGAGTTTGAGGCCAGGCTGGGCTACATAAGACCCGGTCTCAAAACAAACAAAAGACCAAAACCCTCTTGGCAAGCATTGCAAAACCTGGAGCCGTGCTGGGCAGCCGTGGCCCTCTGCTGCCACAAGGGCTGTCGCCGTCACTGGCCCAGAGGGCCGTGGTTCCCGGTGTCTACCTGCATGTGAAGAGCGTGCACTGGTCCATTAGGATTCTCCACACAGCATCCAGGTCTGAATCTGTCTTACCCAGTGTGCAGGCACCTGGTACCCCAGGGATGGGACAGTCACCAAGCTGGCTGCAGCGTGACCAGCAGATGCAAAGGACCGGTGGTACCTAGCGACTTCCCGTGTTGGTGGAAAACTGCAAGGGGAACTTGCTTAACAGCATTTAAGTGAATGAAGTTGCCGGTGGGAGGGCAGCGCTGGGAACTGATCTCCGGCCTTTGTGCTGAGCCACATCCCATCTTTCTTCGGTTTTTATCTTTAAACAGGATCTAAGTCACTTCAGTTGCCAGGCTGGATTCAAACTTGGGATCCTCCTACCTCAGGCCTCCCAGAGTGCAGGGATTAGTGGGTGCCCCCGCACCCTGCTGGGTAGAGCTCTTCTATCCAACCACTGCTGTTGGCTCTCTCAGAAAATGTTTGTGCATTAATAACCAGAACACTAAATCCCACATAAAGGCATGGAATTTTATATACAAAAACTGTTCCTAGAAACAGCCGCACGGACGTCACTGAGGAGGAAACACTTTATTCTGTCCTTCTTCGCGCAGTACCAATGTGCAGAGGAAAACAAGCCTTCAGGAGCCGGGAATAAAAATGCAAAGCCCCTTCCCCAGGCGGACTGCTGTTCTAAGACAGGGGTCTTCGGGAGTTGTACACCTTCACACCATTTTGCACGGAGGACCGTGAGTATTTCGTGAGTAAGGCACCTATGGTCTGCTTCTCTCCACAAAGGTCTCTGTGGAAGCAACCAGAAAACCACATGAACGGCAGGAACATGAGAGAACGAGACCGGACTAGTGATTTCACCTCCTCCCAATCCATCTTTCCTGTGGGCATAAGAGTGTGTGCAGAGCAGAAACAGTAGGGTTGGGCTGAAGTCTCTTAAATTATTGTTTATTTCTGAGACAGGGTCTTGCTGTGTAGCCCAGGCTGGCTTCAAACCTTTTGGCAGTCCTCCTGCCTCAGCCTCCTGGGAGCTGGGATTACAGGCGCGCACTGCCACACCCAGCAGTTCTGTCTTAATTGAACCTCCAAGTCAAAAATACACAAGCCGGGTGTCACCATGAAGCATGAAGCCAGAGAACCTGGACACCGGACTCCTGTGTGAGTTTATGCAGCTGCCCTCCCCTAGCCACAGAGACGAGGATGGGGACGTAATCGACCGGGGATGCACATGCCAGAGAAGACAGCAAAGGCCACATCACGGGGCCTCCAAGGGCACTGGCCAGGCAGGTGTGAGGCCCGGGGTGCATCCCCAGCAGCGGCATCGCACGGAAGACACAAAACAAGCAGACTGGAGGTGGGGGGACGACAGGGAGAAAAAGGGGCCCAGTTCAGGGGCAGACACAAGACGATGCCAGGTTGGCTCCTGCTTTAAACCCGAGGGGGAAGGAAAAGATGGGGGCGGCTGCTACACTTCTGTCTGTCTGTGGGTCTGTCTGTCTGTAGGGAGCCCTGGGGATGTCGCTCAGCCTCACCTCATACTCCCGGGCTTATGTGATCCTCTTGCCTCAGCCTCCCCTCTAGCTGACAGGAGAGCGGTTTACAGGTGGAGGAAAGGACAGAGCAAGGCCCTCACTGGGGTTTCTGACAATCCTGCTGAAACTTTCACTGGAAGAGCAATGACCAGGCCGAGGGCAGAGGGGGAGAAACAGCGATATAAAAGGCCTGAGATGGCGCAGGTGGTTTTGGCGGAGGTGACAGGCAGGGACACTGAGACCAGCGCCCTCCCGCCTGCCGTAAAATGCAGAGGAGACAACAGGGCCGGGCGATGAGGTTTAAAGCAAGCGCTTCCCGCACGCTGACACACAGACGCTCAGGCCCTGACCAGGACCACAGAGGCGGAAGCCGAGCCACACGCACCAAGCCGGATGCCCACGCAGGCAGTGGCGCCGTCAAGACCCTGTGGCCTGGAAGCCAGGGACGGGACAGAGGCCCGCGGGGATCCACCTTGCCAGAGCCCGCTGCTCCTTCCTGGGCAGCTCTCTGCTCCCTGCTTTTTTCCTGCTTACACAGAGTGTCCTCCTGCTTAAAGTCCACCTCTAACTCCTTCTCAGTGGGAAGTCTAAGGTCCAGCTAGCTGCTCATCCCAGGGCGCAGCCTGCATGTGACAAGCAGATGCACACCGTGGGCACCTGACGCGGGAAAACTCTCCCTAGAAGGAAGCAGAGGGTGTACAGAAGGCCTGTGGCTCACCGAGGAACAGATGTGAATTCCCACTACATATCCCAACGGACTCACTAGTACGTGGCTAAAGCTACCAAACATCACCCATGAAGGGAGAAAGTCACTAACTTCAATAGTCCTTACAGGGTGGGGGTACACGCCGGTCATCCCAGCAATTGGGAGGCTGAGGCAGGAGGATCTCTTCTATTTCCACTCAGCCTGAGCTACACAAGTTCAAGGCCAGCCTGACTCCACAGCCTGTCTCAGAAAACAAGAGTCGTTATGCAGTTACTGACTGGATGTAAGGGGCAATGTCCTCCTCCGTCCACTTCTCCCTCACAGAGAACAGGGCATTGAAACGTTCCTGATTTCCCTCTGGTAAGTCATCCACTTTCAGCAAAAATATGATTTCTGGCCTTGAGTGTCTATCCACCAGCGCTAAACCCTGCGGGAAACACGAGAGAGAGGGCGGATCATTCACATGAGGATTTGCTGTTTACCCTTAGCCCACAGGAGCTAAATACCAGCCTCACAAAGCTGACACAAACTATCTAGAGATGCCTAGTAGCTTTTTTCATAAAAACAGCTCCTTTTTTTGTTTTGTTTTGCTTTTTGAGACACAGTCTTGCTATGTACTCTAGGCTGGCCTTGAACTCACCTGTAGCCCAGGCTGGCCTCAAACTCAAAATGACCCTCTGCCTCAGCCTCCCAAGTGCTGGGATCACCTATAGGTGTGTGCCAGCAGGCTGCTTTCCAATCTAGCTTCTCTCACCCCCAGCTCATGCGAGCAGCAGGTCACACGGATCAGTCCACCCGCATCCCAACGGGCCCCTTCCTGGACTCCTGGTTCTCATCTCTCAGGAACTGTCGGCTCTCGTGCACGGCACGGTCCCCCAGCTATGGCGCCACACTTCCTCTCTTCCTACGATCCTTTCTTCCTCTCTTCCCACACTCCAGGGCCTGTCTCTCCTGCTCCCCGTGATGTCTGTGTCTGCTCTCAGTGCCCTCCCCCAAGCCCAGGTCCACAGGGGACTGTGCTGGGTTCACCCCAACCCGAGCTCCAGGTCCCATCCTAGGAAAACAGCAAACCTGGATTCTGCTCATCACCCCGCCCAGCCTGGGGTACACAGTGACCCTGGCCCAGAGAACAACAACAACAAAAGGTAAATTTCATGCTATGTAAACGGTGCCTCTAGAGCACAACCGCATGTTTAAAGGACCACTCGAGGGACTGGTGTACCCAGGAGGCCTCCGTGTAGCAAGGACCTGTGGACCTCACAGCAGGCCAAGTGGGGTACCTTGAGTTGGTCCAGACTGGTCACCATCCCTTCGGGGACGCTCTGTTGCCACACAGCCTGAAACTCAGCCAGATTGAACTTCACAGCGTTCTGCAGCAGCATCTGGGCAGTGGCACGGCAAATCTTATCAGCGCTCAGCTCAAAATAAACTTCCCCTGCAGAAAAGGCATGGAGAGCCCTGTGTATCCAACGAGTCCCCACTGCTCCTCCACAGCGGCCGCTTCTCAGCCCGACCACCTGCTAGGCTCGCATCTAGATGTCCCCCAAGGCCTTCTGCAGGCACAGGTTCTGGGGAGGCAGCTGGGATTGTGGGTGCAATCTTTTTCTGGGTGTGGCTGAATGGATTTAGTGGACACAGAAGCTCCACTCTGGGTGTGGGTGGCACCAACCAATAGGCTTGTAGCCTGCATGCAATGAAAGGGAAAGGGAGGCTCAGCGCGGCCACCGCTGCTTCCTGCCTGCCCGCCAGGGACCGTTTCTCCTCTGCAGTGCTGTCTTACCTTGCAGCCAGCCAAACGAAACCTCTGCAGCCCATGAGCTAAAACAAACCCCTCAGCAACGAGAATAACTCAAGCAATGCTTCCCTCACTCCCAGTCCTCAGTCCACACAAGCACAGCAACTTTAGCATCCAAAAGTTCATTGCCCGTGGGCAGACTTCCCCAACTTACCTTCATCTACATATTTCCTTCCGTAACACTTAAGACAGTGCTCTATCATTTCCCTGAAATATTAAAAAAAAATTGAAAGGTATCTCACACTGTTTATTTGAGTAATCAGTTCTCTCTGTAGTATTCTCCTGCATTCATTTCTTCCCCAGCACCTGTGTTTGTTAGTCCATGTTTACAGTATACAGTGATCACTTTTCGTAGGAAGTTGGTGTCTGCACATGTCACATGTTAATTCTCTTTTCATCTCCTCTCTTCCCTCCATTCTTGGTCTCTTCCTCTTTTGTACTTCTGAAATACATCTATGTCCCTACTTCCTACTACCTATCTTTCTATTTATTGATTTTGGTCTTTGGACACAGGGACCCATATGGAGTTCAGGCTGGCCTTGAGCTCACCAGGTAGCCCGGCTGGCCTCAAACTCACAAAGAGCCTCCTGCCTCAGCTCCTCCACCCTGAATGCTGGGATTACTGGCATGTCCCATGCGTGGCTCTTATTATCTATGGTTTACTTTGCTTCTTATTTATACTTTAGGTTCCTCATATAAGAGAAAACATGTAAGAGTTCAGCTGTGTCTGATTTATGTCACTTCACATTATGGTCTAAAGGTGTATCTGATTTCCTACAATAACTCAGGTTTATTCTTCTTCCTGGCAGAGTAGTACTCCACTGTGTGTCTATAGCACACTTCTTTACCCACTCGCCTGTTGATGGAACCCAGGCTGTCATGTACTGTACTTTAAACCTCATTTCTAATGAGAAACTAAGATATAAATTTGAGATTTGAAGTATAAATTATTTGGATGCCAAATGGTACTTTATTTAAATTGAAAATATACCCTAGAAAGCTGCTACATGTCAAGCCTATTTTTTTTTTTTTTTTTGGTACCAGGGATCGAACTCAGGACCTTGTACTTAACAGGCAAGCGCTTGAGCCCAGCCGCTGAGCTAAATACCCGGCCCCAGGACACACAATTTTACAGAGCATGTAAACATATTAATACAAAATAGCTCAAACATAACACTAATTTGTATTCTTAAGCCAAATCAAGAAAAAGAGATTAAACAGATTCACTCACCCTAGTGACCAAAATTTCCAAATCCTTTTTGGTTGTATGTTTTTAAATTTTTTCTAAGATACCAAACTATGAACGGTCTACGTCCTGAGTCTAGTTCCAGGCTGGGGAAGAACCTCCTCCCGCTTCAGGAACCCGCAGGACAAAGGATTAAAATACTTGCTCTGGCTCCAGTGGGCCCAGTTCCTGCAGGCAAACACTCAAAGGGACTTTACTAAAAGACCACGACTCGGAATCCACAAGCTGAGTTACGTGATTCAGAAGCTTCATCTCATAATCAAACTCCAGAACCCTCCAGTAACCTGGAAATTGTAAAAGTCAGCTTCACCAAGGGGCATTTTAAGAGAACAAAGTAGCCGATAAGGTTAATTAAGTACGAGCATACTCTTGTCTGCTGCAAGACAAAGCAAAACAAAACACACCCAGCCCTAAAACTTGTCTGTGTGTTGTAGCCGGGCGTGGTGACGGCACCCCAGCACTTGACAGGCAGAAGCAGGAGGTCTGCCTGGGCTTCAGGGCCAGCCCGCATTTACAGCGACGACCTGTCTCAGAAACTCAAACCAGACCATTACAATCTGGGTTTGTTTGCAGTGCTGTGGGCTGAAAGCGGGGCCCAGAGCACACCCAGCAGCTCAATTCTGAGCCCCAAGAAGGATTCAGTAAACATGCAATAGGGCAAAGATACCCAAACCCCTCTCCCACCTGACTCCCTGCCCTGTCGTCACTGATGGGAACAGTGCGACGCCTACCTCCAATCTCGCAGGCATTCAGAATTTGCAAGTGGGACATTATTTCTTCCTTGCTTGCCTGAATTACATCAAGCAAATCCTCAGTTGTATACTGAAATGAAAACATATTTCCATGCCCTGAAAAATAGTATTTTTCTAAATTTCTCATTGGATTTGTGGGAATACATAGAAATGACTGGCACAAAATTTAAGCATGAGTTCAGTTTTATTATTAATATATAGTGATATATAAATAGCACTGGGCATGGTAGTGCATGCCTGTGAGGCCAGCACCCAGGAGGCTGAGGCAGGAGGATCACCATGAGATTGAGGCCAGCCTGAGTGAGACCCTGTCTCAAAAGAAGTGACCACAGTGAGATAGCACCTCATTATTTCTCTGGAGCCTACCGCACCCAGGCCTTCTGCATAGTGTCCTACCATGCCATCCCTGATCAGAGGCCACCAGGCCAGCTCGGGCAGGTGGGTCTCGATGAGATGCCCTCTGCAGCGGGTTTACTCCTGACGCACAAATGTGAAGCTAAGATGGTCACTGTGCAGTGCGTGCAATCAAATCTTTTCCCCGATTTCCAATCAACAGTGACACTGCCCTTGTTGTGACACTTACCGTGGTGCGATTTGAATCCATCTCTTTTGGGCTGTCGGGCCCTTCGTAGGTGTTTTTCATCAGAAGTCTCCTCAGCTTCTGCAGTTTAGGTCTGCATCTTCGTAATTCCCAGTAATTATTGGCAAAACCAAAGATCTAGAAATTGTAACACATCATCACCCATGAGCAGTCATCCTGAAGAAATTCCACCGAGAACCAAGAAAAGGGTTTACAACTTCCCTTGGGAAGGTGCCTGCTGGGCCATGAAGAGAGACAGATGGAAAGAAAGACAGAGACAGAGACAGACAGAGAGACACAGAGAGAGCGAGACTGATTTTCTTTAAAGCCCAATTCAGCAGACACTGTCAACAAAGTGAGAGTGGGGATCTTTATTTCCCTTGTTTTTTTTTTTTCTTTTTTTTGTTTTGTTTTGAGACAAGGTCTCACTCCAAAGCCCAGGCTGAGCTTGAACTCATGGCGATCCTCCTGCCTCAGCTTCACCAGTGCTGGGATGACAGGCGTGCACCACCACACCTGGCTGAAAACGAGGACGTGAACATCACACAAGTCCACTCTGGAAACTACCTACACCCAGGAGAAGCTGGCAGGACAGCAAGGAGCCTGTGGAGCCGGGGGAAGCAACACAGTAACAAAAAGACATCATCATAATCTTCAAAGAACAAGAAGTGTTACAGGGAGAGAGGCCCTTGTTTTGTGACCCATGTGATACACATAAGAAACAGAAGGCAAAGGAAGACACTTGTGTTCAATGCAGGAAGTTACCGGACTGCAGTGGGCACACCTGTAATTCCAGCACCATGGGAGGCTGAGGCAGGAGGACTGCCACAACCTCAGGCTTCACGCCCTAAAATATACAGCAATGCTCTGTCTTTTAAAAAATGAAGAAAAAAGTCAAACAAAATATAGACAAGTTCACAATAATTCAAAGAAAAATAATCAAGCTGAGAAATTTCTAATTTCCTCAAACAGCTTCTCAGAATCCCATAATCATACATTTGATATCTAAAGATCTTTTTTGGGGGGACAGGGGATGTTTAGACAAGGGTCTCATTATGTAACCCAGGCTGGGCTCCAACTTTGCAGCAATCCTCCTGCCTCAGCCTCCCGAGGGCTGGGATTCTAAATGTGCATCCCTACACCCGGCTTCCATCTAAAGATCTGACTAAAGACAAGATTGGTGCAGCTGCCTGGAAGGGTCCCGAGCGGTACCTCAGCATGGATCAGGTCAGGGGGCTCGGCCTCCCGCGCAAGCTGCTCCGGCGTCTTGCAGCCCGGGACACACAGCAGCAGGTTGGAGGTGTCCGCCACCTTCAGCTCATAGGTTTTGTCACCGCTGCACAGCACGGCTTGCTCATCTTTCTCACCGCGGATCACGAGGCTTCAGAAAAACAGGGAGAACACGCAGGGACCCGCATTTGAAGCAGCTTCCCAAAGTGAAGAAGCTGGGCGCGGAGGTGCGCACCTGCGATCCCTCAGCACTGACGGAGGCGGAGGCAAGAAGGTTGCAAGTTCAAGTCCAGCCTGGGCAATGTTTCAGACTTTAAAAACTGAAGAAAAGGGGCTGAAGACGCAGCTCCGTGACAGAGTGCCGTGGGTATACCCCCCCACCCCACACACACAAACCACTCCCGGGACCAGTGTTCTAAAGCAGGCTAAAGAACTCCTCAAACTTGCATAGACAAATAATCTAAAATAAGCCCAGTGGGGGAACGGGCCTGTCACCTCAGCACTCAGGAGGCTGAGGCAGAAGCCCTAAACCTGCCTCAAAAAGCAAAACAGAAAAATGCAAGACTTTTTAAAAACTAAGCCTTGAGTAACATGAAAAGAATACATGGCTTCCAGCTGCTAATAAGGCCTCGTGGGCCCAGGCACCTACTCTTTATTTACTTATTTTAGTTTGTTTGACTCAGGATCTCACTAGTAGCCCAGGCTGACCTGGAACTCGGCAGTGATCCTTCGGCCTCAGCCTCCTGAGTGCTGAGATGACAGGTGTGCGCCACCTGGCCCAGCTCAAAGTTAGGTGGTTCTGAAGGCTACCCAGTGAGACCGTGTTGAAAAACCAAAAAGGAACAACTCCCCGGCTGTTGACCTGCTTTCCGGTCTCATGGTACTGGGTCAGCCCCGATACCCCCCAGAGGCTGCGCTTCGCTCCGGGGTCCCACAGCAGAGCCGGCCCAGTCCTAGGTCTGAAGCCGCGGGTTCTCGGCCACCTGGCCAGCCGGGCCACAAGTTCGGTATGGAAACCGCAGCGCCGTGACCCGGGACACAGAGAGACCCTCCCACGTCCACCTGGGCCCGGGACGCGAGCGGGCCCAAGGCCGCAGGAAGCAATCGTGGTTGCGGGAGATAGGGTCTCCTGAGCCCCGCAGGCCGGGCTGCATCTGACGACCCTCCTGCCTCGCACCCCACGCGCCCGCGAGCCCACGCCGGAGGAAGGCCCGCCCACCTGTGCCCCGCCTCCAGGCTGCGGCACAGCGCGGGCTCCAGCTCCAGCAGGCAGCATTGCGCGCCGGGCCCAAAGCGCAGGCTCAGCGCCGTGGGCAGCAGCTCGGATGCGCGCAGCTTGGCGGCCTGCAGCGTGGCGTCCACCTCCGCGCGCGTCCGAGACATCCCGGCGCCACGCGGCGGGCAGCGGCGCTTCCGGGAGGAGAGCGCGGGAGATGGAGGGGGCGGAGCCAGGCCCGGGCCCAGCCCGCAGCCCCGACAACTGACGCACTGGCGGGCAGGCCCACCGGGCCCACCCTCCCCGGAGCTGGGGAGGAGCGGGCCCTGCCCGAAGCAGCCCTCGGCCGGGACCCGAACCCCTGCCCCGAGGTCCCGCCCCTGCCGCCGTGGCCCCGCCCCGAGGCCCGCCCCTGAGGTCCCATCCCGGCCTGGCCTGGAAGCCACGCCGAGTTCTTATGCCCGCCTCTGGCCCCGCCCATGCTCCGCCCCTAGTCCCGGGCCCCGCCCTCCCCTGGTCCTAAACCCCGTCTCCAGGCCTCGTCCCTAGGACAACCCTAGGAGCCCGCCTCAACCTAGGCTCCACCCCAAGCCCCGCCCCGCCCCCTAGTGCCTTCCCCAGTCCCGGCAGGCAGCGCGCCGGGTCCGCAGGGTCGCAGACTTAGAGCCCTACCTGGGCAGCCTGGCGATCTCGCGAGACCCTGACTCCCAGGGGACACTCCTGAAGGGCTGGGCGACCGCGCCGAGCGGATCCGCTCTTCCCCGCTCCGCGCCCTGGGGAGCGGGAACCTGCCGGGCACCGTGGACGAGGCGGAGGCCCGAGTTCCGGCCCGGCGCGGCCGCAGTCAGCCGGGGAGGGGAAGTGGCAGTAGCGCGGGGCTGGCGGGAGCGAGGTCGGGAGGTCTGGAGGGCGGGCCGCGTGCTGCGGCTCCTCCGGGCTCCGCCTTAACAGCGGCACTGCGGGAGCCAGGCGCTGTGGACGGCGCTCGGAGGAGACTCGGCTTGCAGCCGAGGCCAGAGTGCTCAGCACGCACGGGAAGGCCGGCCCGGAGTGGGTCCGGGCTGGGACCCCGGGCCGCCTTCGTGATGTCCCGGCGGAAACTCTGCCTGCCTTGTGCTCGGTGCAGAGACTGCAGGAGCCGAGATTAGGGCAGCCAGTTGATTGATCTGATGGAGACAGTTCCCAGGGAGCCCAGTGTTGCGTCTGCGGCGTGGGTACTGCTAGGGGCTTTCCGCCAGCTTCAGGCTAACAATCCAGAGTTTAAAAAACCATTTGCTTTTTATTTATGAAGTGTATTGGTACATTTTAGGCATACAGAATGATCATATTCATCATAAATGATTTGTGTGTACGTGAAATAACATGATTCTTTTTCCCACTCCCCATCCTAAGCCTTCAACCCTGCTTCCCTTCCCCATTTACAATTGCTTTGTTTCCATTTTTTTCCTTTTCTCATTTTTTCCCCTTTTCCTTCCCTTCGTCTTCTCCCTGCCCTAGTTCCACTTGTCATTTGAACATTTTCTTCGCATTCCACAACATCTGTTGTTTTGGCCCTTATTTACACTTAAATTTTTCACAGAGAAACAATATAGTATTTACACGTATGTGTCAAATTAATTTCTCTTAAGAGTATGGTTTAAAGGTGCATCCATTTACCTAGAAATGTCTCAAGGTTATCTTTCTTCATGATAGGATTGTGTTCCACTGTTTAAAAAAATTGTTTTTAATCCATTCATTTGTTGATGGGCATTTGAGCTATTTCCAGGATTTAGCTATTACAAACTGTGCTGTTATAAACATGGGTGTGCATATGCTACTGTGGTATGATGTTTTTAATTCTGGGAAGATGGGGATATACCAAGAAGGGTAGCTGGGTCTAAGGGAAACTCTAGTTTTAGGGGTGTTTTGGTTTGAGACAGTCTCACTATATAGCCCCAGCTGACATCAAATTCAGTGATCCTTTTGCCTCCGCCTCTTGAGTGCTGGGATTAGGGGTATGCACCACCATGCCCGGCTTGTTTTAGTTTTTTGAGGAATCTTCACACTGATTTCCACAGTGGTCGCAACAGTCTGCATTCCCACCAACAGAAGAGAAGGGTTCCTTTTTCTCCACAGCCCCTCCAGCATTTGTCATTGGTTAATTTCTTAGTGATAGACATTCTTTCTGAAGTAAAATGGAATCTCAGTGTTTTAATTTGCATTTCTGTACTGATAGTGATGTTGAACATTTTTTCACATATTTATTTGCCATTTCTATTTCTTCATCCAAGAAGAATCGATTCATCTGAGGTGCCTATTTTTTGGATTGAAAATCCATTTTTAAAATTTCATTTTAGTCAGGCATAGTGGCGCATGCCTGTAGCCCCAGCATTTGGGAGGTTGAGGCAGGAAGATTGCTGTGAGTTCGAGTTTAGCCTGTGCTACATAGGGAGATCTTGTTTCAAGAAAAGGTTTCATTTTGCCTTTTAAAACATGCCCAAAAAGATTGAGTGGAAGAAAACTTGGCTGCTGAAAAGATGAGCATGGTGCAGTGATTCACGTTCCACCGTCAGCAGAGGGATTGGAAATACAGGTGTCAATACAGAGAGAGTGGAGCACTGCACTGGCTGTGAAACCCCTGCAATAAGGCGGGCCTGTGACCCAGCACTGAGGAAGGCTGAGGCGAAAGGATCATGGGTTTGAGCCCAAGCTGCATAATAACTTAGAGCGTAGCTAAAAAACAAGCAAGTTAACGTGGAAATCGAGCCTCAACCTTGCTCTGTGCAGCCCCCTCTGGATGGCTTCCGGTCTCCTGTGCAGTGGAGCCCAGCAGAGCCCAGGGTAGGGCAGAGGGCCTGGTCCACATCCCACATCTGGCTGTGTGGAGTTCAGGGGAGGCCCTGGCTTCAGGAGTTGGGGTTAGAGCTGTTTAAAACAATGTTTATTAGTGCACGTTTGTGCTATGCTGTAGCCACCTTCAGTGTGCCATTGTCACCTCCCTTTTTTTTTTTTTTTTGTTAGGGTTTTTTGTTTGCTTGTTTTTGAAACAGGTCTCACTCTGTGGCCCAGGCTGGCCTTGAATTCACCACGCTCCTCCTGCCTCTGCGGCCTCAGTGCTGGGAGTACAGATGTGTGCCACCACAACTGGCTTTTTTGTTTTTGAGAGAAAGAGAGAGGGAGGGAGAAGGTCTCACTGTGTAGCTCAGATCGGGTTGGCTTTGAACTTGCCCCAATCCTGCCTCGGCCACCCAAGTGCTAGGCTAGGATCACATGTGTGTGCCACACGTGTATGTCATTTGTGATATTGAGGCTTGAACTCCACTATGTACTCATCTACATTACCAATTTTCAATATTTTTTTGAGCTAGGGTCTGGCTAAGTTGTTAAAGTGCCCGGCCTGGGCTCAGACTTGTGACCCTCCTGCCTCAGCCTCCCAGAACTGCCAGCATTGCAAGCCTCCCTGACCAGGCCTGGCTGGGTTAATAGTAGTCTGACAAATGCACTCCCTGAAGAAGTCGCCACTATCAAGGTATGGACTCATTACCACAAAACTCTCCTCACACCCCTCAGTAAAATGCAGGAGGAATATTTAAGACTATTATCCATTTCTGCTTACTTTTCTTTTATCTAGCTTCCTAGAGATTTTTGACCGTTTTGGGAGTTTTCTGGGTTTTTTGAGACAGGGTCTTACTATATATACAGGCTGGTTTTGAATCAAGCAGTCCTCCTGCCTCAGCCTCCCAGGGGCTGGGAACACAGGTGCCTTTCTTTTCTTCTAATATGTTTACTTCAAACTGCCCATTGTCCTCCAGGCTGTCTCAGCCGCAGCCCTCACACTCAGCGAGTTTGTCCTGCCCTCTTACTCCGCTGGAAATACCTGGAACCTTGCCGGGATGAGGGCTCTAACCCACAGGCCTGGTGGACCTGTTGTATTGGGGGGCGGGGGCTCTGATTATCAGCTCAGGCTGTGGTTTGCAGCTGGCGGGTGCAGCTAGGCCCAAGCAGCACCTCCAGGTGCTCGCTGTAAACTCACCAGGACCCGAGGCCGCCTTCCCCAGAAACGCCTGTGCCTCTCTCCCCACCTCACCGGTGCCTTCTTTCCCCTGGCGCTGAGGATCACTCACTCCTCAAGTTGCTGGATCACAATGCTTGCTTGGTTGGTTCCTTATCTCCAGGCTGAGCCCCACTAAGCTGCCTAGGCCGGGGATCCAGGTTGCGGTTCTCCTGCCTCAGCGTCCCAGCACAGAGCCAGAGCTGGGATGACAGTCATGCACTCCCAAGCCCAGATCCTTCCTGGTGGTTTGGAGGTCCAGGCTGGCTTTGAACCCTCACCCTCCTGCATCAGCCTCCCCCACTGCTGGATGGCAGGCAGGTGCCACCCATGCACGGTGACTCCTTTGCCTTTCCTGCATTTTGAGCTACTGGTGGGGTCCACACCGGTATCGGGGGGAACTGTTGCGATCCACGGGCCTCCTTGGCACCTGAAGGAGACCCAGCCAAGCCAGGAGTGAGCGCAGTGCTCTGGGCAGGTGACAGCTGGACGTAAGGCCAGGGTGTGGCGCAAGCCTCCAATCCCAGCGCTCGGGAAGCTGAGGCAGGAGGAACGCTGCAAGTTCAAGGCCAGCTTGCCTGAGACCTTGTTTCAGGAAACAATAACAAAAACAACAAAAATCCCAAAACTAAGAAAAAAGCTCACAAGAAGAACCTCGTGAAGCACCCTAAAGAGTGTGGCTGGGCCCCAGCGATCTGCACCCAGAGAGAGGAGCAGAGCAAATCCCCCAGGCCTCAGTTTCCTCATCAAAGATGCACAGAGGAATCCTGGCTGATTCACAGCCTCTTCCAGGAGCACACGGTCAGCACAGGGGACACTTCGGTTCCCGGTACTGTGGATGGGACAGGAGGGCTTTGCACCAAGCTGGTCCCCAACCCTTTTTAAAGTTTTCAGTTTTGAAGCCAGGTGTGGTGTGCGCCTGTAAATCCCAGCACGTCTGAGGCTGAGGCAGAAGGATCACCACCTCTTGGAAGCCAACTGGAACTACATAGTGAGTTCAAGGCCAGCCCAAACTGTAGCAACACCCTGTCTTGTTTTTGTTCTTTAATTTTGAGACAAGCTCTTAGTAAACTGCTAAGTTGCCCAGGCTGGGTTAGAACTTGTGATCTTCCTGCCTCAGCCTCCCAGGATGCTGGAATGACAGACCTGCACTGCTACACATGGGTATAGAACATTTCTGAACGTGACCAGGCCCGTGAAAAGAGCTCAGTACATCTAGTGTGTATTACCCCATTAGAAACTTCTCAGATGGGCCAGGGCCTTAGCTCAGTGGCACAAGATCTGCCTGGCAAGCGTGAGGTTGTGACTTCCATCCCCAGTACCCCAAATATTTTTAAAAATTTAAAAAAGAAAAACTTCTCAAGCACATCTAAATGTCTTTTTAAAAAATAACAGCTACTGTGTAATTTTCATCACATTTTTGTATGTTAAATTCACAGGTAACACAACCTTGCTGTTGTACTGCATTTTAAAACATTCAAGCGATACCCTTAAGGGAGCACAGAGATGAACTGCAGAAAGGGGACTGTAGGTAATAACATAAGGTAGGTGTAGAGGCCGGCACGGGGCGCAGGCCTGTAACCCCACTCTGCAGAGTGCAGAGGACCGCAGGATTGTCTCAAAACATAAAAAGCAGCCAGGCCTGGTGGCTCACACCTGCAATCTCAGCAATTAGAAGGCTGAGACAGGAGGATTGTTTCGACTTTGAGACCAGCCTGGGCTACAAAGTGAGCTCATGGCCAGGCTGAACTGCATAGTGAGACCCTGTCTCAAAAAGCAAACAAAACAAAACAAAACCATAAAGGGCCAGGCCTGGTATCACACACGCTTGTAACACCAGTTGTCAGGAAGGCTGAAGTAGGAAGATTGCAGATTCGAGCCCTGAGTGGGAAACATAGCAACTCAGTGAGATCTGTTTCCAAAAAAGAAAAAGAAAAAAAAATTAAAACTGAAAAATAGCAGAAACATAGCTCAGCGTGAAGGCCCTAGCTTCAGCCTCTAGGACAAAAATTAATAAAGACTAGAAAGAGCCTCAAGGGATGTAGTTCAGCGGTGGGGTTTCCTGGGTTGCCCCCCAGAAACAACAACATAACGGTCCTGTGTATTTCAATATTCACATGAGCACCTGGCCTCACATTTCAGGGGCAGCTGTGCTCAGATGTTTAGCGTTACTTAAAAACAAGAAAATAAAGCTAAGAGAAACACCTGTAATGAGTAATCTGCTACTATGAGAGTGAAGACAGGCTTAGCTGAACACAGCCATCACTCCATGTTTGTATCCCGGATTTAAAAATTTAGCTAAGCCAGGAATATATAGCTCAGGGGCACAGCTGCCTGCCTGGCAAGTGTGAGGTCCTGAGTTCGATTCCTGGTACCTGCGTCCCAAAAATAAATAAAAACTACAAATTTAGCTAAATAGAATTGGTTGTGCTGGTGCACACCTATCAACCCAGCACTCTGGAGGCTGAGGCAGGAGGATCATGATGAGTTCAGGGCCAGCCTGGGCTAAATTGTGAGACTCTGTCTCAAAAAACAAAACAAAACGAAACAAAATTAGCTAAATGAGGTATTTGTATTGCAAACACACGCTGGCAGCCTGCACTCTGACCCCGCCTACCGCGACCTGGAGGTCCACTGTTGGCAGTGAGGGCTCAGGCCTTCGGTCAGCAGGGGCCTCCCTCGGTGTCACTGCACAGGCAGTCGCTAGAGGGCAGCACAGGCCAAGGTACCGGATGAGAAGCATCCAGTCGGGATTTCCAGGGACCCAGCGGGCTTGGGGCTGCGGGCGGGGCTCAGCTTTGCTAGCTTTGCTCCTAGAGTTTTATTTCCCCACGCTGTGGAAAGGTGAGACAAGGTGGGCGCTGTGGCCCACACCGGCAGTCTCAGCACTGGGGAGGCTGAGGCAGGGAAATCGCCGTCCGTTTGAGTCCAGTCTGGACCATGCAATCATTTCGAAGCAGTCCCGGGCTGCGTAGCGAGACCCTGTCTCAAATGAACAAAAAATAAAATAAAATAAAATAAAACACAAACAAAAGAATAAAGAAGAGGCAGATGTGACACAAATATTAAAAATAGCCGTGAATGGTGAAAACCTGGAAATCTATTTTAGTTTTCACTATTTTTTTAGATAGGTTCTCGTTATGCAGCCCAGGCTGACCTTGAACTTGCAGTGATCCTCCTGCTGCAGCCTCCAGAGTGCTGGGATCACAGGCGTGTGCCACCATGGTTGTGACTGTGGTATATTTTAAAGACCTGCCCCCTCCTTACGGCGTCTAGGGACAGGAGTATCCGGGCAGGATATTGCTAAACCAGAAGTTTTCATGCATTCACAAGGAAAGGACAAAAATCGTCGCGCTAAAGAATCAAGATTTCCATGAATTGTTCGGGCCGCGGTCACCTTAGCGAGGTGCGGAGGCACAGGAAACGACCGTGCCGGGCTTGGGTATCCACATGGGCCTCTGGGATTGGGGACAGCGTGGGACACAGGGAAGGCGACCAAAGCCTGCACCGCCCCCCTGGCCTGGGCCTGCAGCTCGGCTCTCTGCTTCCAAGGTGCGGTCCAGCTGGCCCTGGAGCCTGAGTCCGGCCCTGCCGTGTGGCATGGGAGACCCTGAGCAGGGTTGCGTTAACAAGATGTCAATGGGACACAGAACCTGGGACAAGCGGGGCGGGGCGCTGTGACCCACACACGCACTACTTTGTAGCTGGGTAGGGGGCCAAGGCAGGAGAATTCCTGTGAGTTCAAGGCCAGCCTGTACCACTTAGTGAGACCCTGGCTCAAAAAAGATGAGGAAGGCAGGGACCAAAGACCATGCAGGAGGCTGGGGCAGGAGGACAGGCGGGGCTTTTCCGGATTTGAATTTTTCCCATATGGTAAGGTACTTTTTTGAGGGAAAAATCATGAATTTAAAAAGTTCTCTTTCTGGAACGGATCCAAAAGCCATGAAGGATGCAGGAGAGGAACCCATTTCTGATCATCCTCTGGACCTCCTGAGTGCTGGGATTATAGGCCTGCACTGCCACATCTGACTTGTGAAAAGATTTTTTTTTTCTTTTTGTCTTTTTTGGAGATTGGGTTTCACTCATGTTGATCCTCCTGTCTCAGCCTCATAAGTACTGGTATTACAGCAGTGCCCCACCAAGCCTGGCTTGTTTTTAATTTTTCTTTTTTTGTTTTCTTTCTTTCTTTTTTCCTTCTTTCTTTTCTTCCTTCCTTTCTTCCTTCCTTCCTTTCTTTCTTTCTTTCTTTTTTTTTTTTTGTCTTTTTGAGTCATGCTATGCAGTTCAGGCTGGCCTTGAGCTCACTTTGTAGCCCAGGCTGGTGTTGAACTCACAACAAGCCTCCTGCCTCAGCCTTCCCAGTGCTGGGATTAAAGGCATGCGCCACCATGCCCACTTGATAATACTGCTTTTGAAGAAATTAATCTTTCAAGATTAAATTTTAAACCAGGTGTGTGGCACATGCCTGTGAACCTAGAGCCTGCCTCCTAGCTGAGGCAGGAGGATCGCCTACAGTTTTAAGCCAGACTAGGCTACATAGTAAATTCAAGGCTACTTCGGATTACAAACGGAAGACCCTGTCTCAAAAAAAAAAAAAAATGGCAGAAAAATAAAAAGCAAAACACGGTGAAAGGCCAGGTCTCCAGGCAGGAGCTGGGGAGAGAGCTCTCAGAGCCTGGCCCCGCCCACATGTTTATATTTTCCTCCCCAGACCCCGCCCCAGAGCACGCGAGCGCCAGGGCCCCGCCCCCAAGGCGGGGTTGCTAGGACAGGAATTCCCTCTCTAGCCAATGGCAAGCGAGCTCCAGAATTGCCCGGAACAAAGATGGCAGGCGTGGCCTCAGTGCGGGCAGCCTGATCGCAGCGCCAGGCTCGGGCGCGGGGACACAAGCGCGGCGACCATGGAGCAGGGCAGCAGCGGCAGCGACGGCCACCCCGGCGGGGGCGCGCGGCAGCGGGAGTTGGAGCGTACGGCCGAGGTCCTCGTCACCGGGGAACAGCTGCGGTAGGCGACGTCCGGGCGCGGGTAGCACTGCCGCGCGGCGCTGCGCGCTGTCCCTGTCCGAGTGCCAGCGACCCGGCTTGGGTGACCGCAACCCGGCCTGGGTGACCGCGACCCGCCGGGTGACAGCCCTGGGCGCGTGGCTTGGCGCGGTCGCGTGCCGCAGAAGCGGGGCTCGCGCTGTCATCTCGCACTGGGAGGCCGAGGCAGGAAGATCTCCGCGAGTGCGTGGCCAGCCTGCGTTGCCCCCTCCGAGAGATCCTGCCTCAAAACAGCAGAACCGGAGAGGTAGCGGGACACAGGGCGCCCCCTCTGCAGGACGTCGGTGCGGGCTGAACGCGCAGCGCTCTCCAGGCTTCCCTAGTCCGCAAGGAGGCAACCGAGGCGCAGTGTCCCAGGCTGCAGCCAACTTCCCAGCACGGCTTTAAACGCTGGCTGCTACAGAATAGGACTTAGTGTGTGTCACGACGTAGGGACAAACCAGGTTCCCAGGGCCTCCACCTTCCCGTCCCAATCCTTCCCTACCCATTCCTTTTCCTGAGAATCTGTTTATCTACTGTACGTCCGGCCTAATCCCAGAATTTAGGAGGCTGAGGCTAGAGAGTCACAGCAAGTTTGAGGCCAGCCTGGGCTGCACAGCGAGTCCAAGGCCAGCCTGAGCTGCACAGGGAGGCTGGGTCTCAAAGCCACAAGGAGAGAGACATGGAAGCAACGTGCGCGGCTGGGCTGGCTGGTTCCTCGTGGCCGTAAATCAGTTTGCCAGGAGAGAGTAGCCCGGCCTGCAGCCTGTAGCGGGGTTTTGAGGAAGGAAACGGAGCCGAGCCGAGCGCACTGAGCTGAACATTCGGCCGAAACTGGGCGTCTGGCCTGGCTGAGTTTTAAAGTGCATCGGCAAACGTCTGGCATCTGGGTGCGGGAAGGCGGAGGCAGCAGCATCGCAGCGGGGTCGAGGCCCGCCTGAACCACCCAACGAGGTCCTGTCTCAAAAAATCCAAGAGAATAAGTAAATAAAAAGAAAGTATGTGGTGCAGCTTAAAAGGGAGAAAACTCCAGAGGTTTCTAAGAAACAGCAGTACTGTGTAACTTTCCTGATTTCAAGGCCTCTGGATAAAGTTACTGTTTGCCCAGGCTGCCCTTGAACTCAGGGTCCTCCTGCCTCACCCTCCTGAGTGCTGGGATGTCAGGCGTGCACCTGATCTGAGTGTTCCTCTGGGCCGGAGATGGGCTCCCAACCCATCCTTGGCACTCGTGTGACATGGGACATTGATATTCCTATGCGCCCAGTCTGTAGCTCCCCAGCATGGGTTAAGTTGCCTGGGGACTTGAAGGGGGGCTCAGCCACTTAAATTAACCAGAGGAAGCCAGCTATGGGGACCACCCTGGAATCCTAGCCCTTGGGAGGCCGAGGCAGGAGGATCTCAGCTCAAGCCCAGCCTGGGCTCAGGGCAGACCCTGGCTGCAAAGAGCCACACAGGGACCATGCATCTGTGGCCTGGGCTGCTGTTGGCACTCTTGGCTGGCTGATCCCGCACCCCAAGCCTGTGCCTGCCTCCTGCCCTGCAGCTGGCACATGGTAGTCACTCAATCAGCACCTGAATGTGCACTTCCTGTGCTGTGCTGGTGCAGCACCCTGGCCGGCCGGCAGCAGGTCACCCTCGGGGTTAGGGTTGGGATATGCCCTTCTGTCCCCAGCTGCCCCCCAGCTGTTGACTGCAGCCATAGTTTGGCCTTTTGAGACAGAGTCCCTCTGTGTAGCTCAGGCTGGCCTCAAACTCCTAATGATCCTCCTGCCTCAGTCTCCTGCTGTTACTTGCACGTGTGCGCTGCCACACCCAGCTCATTTGCGGTAGTTTAGACTCTGGAAGCCTTGTGTGTTTTTGAGGTGCAGACCCTAAGCCACAGTGCCCTGGCAGCTGCTGCCTGGCCCTCAAGCTGGAAATAGCTGTCACCCGAGCTGGGTCTCGCCTCTGTGGCCCCTCAAGCTGGGAGGGAGCTCGGGTCAGGCCTCTGGGCTCAGCGGCCACTCCGATCTATTTTGGTCCTGTGAGTGTGGCTTCCCCTGCCGGCCCCTCAGGTCCTTGGGGCACAGGGAAGAGGCGCCCAGAAAGACCTGGAGACCCTGTGTCACTTCCTCTGTCCCTGGTGATCTAGGGAACGAAATTCCTGACCTAGCATGTGTCCTGTATGAGTTCGTGTTCTCTAAGTGGAAGAATGAATCTTAGGAACAACAGAGGTTAAGAGCAGAATATATTTCTTTAAAGGAAGAAAGCTTCTGTCTGAGGGAGAGACAGAAGGGGTCCCGAGCGGGTTGCCTAAGACTCTGTTTTTTCTAGGGACTTTTATAGAATAAAAGCACGAGGTGAGGCTGCTCTAAGGTGGGGAAAACTGGGAACTTCCAAGGCAGATGGGCTTGAGGTGGGACAGAGCTACGGCCAACCAATAAGTTTAACTGTTCAGGTAAAACTGATCAAATCAGGGACAAATGGGGAAGCCAGTCATGAAGCAAGGAGCATTCTTTATGGATCAGTGACTCTTCCCGTAGGGGGTTGGGACAGTGATTCTTGGCTTCTTAAAATGATCATACCTAATCCCTAAGGTTTATACTTAGGATGTGGTTGCATTTGTTTGCCTTCTGTCCGAGATCTGGCCCACAGCAGGAGATACGTGTCTCCTCCAAGGTCACAAGACACTTGGTCCTCTGTGCCGGCTTCCTTGAGGGCCCAGCCCTGTCTGACTGCCTGTAACATTTCTAACTAGCTCAGCTGCCTGTAAGGCTAGGTCTCCTGCTCCCCAACTTCTCATCTGAGCCTCCAGGCCAGCAAGACTTGGAGGGAAGCATTTTGGGCCCCAAAAGAGATGGGTGCAGTGGCTCTCGGTAGGCTGAGGCAGGAAGATTGCTAAGATTTGAGGTCAGCTTGGTCAGCATGGTGCCTGGTCAGTAACAAGGTTGCTGTGCAAGACTCGGGAGGGTGGAGACCCTGACCCAGGCGAGGCGAGCAGAGCCCTGTGGGACAGGGTGGGCCGGGTCCTCCGCCGGGTTCTGGGTTCCCTGTGGTGGCTTTGCAAGCCTGGTTTCCACCACAGCCATCTGTCCCCTCCGGTGTGGGACATCTTCCTCTTTCTTCTACATTGTGAGACTTCCCATTTTATTTTGGCAGGTTTTCCTGTAATTTTAATTTTTAGTTTTTAAGATAAGATCTCACTAGGCAAACCAGATGGGCCTGGAACTCCTGGTGATCCTCCTGCCTCAGCCTCCTGAGTGCTGGCCTGGCAGGTTTAGGCCACCACACCGGGCTCCTTCTTTCCTGAAAGTCGCCCAGGGCAGTCTGGGCCTGGTGGCGAGGGCCTCCCAGCTGGTTGTTTTGCCTGCTGGCCAGCACAGTCTGCAAACATTGAACATTCCTTTCCTGGTTTGAAATCAGGCGGCCTGACACCTGCTTTTTATCTCCTCACCCCTTATGGCTTGCATTCAGCTATGTAATTCATCCTTGGAGTTTATCTTATTTCTTGGTGGTGCTGGCTTCCTTCTCCTGGATTCCTCTCTCCTCAGGACCAAGAACCCCACTCCTTAGTTTCCTGCCCCTGGTATCTCTGTGTTTGGTTTTGAGGTTGGATCTGGCCTGGAACTCCTGGCAATCCTCCTGCCTCAGCCTCACCCCCACCACTGGGATGGGCTGCGGATACCACCCAGCCTGTAAGCATTGCACTAAATTGCCCAGGCTGGGGTCAAATTTTTTGATCCTCCTGCCTCAGCCTTCCCCATTTGCTTGGATTATGACAGGCTGCCTACTGTGCCTGGCTTGTGACTTTGTGTTCTCTTTAAAGTTGCTTCTCTACTGGGTGTAACCGGTGCATACATGGGTAACTGAGGCAGGAGGACCCCGTGGATCCAAGGACTGTGCTGTGAGACCTTGTGTCATTGTCCCCCTGTGCTGTCTCCAGGCCTCAGCTGATCGCTTCCTCCATGGAGCAGGGCCCCCCCCCGAGCCCGAGCCTGAGCCCGAGATCCTTTCCAGTGCCGGGCTCCTGCCTGCCCTGCCCTCCTTTCTGGCGGATTCTCATCTCTGCCTGGTGCTCTGAGCTGTGTGTCCCCCTCCAGGCTCCGGCTACACGAGGAGAAGGTCATCAAGGACCGGCGACACCACCTCAAGACCTACCCCAACTGCTTTGTGGCCAAGGAGCTTGTTGACTGGCTGCTGGCGCACAAGGAGGCCTCAGACCGCGAGACGGCGGTCAGGCTGATGCAGAAGCTGGCGGACCGGGGCATCATCCACCACGGTGAGGGGCAGGGCTTCCTGGGGGCCGTCCTTGAGCCTCCTCCAGTGGTGTCACCACCACTCCTGCTGGGCGTCTGGGTTTCCACTTGGGTGATGTCTGAGACAGGCTCTTGCTGTGTAGCCCAGGTCAACCTTGAACTCACGACCCTCCTGCCTCAGCCTCCCAGGGCCTAGGTGTGTGTGGCCGCGCCATCTCAGTCCGCATCCTTGGGCAACTCCTGCCCATGCGGGGCTGGCGGGCAGAGCAGCAGGCCTGTACCTGGGGATTTGCTCCGGGGTGCTGCCAGCTTGCCCTTGGTTGGGGTACTGTGCTAAGCGCCTCCCGCGGGCTCCCACGTCTGATGCCCCGTCCCCGCCATGTTTTTCAGTGTGTGACGAGCACAAGGAGTTCAAGGATGCCAAGCTGCTCTACCGCTTCCGGAAGGACGACGGCACCTTCCCGCTGGACGGCGAGGTCAAGGCCTGCGTGCGGGGGCAGCGGCTGTACGAGAAGTAGGTGTCCGGAGGCAGGGCCCCGGGAAGCCCTCGCCAGCCGCTCTTCCCTCTCCAGAAATGCAGTCACCAGCACAGGGTCCTTTCCGGTAGGGTCGGGTCTGGCGTGGGGCGAGAGGGATCTTACTTCTCAGCCCAGGCCGGCCTCAAACTCTCAGGGATCGTCCTGCCTCAGCTTCCTGAGTACTGGGTGACGGCTGTGTGCTACCACACCCGGGTTGCTTTCTTGCCTCCTAAGCTGTCTTCTATATTTCAGTAAGTTTTGGATACTTTATTTTATAAAGTAGGGTTGTCAGTGTGGTGGGGTCTCTGTGTAGCCCAGGCTGGCTTTGAACTTGTGGAGATCCTCCTGTCTCAGCCTCCTCCCATCTCATGTTTCGTGTGTTCTACCACAACGCAAAATGAAACAAAAATTAAGAAAGCAGAGCACTGTGAGGAAAAGCCAGGCACAGGATTGCAGGAAGCGGGGTGCTTATCTCATCCACGCAGGAGCGACCAGAGAGAGACTCGGGAGGTGCTGTCTGAGCTGGTAGGGGGCTTTCATGGTTTTTTTCTCTTTTTTTTTCCATTTTTGTTTTTGAGCGGAGGTCTCACTGTGTGGCCCAGGCTGGCCTCAAACACACCGGGACCTTCCTGCCTCAGCCTCCCGAGTGCTGGGATGACAGGTGTGCCTCGTCACACCTGCTTCTTCTGGTTACAGGTTGTAAGGCTGTCGGGAGCCGGGCAAGCTGTGTGTGGGCCGCGTGCAGTGGGAGCCAGGGAGGTGCAGGGAGCCCAGGGCCAGCGCCCGACTTTTCGGTTTGAGTCTGTGGTGTGCGTGTTCAGTGCATAGTGATCGTGGCATTGCGGAGAGTCGGGCACCCTCGGTCCTTCTATGCCGCTGTCCATCACGTCCAGAAAGATCTGCCTCCTGGTTTCCATCTTCTATCCCTGAAGGTCTCTTTACTTTATTCAGACTCCGAGTTCCCGAGTAAGAGAAACCCTGAGAGAGTTAAGCTCATGTGTCTGATTTATGTCACTTGCAAGTGCAGCCTCCGGGTGCACCGGTTCCCCTCAGTGACCCCGTTTGGCCTTTTTAATGGCAGAATAGTACTCCAGCGTGAGTACACCGCCTTTTCTCCATCTTCTGTGCGTGTCAGCCGCTCGCAAGTTTCAGCAGTGACTAGTTGTGCCGCCATGTGCCCGGCTGTGCCTGGGTGTGCCCTGCCGTGCTCGGATCACCACCCATGATTTTGCCACCTTTGGGGCCGGCCTGGAGAGGCCAGCCGTGTCCAGGGAGGCGCTGCTCCTGCATTTCCCCACCTTGGCGCCTCCTGCTCCGAGCCGGCTGCGGGACCCAGTGCCACGAGGGGGCGCTTGTCCTCCCTTTGCTCCTCGGCTGTCGCTTTGCTGTGAGCAGCCTTCTAACTTGGGGAACCACGCGATGGCCCGGGGTCACCGCGGCTGCTGGCCTCTGGGCTCGGATCCCAGAGCCCCAGTGTCCCTGCCTGGAGGTCTCCGCAGCCTCCTCTCCGCCCTCTGTGGCCCTCGATGCCCCAGGCTGTCGCCTGCTGGGTGCTGCCTCCTGTCCTGTGGGCCCTTCGCGTCCTCTGGGTCCCCCAGACGGCTGCCCGCGGCACAAAGGGGTGCTTCATCTTTTCAGGACTTTGCATGTGGAGGTCTGTGTGTGCGTACTGTGCCCCCCTCCCTCGAGGTCGGGGTCAGGGCCAGAGTCCTGAGGTGCCAGTGTCATCCTGACTGGGCCACAATTTGCGTTTCCTTTGCCATCTGAACACTTGGTCAGCTCTAAGAATTCTTTGCCAAACTCAAGGTTATGAAAGAAGTTTTTGGTACCAGGAATCGAACTCAGGACCTCGCGCTTGCCAGGCAGGCGCTGCGCCCTGAGCTCCACCCCCAGCCTATTTTTACTTTTTTAAAGATGCGTTTTCCCGGGTATGATCGAGGCTCTGCTCCGCGGGGGACCTGCTGCTCCTTCCTCAGGGCGCGGGCCCAGCCCCTTCTCTGCACCCCGCCCTCCTCCCCGAGGGCTGTGGCCCGAGCCCCTCGGGTCCCCCCTCACCACCCCCTGCCCTTCTCCTGTGCCAGGCTGATGAGCCCCGACTGCGCCCTCCTGCAGCCCCGCGAGGAGGACGGCGTCCGCTACGAGCGCACCTTCGTGGCCTCCGAGCTGCTGGACTGGCTGGTGCAGGAGGGTGAGGCCACCACGCGGCCGGAGGCCGAGCAGCTCTGCCGGCGCCTCGTGGAGCAGGGCATCGTGCAGCACGGTGAGGAGCGGTGCCGCTCTCTCTTCTTCTTCCTAACATCATTTCTTTGGTTGTTTCAGGCAGGGTCTTGCCATGCAGTCCAGGCTGGCCTTGAACTCAGCGATTCTCCTGCCTCAGCCTCTCAGTGCAGGGATGGCAGGTGTGGGCCACTGCTCCTGCTGAAGGCAGTGGATAGTCTGGGAGCTGGGTTCCCCGGTGAAGGCACAGGCTGGTGCCAGCTCAGCCCTGCTGGCCTGGCTAATAATTAAAGACCGAGGTTGAACATTAAAGAAAATCTCTGTCCAGATGCTGGTGGAAGGGGTGTGGGTCCGGCAGCTGTGTAAACATCAGCTCCCGGGAAAGCTGGGAGTGGTCAGTGATCTGTCCAGGAGCAGCTGACCGCCTCACAGTTCTGTGTGTGACCCTGTGGGATCGAACACAAATATTTACACAAATGCATGTGTTTGCAAGCACTCAGCCTTTAGTGTACTGGTGTGCACCCCGTTCCAGGCCCGGGCCAAGCATTCACAGATTTTATTGTTTTGTTGTTTATTTGAGATGGGGTCTCGCTGTGCAGCCCAGGCTGGCCTGGAACTCGAGGGACCCTCCTGTCTTGACCTCCCCCAGCTGTGCTCTCACACCCAGCCTTGGCCTTGAGTTCCTTGGATTTTTCATTTTGTAAATAAGAATCCACTGTAACTTTTGAGGGGTTGCTCTCCCCCAACATGCGGTCCCTGAGTGGTCAAAGTGCGGTGCTGGGAGGAGCAGCCTGTCCTTGCCCTTGTCCTTGAGGCTGTGGGAGGACACGTGGCAGGGCCAGACACTGAAAAAGACACAGGCGGTGGGGTCACTCTGCACCTGAGCCTCGCACCAATGCCTAATCTAGCATTTTCCTTTTTGCCTTTTGGGGACACCGGGGACAGAAGCCAGGGCTTCACATGCAGGGCGATTGTTCTCTAACAGCACTGTGGCCCTGGCCGGGATCCTCCTGCCTCAGCCTCCCCTGTAACTGGCATTGCAGCATGTGTCGCCACACCTGGCATCGCTGCCAGCTTCTGTGGGCTCCTGCGTCTCCTGCCTCTGCCCCAGTGCGCTTCTCAGTTGCTTTGTTCTCTGCAGGGCTGAGTGGAGAGAGACGCGTCAGGTTCCCCCAGCTCTGCACAATTCGGGAAACCCAGGGCAGGGGAAGAAAGGCGGGGAGACCTCAGCCTGAAAGTGCCACATTGACAGTGTATGTGGGGTCATCCAGCGCTCTGAGAGGCTGAGGCAGGAGGATTGTGAGCTCGAGCCCCTCCTGGGGACTTAGCACTTAGCCAGACCCTGTCTCAAAATACACATGCAAAGCAGGCTGAGAATGCTGCTGGTGCTGGGCTGCAGGGGCCACCGCGGAGAGGGCCAGCGGGGGCTTCACACCGGGCACCCTGGTCAGCAGCACGGACCTGTTTTTATTCTGACATGGAACGGAAGAAGCAGAGTAGGAGAAGCCCAGGGCGAATAGAAATGGAGGTGCAAAGTGAAAGACCACAGCCGCAGAGCCCACGGGGCGGCAGCAGCCGGGGCGCAGGGAGCTCAGGGAGTGGCCGCGGGACGGGGTGCTGCTGGGCTGCCACCCCCACACCACACCCAGGCAGGTCGGTGCTGGGCTCGCACCAGCTCAGGCTGGCCTTGACCCCAGTGGTCCTGCCTCAGCCTCCTTTCGGCCCAAGTCCTTCCTCTGGTCTCAAGTCTCTTCAGGCCCCTCGTTTGTCAGCGGATGTGCAGGGGGTGGCAGCTGGCACTGCCACTGCACCTCACACGGCACAGTCTGAGCAGGGAAAGCTGAAGGGTTCCTCCTTCTGCTCTCGGTGTGTAATATTTTGGTGATATCAGCAGTCATAATCTCTCTCTCTGTCTTTCACGGCACTGCTGATTGAACCCACGGTGTCAGCCCTTTAACCCTTTTGCTGTGACACGGGGCTCCTTAGGTTGCTAAGTTGCTAGGCTGAGCTTGTTCTTCCAACCTCCTGCCTCAGCCTCCGGCGTGCTGGCTAACAGACACACACCACCCCACGCAGATTAGTTTTCCTTTCTTATGCAGAACTTCTGGAAACGCTTTCCCTGTGCTCTTACGTGTGCTGTGGCTCTGTTTTCCTTTTTATTATAGCTGGGTTCAAAGTAGAAGAAATGCAAACAGAGCCCGACACCGCTGTGTAGACAGAAAGGGCTTGGTCAGGGCAGGGTGCGAGGTCGGTGCCCGTCCTGGTGTAGCAGGGAAACGGGCCTGCAGGGACCTCTCTGCGGTTCTGGGGTCACCCGTGAACTGTCGCCCTGCCCCTCCTCCCTTCAGGCTGTGCCTTTTTCCTGTGATTATTTATTGGCTTCTGGAGACAGGGTCTCGCTGTGTAGCCGGGATGGCTGAGAACTGGAATCTGTGGAGAGCCTCCTGCCTCAGCGTCCTGAGTGCTGGCTGACAGGCGTGCCCGCCACATCCTGCTGGCTCACACCTGTGTGCACAGAGCCCCGGGTCACCGAGGGAGCCCAGGCCTCTGTGTCCCAGCCTCCCCGCCCTGCCGTCTCCCCACAGTGTCCGGCAAGCGCCCCTTCACGGACAGCAACCTGCTCTGCCAGTTCCGCACCAACTTCCGCAGGCGCCGACGGCTGATGGAGCTGCTCAGCGAGCCGACCCCGGGCGCCCCCGACACGCACGACAGCCCCTTCTGCCCTCGCAGGCAGAGCCATGACGCCCGCAAGGCCACCAGCTTCGTGTCGGGTACGTGGCGGGCCCTCGGGTCCCGTGGTGTGGGGTGCAGCATCAGCTGAGAAGTGGCAGAGCTGGGGCGCCAGCTGGGGTCCCGACTGCTGGAGAGGCCGAGGCGGGAGGGTCCAGTGGTGGGCGTCGGTCTCCCAGAGCCCCGGGCAAGGCGGGAGGCAGAAGGAGCTGAGGGGACAGGTGGTGAGGCCTGCACAGTAGACACTGGTGTGGAGGGCACCTGCCCATCACAAGGACTGCAGGAGCCAGGGGCAGTGCGAGTCCCCACGGCTGGGCGGGCCAGTGTGTGCGGGTAGCTCAGCAGCAACCAGGAACCAGCAGGCGATGTCTTTTTTCTTGAGACACGGTCTCGCTATGTAGCCCAGGCAGGACTCAAACTACAACCCTCCCGCCTCAGCCTCCCGACCGCTGAGGTGCTGCTGGAAAGGTTCAGGGGGCTGTGAATTGACCTCACACGTGCGCACATGACGGGGCCTTCTAGGGGCACTCAGGTCACGCAGGGCTGGCCCTCGCCATGCTTGTGATGCTCCTGCCTCAGCCTCCAGGGGCCCGCTGACCCTTGTCCCCCTACAGTGAGTCCCAGCAAGGAGATCAAGGTGGCGTCCGTGGGGCGCAGGAGCAGCCTGAGCAGTGGCGGCAGCAGCGGCTACTTCAGCAGCAGCCCGACCCTGGGCAGCAGCCCCCCGGTGCTGTGCAACCCCAAGTCCGGTGAGTGCAAGGGGGACGCTGAGGCAGGGCGGGGTCCTGCTGAAGGGTGGGGACCCTGGGATCCCTGGCTGGGCGCTGCGGAGCAGCTGAGTGGCCTCTCCCCATGAACCGAGCAGCCATTAGACAGCAGTCCCAGCACGTAGGAGGCTGAGGCAGGAGGATCACATGGCAAGTTCAAGATCAGCCTGGACCGCATGGCAAAACTCAAAGAAATAAAACATAATTACAGCAGAAAGAAATTACACAAGGTAATACTAGCAGAAATAAGGTGCACAATAGGGGTGACGTCATCACAAGCCACCCTCTGCCTGGTCTGTGGGAACACCGTTCCCCTCGATCCTCCTGCCTCAGCCTGCCAGCTGCTGGGGTGACCCTGGCGATGATCTAATGTTTCTGAACTTGCTTCCTCGTGTGTGAGGCGAGCGGCAGCAGGGACCGAGGTGTTCCCGTGGCGATTACACGCAAGCCACGTCAGTGCCAGTCCCAGGTGTGCAGGGCATGGCTCGGTGTGCAGGCCTTAGAGGGGCCCCCCAGAAAGGGGTGCCCTCACTGGGGACGGGGTGCTGCTGCATGTGGGGAGCACGCCAGCACCCTGAGGTGTGAGGACGCGTGTCAATGTCCAGGGGAGAGAAGTGCAGAACTGGAAACCCCCCGCTTCACCCTTGCTTCTCTTCCCGTCCCTTTCAGCAATTCTTCTGTGTTTTTCTTAAGCCACGTATGGTGGCTCACACCCGTTATCACGGCTCTAGGGAGGCTGATGCAGGAGGATCGATGCGTGTTCCAGGCCAGCCTGGAAAGCAGTGAGACCCTGTCTCAAAAAACAGCCGCAGAGCTATTGTGTTTTCTCTTTGTCCCTGTAGCTGTGAGCTGGGGTTGGGTGTCTGCTGCTGTGTTCTCTACTGTGTCCCTGGTGGCCGAAGGCGGGGGGTGGCGGTCATAGGTGGCCGTGGATGGTGGCCTCTGACTATGTCTGTCCCCAGTGCTGAAGAGGCCCGTCACCTCGGAGGAGCTGCTGAGCCCTGGGGCGCCCTACGCCAGGAAGACATTCACGGTAGGCCGGGCTCAGGGTCCCCGGGTCCGAGGGGTGCAGGCAGGGCAGGTGACGGGGCTCCGCCTGGTTGGTTTGAGACAGCTCCAGGCTGACCTTGACCTGAGCTTTGGAGTCGCTTACTTTGTTATTCCAGACCTCGAGTCATAGCCAGATCCAACGTGGATCATCTGAGCTGAGTGTGGTGGTGCACGCCTGTGGTGGTGTCCTCCCAGGCACTTGGGAGGACGCTGAGTTCAAGGCCAGCCTGGAATGCATAGTGGGACCCTGTCTCAAAGTAACCGTGTCATTTGGACGCAGAGGGAAGGAATGAACTGGGGGAGGAGTCAGGTCTGGAGAGCGCTTGCGGCGATGTGAATTCTGACTCCCGAGTCTGACAGAGTCCACGTGGGCCCCGTGGACTGAGCAGGTGTCCCGCCCACCGATGACTCTGCTGTCCTTCCAGATCGTGGGTGACGCGGTGGGCTGGGGCTTCGTGGTGCGAGGAAGTAAGCCATGCCACATTCAGGCCGTGGACCCCAGCGGGCCGGCAGCTGCTGCGGGCATGAAGGTATGCCCCCCCACTCCCCTCCACCTTCCCAGTCCTCTCTGGGGTCCTCAGGCTCTGATGGCCAGGATTCCCGGGATACGCACCTTCCCCTTCAGTTCCCTTTCTGTTTGCTTTTTGAGACAGGGACTTGTTGAAGCAATCCTCCTGCCTCAGCCTCCCGAGGGCTGGCATTACAGGCATGAGCCACCCGCCCAGCAGAAAGCCTTCAATCCTTGGTAACCTGCGTGACCTTTCGTGTCCTGCAGAGAGAACTGGATTCTGTCCCAGCACTTGGGTTACCTGGGTTGGCTCATGGAGGAGTGGATACAGGCTTGCTCTGGACACTGGGCAGACCCCTCCCTGCCCAGCCCCCCAAACCCCAGTCAGCATGTGGGCTCACAGACAGGGCCGTCCCGGCTCACAGCAGAGGCTGCTGTGCTTGTAGGAGAAACCAAATTCTGAGCAAAACCTGTCCCGGCCTCCGCTCCCCGTGTGAGTCCAGTGGGATTGGGAGTCCTGGCCTCTCTTTTCGTTTCCTGATGGACGGCTGGTTGTGGGCTTCTGTGCACCTTTCTGCGCAGAACCGGAACTATCCAGTACCCACCGTGCCCAGCACTGGGGCCCAGTTCCTGTCCTCTGCTGCAGGCCGGAGTCTGTCCCTGGAGGAGCAACTCTGCAGAAGCAGAACTATCCAAGTCAGTACAAAGAAATAGAGGCCTGGAAAGCTTTTCGCCGCCTCCCTACCTTTTTGGGGTGTTTTGTTTTGTTTGGTTTTGTTTTGTTGAGATAGAGTCTCATTCTAGCCCAGGGTAGCCTCAAATTCATGCTGACCCTTCTGCCTCAGCCTCCTGAGTGCTGAGATTACAGTGTTCACTGCCATTCCCGTTTCTTTTTTTTTAAATATGGGGTCTCTGGGGAGCCCAGGCTGGGCTCAAACACAAGGCGATTCTCCTGCCTCAGCTGCCAGAGAGCTGGATTGCAAGTGTGCCCCGCTGTGCCATCTAAACTGGTTAACTCTGCTTCCCTGCGGCAGACAAGAGGTGTGTGTGTGTGTGTGTGTGTGTGTGTGTGTGTGTGTGTGCGCACCTTGCTGTCGTCTTGAGGGTTGGTGGGAGGCAGCTCAGAGCCCTGGCTCTGACTTTGATCCACTGCTTCTTTCTTTGCTGTGATCCCAGCACCCAGGAAGCTGAGGCAGGAGGATCATCACAAGTAGAAACCCAACCTGGGCTACCTTGTGCCAGAAAAAACAAAACAAAGAAACGCGCTCCCGGCCATTCCCAGCCACGAGCCCCACCCTGGGTGCTGGGCCTGAACGCTGTGCTTTGTTTAAAGCTTGTGCAAACAACAACACTGAGCATTTGGAGTGCAGTGGGGGTTTCCCAGCCCTCTGGGCTCCCGGTCACCTGCAGTACCCACCGTGCCCAGCACCAGGGCCTAGTTCCTGTCTTCTGCTGCAGGCCAGGGCCTGCAGAGTAACTCAGGCTCTGCTGGGTGAGCGGCTCTGAGTGGGCGTGGGGTGCTTCCTCTGAGTTGGAAGCCACCTGGAGTGCAGCCACGTGTGTCCAGCTGCGCGGTGTGATGGGGACTGTGGGGCCTCGACTACCCTGCACAACAGCAACCAGCCTCTGTCCCTGTGACCTGTGTCTTTTTCTCTTTGGTTTTCTGGGACCTGGTCCCTCGATCTCACTGTGTAACCAGGTTGGCTTTGAACACTTAGATTCCCAGAGTTAGGGAGCAGCAGTCTCGGCCTCATGGAGAGAATCGCAGAGGAGTTTGCTCCTGGATAGGAATGCGCTGCTTTAGCCTCTGATGGCAACTCTGGTTGAACTCAAGGCCATCCTGCCTCAGCCTCCCCAGTGCTGGGTGCTGGAAGCAGTTAGTTTCTTTGTGTCTTTGTGGGGCTCAGTGCTGTTTGCTCAGTGCCTGTCATCACCTCTTACCTGAGGCTGGCCATGTCCTGGGGCTCTGGGGGGACGGTGGGTGACCAGCTCATTCAGGGGCCGCCAGCAAAGGAGGGGAAGGGTATTTGGTCAGAGCCACCCCACGCAAAGGAGGCGCTCTGCTTCTAAGCCTTTCATGCACCCCATTCCTACCCCCAGTGCACCACGCACCCGCACGCCCGCATACAGACACACACGCATGTTCTCGGCCCCTGTCTGAGCACCGCTGTTCTGCAGAAGGAATAGGATCATGGGAGCCAGTGACTCATCCTGGAGGTCAGATGATGTCACCGCCCCCAGCGCGGTCCCCACAGATGTGATCCTGCAGAGATGCCTGGTGTTTTTGAAGACAAATAGCATAAGCTTAGTTGTGTGATGACCAGCCTAATGTGCTGCATCTTGGTTACCAGCCAACCATGTAAAATCATTGATAGACTCGTTTTTTATTTTTAGAATCATCTAGGGTAAAAGTATCAGAGTCTCGGGAGTTAAATAGTTGATAATAAAACTTTAAGGTTTTAAAACTACAAGTTTCTTATGGAGAGAAGAACTAGGGATCTGGGGAGAAGGCAACCTTGTGGCACCTTCTGGGAGCTGTCATGCATGTTGAGAATGTGACCCCTGCTGTTGAGACCCCACCCCATCACAGGATGTTATGGTGGAACTTCCTGTGTCCACAGAGGAGACGTTATGGCAGAATTTCCTGGGTTCACAGAAGTGTTATGGCGGAACTTCCTGTGTCCACGGAGGAGATGTTATGGCAGAATTTGCTGGGTCCACAGAAAAGTGTTATGGCAGAACATCCTGTGTCCACAGCAGAAGTGTTATGGCGGAACTTCCTGTGTCCACGGAGGAAGCCATGTGGATGGGTGCAGGATGTGAGGGGGGTGGGCCTCAGGTGATCAGTTCCTTCTCCATGGTGGTGGGAAATGCCACAGAATCTGTGGTTACAACTGGCATATGCTGCTTCTCGGCAGCTGAACACGTCCTACAGCTTCAGGAAACTACCAAAGAGCCGAGCGTCCTTCATGCAAGCAGACCTCAGAAGTGTTCCCATAGCAACCAGGGGCCTCCTGCGGGAGGCGATGTGACCTTCAGGAGTGGCAGGGCCCCGCGGGCCTGCTCCACATTTCCAGAGCGAATGCCCAGGAAGACAAGGTTTCGCCCCAGCTCTGTGGCCTGAGCTGGGGCGCTGGCCCATCCCCTCCTTTTCGGCATAGCACAGTCCCTGTGACTGCTTCTGGTGGGTCACGCCTGTCACCGCAGCACTCGGGAGGCTGAGGCAGGAGGATTGCTGTGAGTTCAAAGCCAGCCTGAGCTGCACAGCAAGACCTGTCTGAGAAAACCAAAAACGGAAGGGAGAGAGGACGGAAGGGAGGAGGGGAAGCCGTGAGCTCCTTAGCTCCGTTTCTCTCCTGCTGAGAACAGCGCTGTGCCCTCTGCTCCACACTGAACCACAATGAGAACTCAGCTGCTGTAGCCGCTCCAAGCCCGAGCTGTCCCCTGGGGACTGTGGCCACTGTGTGTGCCCAGCGCCCCACCAGAAGGAGGACGACTCAGCGGGAGCCACCCCGCCTCCCTCCACGGGGCCCTGGAGTCCCCTCCAGGGCTCCTTGCATGGCAGCCAGGCCTCTCTGTGTGGGGAAAACACCCAGCTCCCGAATCCCGGAGGAGGAGAGGGTCATTCCCCTCGCAGCTCCTGAGGTTCAGTCCATGGTCGAGTGGGTGGCATCTGCCCTGCCGAGCCTCCTGCCCCTCCTAGTGCTGCTGTGCCCCTGTGGAATGTAGCCATGGCCTGGCTGTGGCTGGACACCAGTGTCCTCCCCTTCTCTACTCCGATGGCAGAGCTGTAACCATGGCGATGGTGCCAGGGATGAGATCATCTGGGAAGCAGTGCGGTCAGGGCAGATACCACAGGAGCGGGGTCAGTGCCTTTGTGGGAGGGGCCCGAGGGCCACCCCTGCACCCCTGCCTTGTGGGACACCATCCATGGAAGCAGGAAACGGCCCTCAGGAGATACTGCTTGGGTCTCCATGATCTCAGACTTCTCAGCCTCAAGAAATGGGAAAAACAACAACAAACCCGAAAGATGCAGGCAGGTGGCGTGCGCTGGCAATCCCGCACTCAGGAGGCTGAGGCAGGAGGATCACCGTGAGTTCCCGGCCAGCCTGGGCCCCACAGTGAGGCCCTGGCTGTTTGCCGAGGTGACCAGACAGACCAGGCGTGGGGTGTGTGTGTCTGTGTGTGTGTGTCAGGCACAAGTGCATGTAGAGAGGAGATGGCACTGTCCCTGGGGGTGCGCCAGGCCATCCTTCTCTCGTGGCATTGCTCTGTGACTTGGAGCGGTGACCGGAGACAGGCGCCCGGAGGATGTGAGGGTTTTCTTTCTGGTTCTGAATCTGGGCAGCTTTTGGTTCCTCCTCCATTGCAGTCTCGTGAGGCTCTGCCGGCCCGTGGTCAGCTCTGCTGCCCCCTGGTGTCCTGGCCAGCAGAGGGCCCGGGCGACCGCAGGGTCTGTTCTCAGTGTTACCGCTGGCCCTGGTGTGCCCTTAGCTCTCGTGTGTGGCTCTGTGGTAGATGATCTAAAACAGCAGCATTTGGCTGTAAAAACAAAAAGGGCTTCAGGCAAAGGAAACTCATGAAGCACCGAAGCGTGGCCCTTGGCCTTGTCCTGGAGCTGAGGGTCACTGAGGCCACACTGCCCTGTGAACGGCGCATCCTCACACCTGGCTGACCCCGGATGGGTGCCTTTCCAGCCACCACGGTGTTTAAGGGGAGGTGGGTGAGGCTGCTGGCAGGGACGTGGGGTGCAGGGTGCCCACAGTGTCTCCGGGACACTCCGGGCACTCAGTTGGGTTAGCGTTGTCTCCCTGGCTTCCTGCTTAGCAGCTGGCTTCGGCTTTCTGTATGGTTGGGCTGGGCAGGTTTCCTGTCCCCACCTGGCTGATCAGGACTCTCCCTGCCTGATCACTGGCTGCATCTGTTTTTGTCTCTCTTGTTTTGTTTTGTTGAGACAGGGTCTTGCCGTGTAGACCAGGCTGGCTTCAGACTCCTGGCAGTCCTCCTGCCTCAGCCTCCCAAGTGTGATATGACAGCTGTGGGCCAGCCGTTACTGATGTCTGTCTTCTTTCTTCTTTTGACTCTGTCTTTGATGTTTTCTTTCTCTCTAAGTAAACATTTCTGTAATCTTCTGGACAATTCCATGTGGTCCTTTCTCATCCAGGGCCAGGCAGGACAACAGAGAGACCCCAGCGTCCCTTCACACAGCCAGGCTGGTGCAGGGGAGGAGGCAGAGGCAGGAGACTCCTGTGCGGGAGGTGGCGCAGCCAGGAGGGTGCTGTCTGCTCCGAGGCTGAGTCCCTCGGTGCTAAGTGGGTAACCCACTGATTCTCGGCTGTTAGAGGCCCCCGGGGGAGGTCGTGGGTCCCGGGCTGCCCGTTGGCCCTCTCTTCTCAGCTCCTTCCTCTTCTCCGGCTCCTGCGTCCTGGCTGTCCTGAGGTGAGTGCTTTTCCTCCCACTGTCTGCCATGATGTTTGTGCCCTCTGTGGGGAGGCCGTGGACTGACCCTGGCACCGTGAGCCCCTGCAGGCTTCCCTCCGGGGTTGGGGTGCAGCAGCAGGGAGCCTCACCTTCAGCAGTGGATGCAATAAATATGATTAGGAGCAGAAGAACGGAGTTCAGCCGGCCTGAATTCTCACCCCACCCAGCCGGAGTGGGGGGAAGGGGAGGGGAGGGGGGAATAATAGGTTCCCTCATAGTCCCTGCTCTGGGAAGCGGATTCCTGGCTGGCTGGCGCTTCCTGTGGTCACCCTGATGGCGCAGAGCCGGACAGAGGTGCTAACTGAAAGGTGTCCTCACCAAATCCGCCACCTGGTGACACCTGCAGCAGGGCTGGCTCCGTTCGTACGGTTTTAGCAACAGGAGCCAGCACTGCTGAGGCCGGGATGACGTCTTCCCAGCAGCCCGACGCTAAAAATAAAACCGTGGCATCAGGCCCCTCACTGTTTTAAAGGGCTTTTTTTCACCTTGTCTGAGGACACAGTTTGAAGTCAGTGCCTAAATTCATGTATTCTGAGGATGTTCAGTGGCACAGGAAACAGCCCAGCTGGGCGTGGTGGCACACACCTGTAATACCAGCACTCTGAGGCTGAGGCAGGAGGATGTCTGAGTTTGACCGGCCTGGGCGACACAGTGAGAGCCTGTATTTAAATAAATAAAGAAATAACCACCTGCCCTTGTTTCGGTTAATGTGTTCTGAGCTGGGGTTTAAACCCAATTTGTGGGACACTAATGTAAGTGTTTTTGCCTGGAGTGCTGGCGCACGCCTGGCATCCAGGAGGCTGAGGCAGGAGGATTGCTGGAGGTCAAGGCAAACCATGGTGAGTTCAAAGCCAGCCTGGACTAAACAGGAAGACCCTGTCTCTAGAACAGGACAGGACAGCACAGGACAGGACAGCACAGGACAGGACATGACAGCACAGGACAGGACAGGACAGGACAGCACAGGACAGGACACCACTGGTACTTTTGCTGTTATACCATCTGCCAGAGGACATGTGGCTTTCTGGATGTACTAAGTTTGGGCTGTGTTTGGTTGGATGTTTTCCGAATGGACTCAGGCAAGGGTGGTGCGTACCCCTAATCCTGATCCCAGCAGTGGGGAGGCTGAGGCAGGAGGATCATGAGTTCAAGGCCTCACCTGGCACAAAATAAAATTAAAAGGGGGGAGGAAGGAGCTTGGGAAGGCACAGAAAAAGCAAAACAGCCGGGCGTGGACGTGCACACCTGCCGTCCTGGCACTGGGGAGGCTGAGGCAGAAGAATCCCCGCGGGTTCAAGGCCAGCGTAGGCTAGAAACAAAGTCAAACAACAGAACAGGCGTCCTGGCACGTGCATGGCGTGCGGGCACCACCCTGAGCGCGCCTCTGTCCGCAGGTGTGCCAGTTCGTGGTGTCAGTGAACGGGCTCAATGTGCTGCACGTGGACTACCGCACCGTGAGCCACCTCATCCTCACCGGGCCGCGCACCATCGTCATGGAGGTGATGGAGGAGCTGGAAAGCTGAGCCGCGCCTCGGGGGTCACAGCGCCGCCCTGCCTCGCGCACACTGTCTCAGCCCGCGTGGCCTGCACTGTGCGAGTGACGAAGTCGGGTAACACTCCTAAAAAAGCAAGTAAACAAGCCAGGTGCGGTGGTCCTCACAGCGCTCGGGAAGCTGAGGCAGGAGGGTCTCAGAGAGTGCAAGGTCAGGCTGAGCTACAGAGTGAGACTGTCTCAAAAATAAAGAAGGAAAGAAATGAAGTCAGGGCAGAAAACATCCGGGAAGCAGTTTTCTTACAGGTCAGCTTGCCTTAATACATTTCTGTTTCTCCCGCTGATACGTTGTTACTGTTTTTTAAATCATGGTTTGCAGAAAGTTGGTGAAGCAGCTAAAGGTCTCTCTTAGGAATCGCCAGAGTAAATATGTCCACCTTAAATTGTACATCAGGCTGGGTGCGCTTGCAGTCCAAGCTACTCAGGAGGCTGAGGCAGGAAGGTCTCTTGAGCGCAGAGGTTCAAAGCCAGGCTGGAGCACATACAGAGACCCAATCTCAGAAGAAGAGAGTGAGTGTATGTCCCCCAGGCTGGTGGGATCCTGTGACACAGTCTAGATTTCACCAAGCTTTAAAAGAAAGTGACTCGGACCCACCTCGGCCTGCTAACCAGCGTTTCCATACCAGATCTGCAGGAAAACAAACATGGCAGCCTCCCTGCTCTCCATGCAGGGGGCAGAGGACCTGGTTCTCGGGGGGGTTCTTCCCTGTGCCACATTCAGATGTCGGGGTGCTGGGTCCCTCATGTCACATAGGCATTCTGAACGGCAAGTTCACTCTTGTGCACTCACAAAATGAAGTATGCGAGCTCCTCCTCAGTCCCCTCCTTCTGAGAGGTCACCACCTGTAATCCCGTCTTGGGAGGCTGAGGCAGGAGGGTCGTTGTGAGATCGAGGCCAGCCTGGCCTCCTCGTGAGACCCTGTCTCAGAAGCAAGGTGGGGAGGGTGCTTGGGTGACACCTCTGCCTCTGGTCACCTCACGTGGGCCCTGTGCCTCGGGTACCCGACCTGCTCCAAGCCTGTCCAGACCCCCAGGCAGATTTCATCAACCACGATTCTCAGAGGATCAAAGCTCTCCTCCGTTCCAGGGCAGGTCCCTGGCCCCAGCGGACGGCTGGCTCTGTGTTACGCTTGGGCGTCACCTCATTTGTCCTGGACAACCTGGCCTGTCTTTGCTGCAGAGGAGATGGCCTGGGACAGAGGAGGCCACACCGCTGGTCCCCAGGAGAGGCTGCTGTGGCTGGAAGATATGTTTGTGACATCCTTCTTGTTTTTTTTTTGTTTTGTTTTGTTTTGATTTTGAGATCCTCCTGCCTCAGCCTCCTGATTACTGGTGTGACAAGTCTGCACCCAAATATGGCCCAGCTTGTCAGGGAACTTAGCCTAGAAAGTTCTGGAATGATGGCGCCCCACCAGCTGCATGGAGCACGGCTCACTCCTGTCCTCAGAGGAGTGAGGAAACTGAGGCAGATCCGGGTCTGTGTGTGTCCAGCTCGAGAGCTCGTGGGGTAAAAGTGTGGGCCGAGCGCCAGCTCCAGCCTCCCGAGCTGCTGGCCAGAGGTTGCACCCGGGCAGCCTGGGGAATCAGGAAGCCGCACGGTGCCACAGGACGTCAGCTCCGGGGCTCCAGGCTTGAGGAGTTGAATCGTGGAAATGTTCAGTGTGCTGACTTCATGGCTGTGCTCTTTAAAGCCTGCGAGCTTCATTTGGTTTTTTAAAGACAAGGTCTGGGTGTGTGGCCCTGGCTGGCCTCAGACTCACAGCCGCCTCCTCCTCCTCAGCCTCCCAAGTGCTGGGACCACAGGTGTACCTGTGCTTGGCTCGGTTTCTAAAGTGCAACGCCAAACGTTATCTTCACAGTGAGCAGTGTTGCCAGGGTTTTTGTTTCCTCTGTGTGTGCGCGCGTGTGTGAGATCTGTGAAAAGTGCATTTGTAGGAAGCTCTGGATTCCTGCTCTGTCTTTGCTGCTTACGCACACTGTTGACTGCAGGTGTTTGTGTGACCTGTGTGCTTATGGATTCAGGATCGAAATTAATTTTTGTTTCTGTGTTAGCAGAAATTTGAAAGCCATGTTTTACTATAAAGAGAAAAAATACAGTTTTCTTATTAATCTCTATTAAATCTTGGTGAGTGTTAATAAGGAGAGTAGGGAGACCCAGTGTCGGGGAGGCAAAGCAGGGTCTACTGTGAGAAGCTGACTTGCAGGGTGTGGGGTGCACCGGTCAGCTCAGCCCATGGGAGGCTGAGGCAGGAGCATCTCAAGAGTTCAGGGCCAGCCGGGACCACATGATGAGACCCTGTCTCAAAGAGAAAAAACCCAACACAGAAGAATCAGACACATTGTCAAAATAACCTGTTCTTAGGATCCTTTTGCGCTGCTGGCTTTGGGTCTGTCCTGCTGAGGGTTAATCCTGTTTCATTTTGATTATGAATCACCAGAGTCCCTGGTGCTGTTGCTAACTGGTTGAAATCCGTGGCTGCCCTGGCCGTGGTTTTCATCACAGGCTGAGTTTCAGACATAACGTGTTTTTCTTCATTTCAAGACCGGAAGGACTGCTGTGCCAAAATGAAGTTCACCATCAAAGATAAAGCACACAGAATGGCTGAATGAATTAATAATGTGCTTAATATATGTCTATTTTAAAATTAACTTGAAGTTTATTTGCTATGTTAATTAAACCTTACCGTACTGAAAGTTATTCCTTGAAAACATGAATATACAGCAAGAAATAAATGTTGCTTTTTGGTTGGTGCGGTTCTCATTTTTGGTTCTTTATTTTTTCTTGTTTTAGTTTTTATTTAGTTATTGGAACTGGGAATGGAACTCAGGACCTTGCGCTTACCAGGCAGGCGCTTATGCCCCTGAGCTGTACGCCGGCCCACTGGTCTTAGTTTTTGAGACAGGGTCTTGCTACTTGGTTCAGGCTGACCTTGAACAAACTCTGTAGCCCAGACCAGCCTCAAACTCTAGGAGATCCTCCTGTCTCAGCCTCCTGATTTTGGTGACAGGCATGCGCCCCACATCTGGCCTCTTGTACTTTCCTCCCGTGAGTCAGAAGTCATGAAGAACGGCTTCTCTCTCACTCAGGAGGGCGGCAGGCCAGGGGCTCCTGAGCTCAGCCAGCGCTCTGGCTGCGATACTGACTTTGGCAGAGAAAGTGACTGAGGATCGGGCATCACCGTGCAGAGTGAAGCGCCTGCTGGTTTAGGAAGTTCAGCGGTTTGCACACACGGATCCTGCGGCAGGCAGCACCCTGCCTCCTGGTGCAAACCGCCCTCCACGCCTGGACTCCAGCTCTGTGTGTGACCTCAGGCTGGAGCCCCGCCGTGTCCTGACCGCTCACCGTGCTGCCCGGGCAGCCTGAGTGTGGAGCTGAGGTGGACGGACCAGATGCTTCCTCACAAAGCCCCTTCCTTTCTCCGGGTGCACAGCAGGTCAGTGCGGCACACCCGTCACCCCAGCGCTCGGGAGGCTGAGGCAGGTGGATCGCAGACCAGCCTGGGCCACGTGGTGAGTTAAAGGCCAGCCTGACCCAGGAGCTGGAACCACAGGACTCGAGGAGGAGCTGCCTGGAGGAAGGACAGGGCACAGCGTCCAGGCAGGACCGTACGGGGCTCCGTCTGGGTCCAGAGAGTGGAGGGAGAAGGGAAAGCAGAATGGCTGCGACCCAGATGGAGCCTCAGGGTGCGGGTGGCCAGGATCGGGCACCGTCCCACCAGGACGACGAGTCCAGCCACAGTGACGGCAGAGGCAGCCGGGCTGTCACTCGGGAGAGGCCCACCCAGGCGGCTCACTGCATCTTCCAGGCTCCAGGCAGGCGACCAGGGAAGGGGAGCAGGGCCACCAACCTCGCCCACCAGGGCTGGGGGTGATGGGGTGCTGTGCCGCCTCCCCAGGCCTTGGACTTCATTTTGAGATCGTTCTGCTGACTTTAAACATGCAACCCTCCTGCCTCAGCCTCCTGAGTAGCTGACACCACAGGCGCCACCACACCTGGCTCACCCAGGGCTTCGGCAGAGGGGGGACAGCGCAGGGTGTACTGGGGGTTCGGGGTGACGAGGGACACCAGGAAGCGGACATGGCAGTCGAACACGGGGGCCCGAAGCCGTGTGAGCCCTGAAATCACACCAGGACATCTGGGAGGTCACAGGGGGCCAGCTCTTGAGGAGCCCTGGTGGACGGGCCCCAGCTTGGTGAACTTAAACCGAAGAGTGGGCACCCGGGAGCCTCAGAGATGGCTCCGGAAATACCAGCGCAGAGCTTTTGTTAAAATTGTATTAGTTTTCATTGATTTTAGGTTTTTCTCAGCACATGTCTGCCATACACAGACGCCCTTGCTGCGGGAGGGGGCGCACACTCACACTGTGTGGGCTTCTGTACTCCCCTCCCCCACGCCCCTGCCCGGCCCCTTTCCCATCCCCCATGTCTGTCACCTGTCATTTGTCTTTGATTCTGCTCTTACACCTTGGGTTTCTCTTCCGGGGAAGCCAAGCGCGGCTGAAGCTCTGTGTCTGATTCATTTCACCTAACACGAGGGTCTCAGGATGCAGCCCTTTTTCTCCACATGACTCCATCCATCCTTCTTTATGGCAGCGTAGTAGTCCACAGAGCATAAATACGTTTCTCTATCCATTCTTCTGCTGACCCGCAGCAGCTGCTTCCAGAGTGAGCAGTGTGAGCTGCACTGCCGCAGACATGGGTGTGCGTAGACATAATGGGTGGACAACGGGGCACCATCTGTTTAAACAGATGTAGTGAATGATACAGTGGTGGCAGGCAATGGCCATGGTCAGCCATCGGATGCGCTGAAACCCCAATCCATGTGGCATTTATGCTGTCAAAGCAGAGAGAGGCCATGGCCCAGGACTCCCATCCCGGGCTCAGTGGCTCCTGGACGCTGGTATGGCCACCGCCTGGGGGACCCAGGTTCGCTCTTGGGGTCCAGCTCAGCTGTCCCCAGGGTCAGGGCTCGGCGTCTCTGCCTCCCCAAGGACACGGGGCTCTCTGCAGCTGGGTAGAGGCTGCGCACAGCCTGGGCACGATTCCTGGGCCCTAACTAAGGTCATTCAGTCATCAGCATTGTGGATCTTTGTCCTTTTGGGAAACAGGGGCTTGCTATGCTTGCCTTGAACTCAACAGCAATCCTCCTGCTTCAGCCTCCTGAGGGTGGGGACCAAAGGCACGTGCCACACCACACCCGGCGTAATTTTGTCTTTTCCAGGGCATTTACAGGGTGAGGCGTGGAGCAGTCTAAGCAGCACCTCGGCCCCTCCTGTGCCAGGCGCCTCTCGCCCGCCCAAGTGCCCGGTCTGTGCCCTCTCATGTTCACACAGCCCCTAACACAGGTCGTGTCCTCCTCCCTGAAAGGGTTGCTGGCCCAGACCGGACGCTATAGCCAGAAAAAGCCTCAGCCGGAATTAGGGAGCTCCTGCCTCCCCCGCCCCTAGAGATTTGCCTGTAACCCTATACCCCCACACTTACAAACCTACCTCTGGCGCCAAACTAAGACCAATGGGCTACCTGTGCATCCCTAATACCCCTAGTTTCCACCCCAGGCCGAGGCTACTTATGTGCCTCACTCCACGTGTTCCAGAGAGACAGATCGCTGGCCCGGGGTTGGAGATGCTGCGCCCCGGGGGCCCGGGGGTGTCTCTCCCCGCATTCCCCAAATAAAGGTTACTTATATTTTATACTTCTTATCTTTTCAGCCACCGCCGGCCAGTCCTTCGTCTTTCTCCCCTTCTCAGACCTATCACTCCCCATGGTCCACAGGAGTCCTCAAGGTCCAGGAGGGGTGGGCAACGGCCCCAAATCAGACAGCAAGTGGCAGCTTTGGGCTCTAACTCGGAAGGTGTGGCCAGGTTTTCCATCCGGCTAACCAGCTAAGCAGTCGCTAAGCTTCTCCGGCCCAGGCCCAGGCGGGGGAATGGAAGAGCCCCGGTCTCACACCTGGCCCTGCCCACCTCAGGCCTCAGGGACGTAGCCAGAGGTGCTCAGGGTAGATGTCCACAGGTGGGCGAGCCCGGAGCAGTGGCCCTGGGACTTCAGACCAGCAGGTCAGTGACCGTACAAGGCCGTGGCCCAGGGGATGAGACCGTCTCGGGCAGAGTTCGGGAGACCTCTGAGGAATCAACAAAGAGGAGTTGAGCCGGGCGTGGGGGCTCATACCTGTCACCCCAGCACCGGGGAAGCTGAAGCAGGAGGATTGCTGTGATTGGGGCCAGCTTGGACTAAAGAGTGAGACCCTATCTCAAAGAACAGGAAACAAAACCAGACAGTAGCAACAGTGAATCAAGAATGGTGAAACTGTGGCTCAGAGTTCAGTCAGGGACAAAAGACAGGAAGAAGCAACACACAGATCAAAGCAATGGCGCTGCGGCCTGTGGGGGAGCGAACAAAGTGTCAGTCTATTGCAACAGTTTCCAAACAGCTGGCACCGGGCTGGGGGCCGGGAGCAGCTGGCCCCTCCTGCACCTCCGCTGGCGGGGTCCCAGCTGCGGGCTGGCTGTCCGGCTCTCCCGGAACCTCCCTGGACGCTGCCCCCTGGCGCTCGCTCCCTGCCTGTCTTCGTGGTCAGATTGCCCCGCGCAGCCCGCGCTGACCCTGCCCCTGCCCACCGCTCGGACCAGCAGGCGGCGCTGCGTCCACCCCGACTTGTCTCCCTGTTTATTTTCCGTGTGACTTTCGTATCAGCTTGATCGGTTATAATACACAAAAGAACTCACAAAGAGCTGACATCATGAGGATGTGGAGGTCTCCTGCACGAGATGGGCGACGGTCTAAGCCCACAGACTTGGGCTTTAGGGGCGTTTAAGGTCCTCGGGGGGATCTTGAAAATGTCATATGAAGTTTATTTGTAGCTTTTTTTTTTTTTTTTTTTTTTTTTTTTTGCCGCTGTTGCACATGGGATTTATTCTTTCATTATCTGTGTACCTTGGAAGGATTTTTAAAAATTTGTTTTAATTTTTTGAGACAAGGCCTCACTATGTAGCCCAGGCTGGGCTGGAAGCTTGCAGCCATCCTCCTGCCTCGGCCTCCTGAGGGCTAGAATTTCAGGTGTGCATCACCACGCTAGGCTTTAAGTGCTAATTTTAGACCAGGCCACGCCTGTTGGTCAGTCTCACGTCTCTGTAACAGAAATAGCTGAGACAGGGCGAGGAAGGAAAGGCTTCTGTAGCTGAGCAAGGGACAAGGCTGGGGTCCCATGGCCCCGCTGAACGTTAAGCCGTGTCTGATTCCAGCAGCTGGGAACCAGGGCTTCCCACGTGGCTTGCACCCCCTTCCATGGCGCTGATGTCTGCAAAAGTAGCTCCTCTGTGCAACCCTCGGCTCTCAAAGGTTGGAGGACAGCTCGCAGGCGCCCCCTGCCGCCCACCCGCTCCTGCTCTGGCTCTAGTGTGAGCCCGGCGATGATTCTGACCGCGTGCTGGGAATCGAACTCATGGCCTGGTTGGTGCTTGTCAGGCTTAAGCCACTGAGCTAAACCCCTAGCCCTAGCCCTGCACCTTTTAGACTCACACAGGTTCTGTGACTGCAGGGCTCTGAGCCACACATTCCTTGAAAGAAATCTGTTACTACTCATTCACCAGGTTTAGGGTTAAAAATTCAAGCCAGGTGTGGTGGCATGTGCCTGTACTCCTAGTACTCGGGAGGCCGAGGCAGGAGGATTTCTGTGAGTTTGAGGCCATCCTGGGCTACGTAGTGAGCTCAGGGGCAGCCTGAGCTGCATAGTGAGACCCTGTCTCAAAAAAACAAAAAACA